CTAATCACAATGCCACTATAATGGATTAGTAGAACAAAACCATACATCAAGATAAAGTTCTACCGTCATGCTGGTTCAGGTTCATTCAATCCAGTATTTTATCTTCATCCAGACTCTTTTAGACGATAATGGATATACAGTAGGTGATCAGGTGCTGTACTTGTGACCTTTCCTCTGCCTACAGTTCAGGGGTCAATTCAAATTGAAGTCAGTCAATTCAGGAAGTGATTTTAATTTACATTTATAAAATGTAAACAACTTTTGATATACAGTAGGTTCTCCATTTTTGTTTATCGAGAAGTCATTGGAAATATAAGCCCATTTTTCAATTATTGAATTGGAATTTCAGTTTACTTTCTGAATTGACTGACTTCAATTCCAATTGACCCCAACCCTGCTACAATGCTAAACCTATGAGACAGTTGTTGTAATAATATACAGTGGGGAAAAAAGTATTTAGTCAGCCACCAATTGTGCAAGTTCTCCCACTTAAAAAGATGAGAGATGCCTGTAATTTTCATCATAGGTACACGTCAACTATGACAGACAAATTGAGAAAAAAAAATCCTGAAAATCACATTGTAGGATTTTTAATGAATTTATTTGCAAATTATGGTGGAAAATAAGTATTTGGTCACCTACAAACAAGAAAGATTTCTGGCTCTCACAGACCTGTAACTTCTTCTTTAAGAGGCTCCTCTGTCCTCCACTCGTTACCTGTATTAATGGCACCTGTTTGAACTTGTTATCAGTATAAAAGACACCTGTCCACAACCTCAAACAGTCACACTCCAAACTCCACTATGGCCAAGACCAAAGAGCTGTCAAAGGACACCAGAAACAAAAGTGTAGACCTGCACCAGGCTGGGAAGACTAAATCTGCAATAGGTAAGCAGCTTGGTTTGAAGAAATCAACTGTGGGAGCAATTATTAGGAAATGGAAGACATACAAGACCACTGATAATCTCCCTCGATCTGGGGCTCCACGCAAGATCTCACCCCCTGGGGTCAAAATGATCACAAGAACGGTGAGCAAAAATCCCAGAACCACACGGGGGGACCTAGTGAATGACCTGCAGAGAGCTGGGAACAAAGTAACAAAGCCTACCATCAGTAACACACTACGCCGCCAGGGACTCAAATCCTGCAGTGCTAGACGTGTCCCCCTGCTTAAGCCAGTACATGTCCAGGCCCGTCTGAAGTTTGCTAGAGTGCATTTGGATGATCCAGAAGAGGATTGGGAGAATGCCATATGGTCAGATGAAACCAAAATATAACTTTTTGGTAAAAACTCAACTCGTCGTGTTTGGAGGACAAAGAATGCTGAGTTGCATCCAAAGAACACCATACCTACTGTGAAGCATGGGGGTGGAAACATCATGCTTTGGGGCTGTTTTTCTGCAAAGGGACCAGGACGACTGATCCGTGTAAAGGAAAGAATGAATGGGGCCATGTATCGGGAGATTTTGAGTGAAAACCTCCTTCCATCAGCAAGGGCATTGAAGATGAAACGTGGCTGGGTCTTTCAGCATGACAATGATCCCAAACACACCGCCCGGGCAATGAAGGAGTGGCTTCGTAAGAAGCATTTCAAGGTCCTGGAGTGGCCTAGCCAGTCTCCAGATCTCAACCCCATAGAAAATCTTTGGAGGGAGTTGAAAGTCCGTGTTGCCCAGCGACAGCCCCAAAACATCACTGCTCTAGAGGAGATCTGCATGGAGGAATGGGCCAAAATACCAGCAACAGTGTGTGAAGACTTACAGAAAACGTTTGACCTGTGTCATTGCCAACAAAGGGTATATAAAAGTATTGAGAAACTTTTGTTATTGACCAAATACTTATTTTCCACCATAATTTGCAAATAAATTCATAAAAAATCCTACAATGTGATTTTCTGGAAAAAAAGTTCTCAATTTGTCTGTCATAGTTGACGTGTACCTATGATGAAAATTACAGGCCTCTCATCTTTTTAAGTGGGAGAACTTGCACAATTGGTGGCTGACTAAATACTTTTTTCCCCCACTGTACCTAGTTGTAAGCTACTTCATATTCATAATCAATGTATAGCTCATTTCCTGTTTATGTCTTGGCTTTACATGGGAATTGTGGGTAATAATGTGTTTGTTCCGTGAAGGAGGCATGTTTTCCACGAGAGCATGAACTCCTCATGGCATGGGCCAAATCCATTTATATACTGTAATTGGTCTGATCAAAGGAAATGGTTGTTGTCATTTCATGGCTCTTAGTCTGATTACCGCCCTCTGTTTTCCCTGAGAGAAACCTACACAGAAAAACAGACCAATCACCTTCACATGACCTTGGTCTTTCAGGAACTAGCCAATCTGAGGAAGAAATCGAGCGATGGCCCAGGGCGCTCCGTCAACAGAACATCCACCTATGCTCCTGGGTCAGTTCTTATACCACTGTAGCTGGTTTTATACAGCTTGACTGGACATCACATCAGTTATTATGCAATTCAATTATTTCTAGCTTGACCTGACATTTCTGAAGAAGAAGGTTAAGGGTGGAAAGATCCTGATGGAAGTTAGAGAAGTTGCAGGGCTAATGGCCTATATGTACACAATGGAGACAACCTCCCTGTCAGACTTCTTTATAGAGCCAGTACTGTTGGTCTATCTGCCTGCCTATCCTCCTACTTACTGGCTGTGCTACTTGTGGTGTCGTCTGAAAGTACATTAGCAGTGCTCTTAGTTAGAGAAAGGAGTGTAGGAAAAACCAATGATGTAGCTATATGTATTATTCACATATTCAGTATGAGATTACATTTACCTCACTGGGAGAAAAAAATACATCCCACTGGTCACACACTGGCTGAATTGTATTTTAATATACCTCTTTATTTAGGTTGTTGGCATGACGTTGACACAATGACGTTGATTCAAACATACCATTTTAGTATCAACATTGAAACAAGGTCAAATAAAATGTCTAATCAAATATGAAATTCAACATAATTTCAACCACCCCAATATACTGTATATTGAATATAGGATGTGGAATTTTCAATGAAATTTCAACATATACATAGTTCTTGATGATTATGTTGAAATTAGATTGATGTAACAACCTGTTAGTCAGGTTGTCATTGTATTTAAGTTGAGGTTTTACCCTAGTTTCAATGTTTACAACACTGTTTGAAATTAGATGAAAACAGTACTGGTTGATGACTTTTTGCAAATCCAAATGTGTTTTCCACATAGATTCCACGTCAAAATAGGTTGACAAACGAAGTTGAAACAACATTGATTCAACCATTGTGTGCCCAGTGCGATAGCGTCAGTTATAAAAAATTCAGACAAGCCTGATTAAAAAAAAAATCAAGACTGTCATATACCCAGAATCTCATAGTATATACACATTGACTATACAGAAGGCCAGTATTATAGGATCCAGTACATTGTAAAGAGAATAATATCTGATGGAGAAATGAAAATCCCACATCAATGGATACTGGATAGATGATATTACAAATAATATGTGCTTTACATAAGCAAGTGATTCAATTTGAGATTTCTTCCAAAAATAACACTAGCTAATAATTCTAATTATAAAACTGTTTATTTGGATCCTGGATGCCTGCTAACAGTTCCATCATGACATGTTCATGTTACTGTCCGAATCATCCCTTGTCTTTATCTCAACTCGCACATTATTTCCCATTGCTTCCAGACTAACATTTATTTTGGTAGAGCGGGGGTTAATATAAACCTTGCTGTCTGCCTGTCCAACCTCAGAAACAATGTTTAACTCTTGAATTTCGATCTCTGTAGTACCATATATAGAGTGAACGGTGCCCAGACGAGACAACTTTTTCTGAGCAATGCGAAATCACGCATCAACGACATTATCATGGACAAATCCAAGTAAATGCCAATAGAAAACAGCTCAAACGAAAATGCAGCTAGTGTACGGTCATTCCAGGTTCAATGTTTGACGTGACTGAGCTGAAGTTGGCTAGCTAGTGACACAAACGTTATCCAGCCTGCATAACAACCATTTCGTTCAGTAGAACGGACGACCATCCTTTTGCATAGCAACTACGCAAAAATCATTAACGACTGGTTCGCATCTGTAGCAACATGACCAAAATAACTAACAAACAGATTTTTGTCCGCACTATATCTTCTGGTGGAAGAATGACATTTTACGAATGTACTTATCAAAACAAAGTTAATGAAAATATGTAATTCATTGTTATGTTAATATGTTGGTAACAGATGTATAAAAGCAATACGGCAAGCAAGGCAGTGCGGCATCATGAATACAGTCACAGGCAAATGGGTTGTCTTCGATGCAGGGGCAAACAACACCATTTACCTGTGACTGTATTCGTGATACAGCACTGTATCTTGTGCCTTATCACTAACTAAACCCTCAGTATTCATTCAAAATGATGTGCTTGTTTCAAACGTCAATGGATCCATAAAGTGCCCAACTGTTAAGATAAGCAGAGCCTAAATTAACATACTTACTATACCCCTTTCACACTAGTGAGCCGAGCCCAGCAGTACTGCACTGACCTGGTTAATAATCCACCCTAGTTGCTAGAACCATGCTGGAAAGGACAATGTTTAAGGAAAATACATGAGCCAGCACAGTATGGATTGGGTCGGCACGACATTGTGAAAAAGGGTACTAATGTAAACTGGAATGTCTGTATGTGACATCTTTATTAATTTTCCGATCTTGTGCATCAACTCAAACCATGGCACACTGCCTGAGATCGCATCAGGGAGGAAGAGCATGTTGTGATGTCACTTCCGGTGTCTCCTCCTTGTCGGGTTACCATGGTTACAGGGCTGTTACTCCTTGGTGTGGTCTGAGGCAAAGGCTTGGCTGGCCACTACAGCCCACACCTGAATTAAAATCTAATCTAGCCTAACTCAATGTTCAGCCATTCCCAACCGATAAGAATGATATTAAGATTATTCCCGGTCGCAAGTAAAGGAGAGTTCTGTGTGCAAACAGAAAGGTTGTCGGGCTAATGTCTTTCAGTGCAGACAGTGGGTAGTTTGGGTTGGGGGCTTTCTCAGTCTTTTTCTCTCTTCTGGTAGGATTAGGTATCTTCTACACTCAGTCATTTACAACTGTCTCGACTTTCCAGTTTTCAGAAGTCCAGTTCTTGTCCCACTAGTCCAGTTCTTGTTCCTGATTTTAGGCAGTCGATATCAGATGAGGCAGTTCCATGTTTAGAGTGCTACTTCAGGACATCCATCGAGTGCCTTCCCCATAGGGCAGGGGTCACCTGGATTGGGTCTTTTTCTCTTGGAGGTCAGTGGTGGCTCATAGTGCACAGGGAGACAAAGAGAAGCAACATGTAGTGTGCCGTGGCGTCTGACTAGATTTCAGATGCCTGGCAGCACAGTGTCCCTGGTCTCTGCCCTTGCCTCACAGGCTGCCCTTGCGACTGGCGCAGCTGTCACAGACACGGACAGGGTGGTCCCAGCCACGGGAGGGCACGGGGCGGCTCATGGAGGAGCAACCGCTGCAGACACCCTGGCCACACGCCCGACAGTGGTGCTTGGACATACTGGGGGTGAAGGCTTTGCTGCACTGGTGGCACTGCACGATCTGGGGGTCGGGGATCCAGTAGTCAGGCCGGGCCACTCCCTTCACAAAGCCTGGAACATGGAGGAGAGAGATAAATAAATAACTCTTTATACAATAGTTGCCGTTGACAGTCAGTGCAGAGGACAAAGACTGTGTAATCTTTGTGAATATAATATTAAATGCTGTATCTTGTGGATTACTGTCTGCATATGCTGTAAATTGTCTATGATTCCTGGTGTGAAGTGTTTTTGTGAATACACAGAGACATGTATACTAGCTAGCTTTATTTGTGATGCGTTTCTCAAACACGACGCTGGTGCCAACATGACGATAGCCGTACTCACACAGAGGGTAGTCCACTGCAGTGGTGACCATGTCTAGAGTAGACTGGGCCACCTCTGTCACCCTGCGGGCCATCAGCCCCCGCGGCTCCACCACAGCCACTACAGGACACAGAGAGGGACCAACAGAGCCATCAGGATCACTGGCCCACATTCTTTTAACCTCTATTTAACCAGGAAGTTCCTTGAGATGAGTCGTCTCTTTCTCAAGGGAGATGAATGAACACTTACTATTCACATCAAACACTTAGTTTGCCTCCCAAATGGCACCCTATTCCCTTTGTTAGTGTACTACTTTTGGCCAGAGCCCAATGGGTCGAAGTAAGTAAGTAAAGTAAGTTGACTAAAAACTGATCCTGAATCAGACTAAGGTAACATCAGCTTTTACATTAACATCCATGACCCAACACTGTTCCTAAAACAGACTTTGGAGAGGGAACATCAGCTTTTACATTAACATCCATGACCCAACACTGTTCCTAAAACAGACTTCGGAGAGGTAACATCAGCTTTTACATTAACATCCATGACCCAACACTGTTCCTAAAACAGACTTTGGAGAGGGAACATCAGCTTTTACATTAACATCCATGACCCAACACTGTTCCTAAAACAGACTTCGGAGAGGGAACATCAGCTTTTACATTAACATCCATGACCCAACACTGTTCCTAAAACAGACTTCGGAGAGGTAACATCAGCTTTTACATTAACATCCATGACCCAACACTGTTCCTAAAACAGACTTCGGAGAGGTAACATCAGCTTTTACATTAACATCCATGACCCAACACTGTTCCTAAAACAGACTTCGGAGAGGTAACATCAGCTTTTACATTAACATCCATGACCAAACACTGATCCTAAATCAGACTTTGGGGGAGGTAACATTAGCTGGCATCCTGACCCTGGTTGGTGGTGTCGGTCCCTCCCTGGCGGTGGCAGGCGTCACAGACCCGGACGGGGGTGCTGCCCCAGCCCCTCTCGGGCACGGGCATCCTGCGGGTGGAGCAGGCCTGGCAGAAGCCCTCGCCACACGAACGACAGTGGTGCTTCCTCTCCGCCTCCTCAAAGGGCTTCTTACAGCAGTGACACGCCTGGGGGACAGGGACACAGCACAATAATGTCAAGAGTCAGCAGTCAAAACTATACACTCATACACAACCATACCAAACCACACAAACAGTGCCACATTTGAGAATTACAACAGACGATTATTGGTTAATGCTGCATCCTTTAGGTATTTGGGTACTGGGTCTATCGCCTCAATAAAAACAGCTATTCTTAGGCTCTGCTATCTGTTCAAAAAGCCTGTGTATGTGTTGCTGGTCTAGATGCCATGCTGCTGGTCGATGATGATGCTAGACTCTCTGATGCTATGAGAGTGATGACTCACGGTGATGTCCGTGTTGGGTCTCCAGTAGTGCGGGGCCACCTGGTCAGTGAGCCAGGAGGTGACAGCCTTGGTGGGGCCCGTACTGTACTCCGACACAGACTGGATCACAAAGTTCATCCCATCAAGCACCCTCTGGGCCGCATTCTGGTGGTCTGTCAGGAAGGCCTCAGACTGGACACACAGAGACAGGGAGAGCAACGGTCAGAGGAGAGGGAGGCCATCTTTGAACGTATTTGATATCTATGTTGGCAGTACGTATTCATCCATTCATAATTGATGATGACCATGACAATTTGAAGTACAGTGTGCAGTGTTGACGTTGCCAGTGCAAGTAACATTATCTTTATTAACCTTTGATAGCTGACATACTTTGAAAGTTAAATTAATGCCAGAGACTTATTAGCATATACAGTACCAGTCAAAAGTTTGGACACACGTAACATATTGTTTACATTTTAGTCATTTAGCAGACGCTCTTATCCAGAGCGACTTACAGTTAGTGAGTGCATAATTATTATATTTTTTCCATACTGGCCCCCTGTGGGAATCGAACCCACAACCCTGGCGTTGCAAACGCCATGCTCTACCAACTGAGCTACACGGGACACACCTACTCATTCAAGGGTTTTTCTTTATTTTTACTATTTTCTACATTGTAGAATAATAGTGAAGACATCAAAACTATGAAATAACATATATGGAATCATGTAGTAACCAAAAAAAGTGTTAAACAAATCAAAATATATTTTATATTTGAGATTCATCGAAATAGCCACCCTTTGCACACTCTTGGCATTCTCTCAACCAGCTTCACCTGGAATGCTTTTCCAACAGTCTTGAAGGAGTTCCCACATATGCTGATCACTTGTTGGCTGCTTTTCCTTCACTCTGCTGTCCGACTCATCCCAAACCATCTCAATTGGGTTGAGGTCGGGGGATTGTGGAGGCCAGGTCATCTGATGCAGCACTCCATCGCTCTCCTTCTTGGTAAAATAGCCCTTACACAGCCTGGAGTGTTGTGTCATTGTCCTGTTGAAAAACAAATGATAGTCCCACTAAGCCCAAACCAGATGGGATGGCGTATCGCTGCAGAATGCTGTGGTAGCCATGCTGGTTAAGTGTGCCTTGAATTCTAAATAAATCACAGACAGTGTCACCAGCATAGCACCCCCACACCATAACACCTCCTCCTCCATGCTTTACGGTGGGAACTACACATGCAGAGATCATCCGTTCACCCACACCACGTCTCACAAAGACAAGGCGGTTGTAACCAAATATCTCCAAAGGACACATTTCCACCGGTCTAATGTCCATTGCTCGTGTTTCTTGGCCCAAGCAGGTCTCTTCTTCTTATTGTTGTCCTTTAGTAGTGGTTTCTTTGCAGCAATTCGACCACGAAGGCCTGATTCACACAGTCCCCTCTGAACAGTTAGTGTTCTGTACTGTACTGCTGGTTACTACATGATTCCACATGTGTTATTTTATCGTTTTAATGTATTCCCTATTATTCTACAATGTAGAAAATAGTAAAAATTAAGAAAAACCCTGGAATGAGTAGGTGTGTCCAAACTTTTGACTGGTAGTGTATATTCCAACCTGTTCTGTCGCAAATGCCTCTAAATATTCTCACTGAAACTTCAACTGAGCTTGACTGACTGTTTGTATGTTGTGCCTGTCAGTACAGTGAGGGGTGTGTAGGACTAAGAGGCTCAGCTCACCCCCTCCCAGACGTGTTTGACCTCGGGCCGCACCACGCCGCACTCTGGGTTCTGGTTGCCCAGCCAGTACTGCCGGCTGCGGTAGATAATGCCACAGCTGCCACACTCCAGGACATACCTGGCAGGACAGGGGCACCGTGGAGAGGGTGGTGGGGGAAAGGATGAGAGGGGGAGGAAATATATAGTGCATTGGCTTAGATGGCAGAGTGGATTCCATGTTTGTATGTGTGCATCTTTGTATGAGTGGTACTTTATTGAACGAATTCGAGAGTCCTGGTTGAAAGGGACATCTTTAATACCATCAAAAAGTAAATATGTGTGTGGTGTGTCCCAGGTGTGGTGTGTCTCAGCAACTCACCCAGACCAGGCGTACTTCGCCAGCCCATACCAGGGGTTGTCTGATGAGGCTGAGGTTTTGGGAATGACAATAACCTCCCTGCCCCCCTCATAGCACCTCTGTGTGTGTAGGATCAGGGAGAGAGCACACAAAATATGATTAAGGCTAGCTTCATACACTTGGCTCATGCGTTTGCTTGTACTACAAATTGTCCAACACCATCTCCACAGGATTAAATCCTATATCATATACCATTTAGAAGAATACTTTATTGTCCATTTCCTTTTCAGATCACTTCAACTTTCTCTCTTGTGTCCCATCACAGACATAGACCATATGTGAAATGGCTTACCTTGCAGATGAGAACCTTGTTGTTGTACTGGTGAGCGTACTGACACAGTCCGTCTGCCAGGTGAGGGACCCTGTCTCTTAGATGGTTCATCCCGTTCTTACAGCGGATACTGAGGGGAAAGAAAACAAGGAAAACCCCTATAAAAATCAGAAGGATGGTTGAATCCATCCATCACATACCTAACATCCAAGTTACTTGTGTAAAATGTGAAGGTGTACAGTAACTATTTGGCTGAACATCTCTGAATATCTCTCTGTGCCTGCCATTTTGGTGGATGGCCGAAAGGCGTTGCTCCTTTTCTCCTAGCGGCTTAAGATGTTAGACGTGAATCATAACACATTGATAACAGGGACATACAAGGCTTTATCCTCAAGCAGTGAGAGCCTGTTAAACCACTACCTATTTCTGGATATGAACACCAATCAGTGTGTTTAGGGAAAATATTTGGGTTTCTAATCTAGCTCAAATTTCCCAAGTGAAAGAAGACACTGTACAGTACAGAATGAAAACCCATAGAGAGTGTGATGGAAATGTTTATGTTGGTGCTTTTCTATAAACCAATTTCTGTGTTCATGCTCTGTCTTCATGCAAGTGACTGACTGAACAAATCCTCACTATCAGTATCTGCAATTTGGCAGTACGCCCAGACCTTTGTTTTGAAAACCAAATATATCTCAGTTTCAAGGTCTCAGCTTAGAGAGAAGAAGCCTCATGAGGTATTGGTCTGTCACATGTTATGAACCAGTATTGGTCGGTCACATGAAAAAAAAAAACAGTAATGATGAATTAATTAGGCTAAATCATGCAAATATAACTTGTCTGTGTATAGCCGTATATAAGATAACTGCTGGGACTGCCCCAGCAGAGCTTCTGACAGATGTTCACTATGGTGCATCCAGTTTGTTGGAACTTCTCCAGCGCGCTGACAATAAACAATGACTCATTTAAGATTGACTTTGAGTGTCCCTGTGTAAGAATTTCCACGACAAGAGGTATGATTTACATAGGACAAACAGACTTTTATGCTTCCTTCGTGACAACCGATCTGGGAGGGACACATATCCTAGCACTACCTGTTCACGTGCAGCATGTGAATACACCATTCATTAGTGCACACTGTAGCAAAAATGTTTCGCAATGGAAAATGGTTTGCAATGAAAACAAGAGATTCTATTGGACAAATTCAGGTTAGTTCTTCCCCATTTTGTTTTGAGTCATGTGATAGTTACTTTGAGCAGATACATGCAGCAGATGCAGGTAAGTCACTTACTTGCAGCTGAGGCAGACTGAAGAGCAGGTGAAGTATTCGTCAGGGAAAAAGGAGTAGAGGGGGATCTTGTCGTCTAAGATCTCCCCACAGAACCTGTCACTCAGGGCCTGGAGAGGATGGGAGAAGGAGAGAGATGAGGAGACCAAGGGGTGGAAGGGGAGGAGCCAAGCAGGGTCATGAGGTCAAAACAAATATTAATTGGTTATGGAAGGCCTATTTAACCAGACAAGCACCCAATTCTCATTAACATTCACTAGTACCGGCATTACCTGTCTATCAAACAAATGAATTATGTAACAATGCAAAGATATAAACACACACAGACCTGCAGAGCGCTGAAGACGATGGCCGGTTGGCGGGGCGATCGTGTGGCAGTGTTCCTGACTTGCTGGCGTACAGCCTCCAGGAGCAGAGAGTAGTTGGTCGGAGGAGTGATAGTCTGTGTGCCCACGTACTGCACTGAGCTGAAGGCCTCTGTACCCAGGCCCAGGTCATGGAAGCGCCTCTGGAGCTGAGTGTCTGCATAGCCAGGGACATCTGTTCGCTCTGTGGGGACAAAGTAGGACATCGTCATGGGTTGAGTTCACACACCCACCTGACTGTTCTGTAAATAGTGTAGTATGTGTGGGTGTGACTGTATTAGTTGGTGAACCTGTATCTATGAGTGTGTCTCACCCAGTGTGATGGTTAAGTATGATTCTGACCTTACGTAATATGTTAGTGTATTGTTGTTCAATTCAATAAAAATATATGTTATTTATCCCCAAGGTGCAATTACTTTGGGCAGATGAGTCTGCAACAACACGACAGCATACCCCAACCATACCACAATGTGTTGTCTAACTCATGAGCAAATTGTTGTGTAATGCATGCATAGAAACATAGGATTGCATGTGGTGCATGTTAGTGACTGGGCCTCTCCTGTACATACCATAGCCCAGTAGCTGGGTGTGGGTGGTCTCCTGGAACACGATGATCGCCGGCCCCAGGGAGGAGAGGGGCACATCCATGCCACAGCGGCTGGAGAGGGCGCGCAGCTCGGGGGTGAAGTGCTTCAGGTAGGCCCCTGAGGCACTGCTTAGGAACTGGAACATGTCGTTGTGCAGCCTCTCAGCCCGCGTGCGGTACACCACCACGTCCGATACGGCCAGCACCTTCAGCAGCAGACGCATGTGCTGGTTCTGGTTGGCCGCAGACCCCAGCAGGCCCTCTGTGTCCAGAGCCACCAGGCCCAGCCCGGGGTCAAAGGCGGCCCACACGCCCACCGTGCAGGAGCTGGGGGACTTGGAGGTGTAGAACACGGTATCCCCGCCAAACAGGATGTGGTTGAGGGTGTGGGACTTGCCGTCGCCCGTGTTGCCGAAGATGGAGAGGACCTTGACGCCCTGCATGTCCCCGCAGCTCAGCCACTCCAGGAACTGAGCCTCATCATGGACCTGGGGTGATGTTGGAGAGGATGGGAGATGAAGTTATGTTATAGTTAGCTGTAGGATGTTATGTTGTCAAATACCTGGCTTACTTATGTGGTGTTGTGTATATAGTTTGTCTATCTTTATTCTACTTAATGTGTACACTAGAGGGCACTATATTGACTTGGGTCATGGGTCACATGTATAGGCACACAGGAAGTATGGATGCACAGAGGCACACCCGCCCCCAAAAATGCTTGTGCCCCCCACCACTTGAGGGAATTTATAATTAAATATAATAATTGGCTAATAATAATTGTGCCCTGCCCTCCCATGCATTTCATATGCCCCCCTTAAGACTGAGGTCTGGCGACGGGTCTGCACAGAGGTATGGAGAGAATACATGCAGATGTAATTACCATAGGCGCATATTTTAGTTCCAATGTGTTAATGGTGAGCGCGGTAAGAACAACCACATAACTAGGACAAAATGGCTCCTACATTAACATTTGGCCTAACAATATTTGCACCATTACTTTAAATATTTGTCTTTGTGCTCCTAAATTTATTTTTGTGCTCCTACATTTTTCAACTTAGGCGCACACGTGCTCCCTGTAAAAAAAGGTCAGCGTAGAGCGTAGGGGGAGCAGGGGGGGGGGGGTTACAGGTACAAAAAACTGTCAAAGAAATGCATATAAAGATAACCCCACCCCATTCCACCCCTCAGTCCCCATTCACCCGCATCCTCCCTCCCCAACCAGTAATCTTCTATGATTTATTGAGAGATTCAAGGGGCTATCATCATTAATTAAGTAACATAACAGATGCAAAGCATTTAAAATTTTAATTCATGCACTTCTAAATTATTTTCTTTACTTTGCCGAAGAAGCATATAACTGCAGGGCACTCCCAAATTAATATGCTTACCTGATGTCGGGGGCACAGTGAACAGTTGGGGTCAATTTCAACATTAAACGTTTCCTTGGTGTTAAATACAGTCTGTGAACAAACTTAAAATGTACACTACCAGTCAAAAGTTTGAGTTTTACCTACTCATTCAAGGGTTTTTCTTTATTTTTACCATTTTCTACATTGTAGAAAAATAGTGAAGACATCAAAACTATGAAAGAACACATATGGAATCATGTAGTAACCATAAAAGTATTAAACTTCTTCAAATAGCCACCCTTTGCCTTGATGACAGCTTTGCACACTCTTGGCATTCTCTCAACCAGCTTCATGAGGTAGTCACCTGGAATGCATTTCAATTAACAGGTGTGCCTTCTTAAAAGTTATTTTGTGGAATTTCTTTCCTTCTTAATGCGTTTGAGCCAATCAGTTGTGTTGTGACAAGGTAGAGGTGGTATACAGAATATAGCCCTATTTGGTAAAAGACCAAGTCCATATTATGGCAAGAACAGCTCAAATAAGCAAAGAGAAACAACAGTCCATCATTACTTTAAGACATGAAGGTAATGTGTATGCATCTTTCAAATCTTGGAATGTTCTCAAACCATTGCTGTCCATGATATCGGTATGGTATGGATACCACATTTGGACCATTGGGGGATACAAAGGCCGCCCTCCAGATCACAAGACATTATTGTGAAATATTGGAGTATGGGCATGCCAATAAATTTGATTTCGTAATCCAAGATGGCGTAGCAGTGCGGTCGTGTATTCTGTAGTGTGCCAGTTTTTTTGTTTTTTTGTCTTTTTCGTATATATTTCTCAATCTCACTTTTCATCCTTCAACTAAATATACTTTCCTGCAACCCGCCTCACCCAATGTGGAATGGATTCTATTATTTCTTATTCCTTTTTATCTAGAACCTCCGGCTGAAACTAGCCAGCTAACTAGCTACTTGCTATTAGCCACCGTTAGCGGTTTTCACCATTGTCCATGGCCTGCACTACCTACCAGCCAGCTCTATCCTGGACAATTATCGGACAGTCTGCACAGTATGCACAGCGCGCTATCGACCCAGAACATATCGGATTTTCTGCCGGAATCACTGAGTCACTGGACCTTAACACCGGATCATTGCAACTAGCTAACTGCAACCGAATGGATGTTGTTGTTGGCTAATCACCACTGTCCCGAAGCTAGCACCAGTTAGCCTTGAGATAGCCTCGAGCCAGGCCCATCTCCCGGCTATCTACCTCTATGTCAACCGGACGGGACCTCCTAGTGTCGACACGGAGCCCCGCCGATCCATCACGACTGGTCTGCCGACATAATCGTCTGATATGGTTTCAACAGGCTTCCCGTTGTGATGACCACGAAGATCCATCTGCTAGCCCTGGCCTGCTAGCACACGCAATCAACAGCCGTGCCTCTTGCTCGCCTGTGCCGTAGCAGCCATCGAACTGCTCCTGGACTCACCTATTGCTGTTCACTGGACCTTATGATCACTCAGCTACACAGCTGATGCCTGCTGGACTGTTCCTTTACACGGTACCCCATCCTGTTTATCTGTCCTGTTTATCTGTTTAGCCTCAGCCAAAACTTTTGTCGCCATTACCAGTTGTTGCCTTAGCTCTTTCAAATAACACCTGTGATTGCTTTATGCCTCTCTCCCATGTCAATATGCCTTGCCTATTGCTGTTTCGGTTAGTTCTTAATATACAATTTCACTGTAGAGCCCCCAGTCACGCTCAACCTGCCTCAGATAGCTCCTTTGTCCCACCCCCCATACACGCGGAGACCGGCTCAATCGGTGCCTCCAGTGATGCCATCTCTTTCATCGTTACCGAACGCTTAGGTTTACCTCCACTGTACTCACATCCTTCCATATTCTTGTCTGTAAATAATGCCCTGAATCTATTCTACAACGCCCGGAAATCTACCCCTTTTATTCTCTGTACCCAACGCACTAGAAGACCAGTTCTTAAAGCCTTTATCCGTATACTTATTCTACTCCTCCTCTGTTCCGCTGATGATGTAGAGGGTAACCCAGGCCATGTAGCCCCCAGTATCACTCCTACTCCAGGCACTATCATTTGTTGACTTCTGTAACTGTAAAAGCCTTGGTTTCTTGCATGTTAACATCAGAAGCCTCCTCAAATTTGCTAAAATGCAAATCAATTTATAACATTGACATGCGTTTTTCTGGATTTTTTTGTTGTTATTCTGTCTCTCACTGTTCAAATAAACCTACCATTAAAATTATAGACTGATCATGTCTTTGTCAGTGGGCAAACGTACAAAATCAGCAGGGGATCAAATACTTTTTTCCCCTCACTGTATCTACTCCCAAATGCTTAAGATGGGAAATGATTGGTAGAGATGGAGTCCTGAGATGGTAGAGATGGGGTCTTGAGAGGCAGTAGGGCCGATTTGGTTAGATACATTTTATAGCTTGAGATTAAGCTGAATTTATCTAGGATACATTGACTAGATATAGTAAAATATCATCTGTGTATAATGAGATGAAGTGATCAGTAGATTTTAGGGAAATGTGTGTTATTTCCTTCAAATTGACAAATTGCCTGGGCTTCCATGGATAATAGGAATAGCAAAGGCGAAATTGGATCGCCTTGTCTGCTGCTTCTAGTGATTTTGAACAGAGCATTGCAGAAATTGCCTGTTATAACTATGGCTGAGGGATTGGCATATAGCATTTTAATCATATTAATGAAATTGGAGCCAATTCCCATAAGTTCCAAGACAGACCAGAGATATGACCATTCTAGTCTATCAAAAGTGTTTTCTGCATCAACAGATAATACAGCCTAAGAAGCTGTTGTTTCTGATTAAGCATCTAAGATATGTAATAGTCAACAGAGGTTATCCGAGGATAAACACTTTTTAACAAACCCGCTTTTGTCAGTGTGGACCAATTTGGGTAAGCAAGTGTCGAGATGGGACAGCAACATTTTAGAAAACAGTTTAATATCTGTCTTTATCAAAGATAGGGGCGATAGTGAGAACACTGGGTGGCATCCTTACCTTTTTTAAATAAAAACTAAATTAGTGCTGTATTCACATCCCTCCCAGATGAACCTTTGTGAATGGCTGTATTAATCATTTTGAGCAATAGTGGACCTAATTGATTCAAAACGTTTAAATAGACCTCAGGAGGAATACAGTCCTATCCAGGTGATTTGCCTTTATTCATGCTATCCAAAAGCGTTTGAGATCACTGAGAGAAATTTGGGCTCCCAGTAAGGTGGCTTCCTCTGTTGAGAGAAGAGGAGCTCTTAATTATTTTAGAAAGAACTTAGTCTGGCTTGGTGTGGATTTACAATCAGAGGTGTACACAGTTCTTTATAGAAGCGGAGGAATCTGATAGTAATTCCCCTGTTTCAGATTCAATAGATGCTATATCAGCTAATTGATCATTACTGCGTAGCTTGTTGGCCAGTAAATGACTGGGACGATTACCATGGAAGTAATGGTAGAGTCTTACTCGATGGATGGCAAATCCTGCTCTCTGTCTTATCAATAAATTAAGTTATGTCTTGACTTTGGAAAGAGTAATAGCTACCTGGTCTGAAAAGAGTGTTTGTTGAGAACAGTTAATCAACATTTCAAAATCTGCTATCTTCTTTAATTTTGATTTATTCAACTCGTTTACATAAAAAAATTGTTTATGTAAACGAAAATCCCAGAACCACACGGGGGGACCTAGTGAATGACCTGCAGAGAGCTGGGACCAAAGTAACAAAGCCTACCATCAGTAACACACTACGCCGCCAGGGACTCAAATCCTGCAGTGCCAGATGTGTCCCCCTGCTTAAGCCAGTACATGTCCAGGCCCGTCTGAAGTTTGCTAGAGTGCATTTGGATGATCCAGAAGAGGATTGGGAGAATGTCATATGGTCAGATGAAACCAAAATATAACTTTTTGGTAAAAACTCAACTCGTCGTGTTTGGAGGACAAAGAATGCTGAGTTGCATCCAAAGAACACCATACCTACTGTGAAGCATGGGGGTGGAAACATCATGCTTTAGGGCTGTTTTTCTGCAAAGGGACCAGGACGACTGATCCGTGTAAAGGAAAGAATGAATGGGGCCATGTATCGGGAGATTTTGAGTGAAAACCTCCTTCCATCAGCAAGGGCATTGAAGATGAAACGTGGCTGGGTCTTTCAGCATGACAATGATCCCAAACACAACGCCCGGGCAACGAAGGAGTGGCTTCGTAAGAAGCATTTCAAGGTCCTGGAGTGGCCTAGCCAGTCTCCAGATCTCAACCCCATAGAAAATCTTTGGAGGGAGTTGAAAGTCCGTGTTGCCCAGCGACAGCCCCAAAACATCACTGCTCTAGAGGAGATCTGCATGGAGGAATGGGCCAAAATACCAGCAACAGTGTGTGAAAACCTTGTGAAGACTTACAGAAAACGTTTGACCTGTGTCATTGCCAACAAAGGGTATATAACAAAGTATTGAGAAACTTTTGTTATTGACCAAATACTTATTTTCCACCATAATTTGCAAATAAATTCATTAAAAATCCTACAATGTTATTTTCTGGATTTTCTTTTCTCATTTTGTCTGTCATAGTTGATGTGTACCTATGATGAAAATAACAGGCCTCTCATCTTTTTAAGTGGGAGAACTTGCACAATTGGTGGCTGACTAAATACTTTTTTCCCCCACTGTATCATTACGATTACACCTTTAGTTTTGTTTGGGGCTGATGAAAAAGCAGCCAGTTGGTACAAATGGTTCTGCATTTTATGAGTCCTTATGGAGCAGGTGTGTTTCTTGGAGCATTGCTATATCAATATGGTTTCTTGCTAGGATATCAAGACAGCTGGAACGTTTGATAGGAAAATGTAGGCCTTTCAAATTCACCCCTCCCTGGACTCTACACAGTGTCGCAAGCGTTCCACAGGGATGCTGGTTCGTGTTGACCCCAATGTCCTTTGGGTGGTGGACCATGCTTGATACACATGGGAAACCATTGCGCCTGAAAAACCCAGCAGCGTTGCATTCCTTGACACACTCAAAAAGGTGCACCTGGCACCTACTACCATACCCCGTTCAAAGGCACTTAAATATTATTTCTTGCCAATTCACACTCTGAATTGCACACATACGCAACCCATGTCTCAATTGTCTCAAGGCCTAAAAATCCTTCTTTAACCAGTGGATTTAATAAGTGACATCAATAAGGGGTCATAGCTTTCAACTGGATTCACCTGGTCAGTCTGTCATGGAAAGAGCAGGTGTTCCTAATATTTTGAACACTCAGTGTATGTGCTCTATACTATGTACAAAAAACATGAAGATGTATTTGTAAGAACACCGCCTCCAACCGAGACTACACTTCCTCCCCTCCAATTTCAGCTTCAAACGACCCCAATAGAGCATAACTGGGAAGGACTCCTGAGTGGCGCAGTTGTCTAAGGCACTGCATCTCAGTGCTAGCTGTGCCGCTAGAGATCCTGGTTCGAATCCAGGCTCTGTCATAGCCGGCCGTGACCGGGTGACCCATGGGGCAGCGCACAATTGGCCCAGTGTAGGGGAGGGAATGGCCGGCAGGGATGTAGCACAGTTGGTAGAGCATGGCGTTTGCAACGCCAGGGTTGTGGGTTCGATTCCCACGGGGGGCCAGTTTGAAAAAAATAAATAATAATAATGTATGCACTCACTAACTGTAAGTTGCTCTGGATAAGAGCGTCTGCTAAATGACTAAAATGTAAATGTAAGGAAATGTAGTACCTCGGGCTGATGGCTGTGCTTTTGATAATTCTGTCGGGTGCAACCAGGATGCAACATTGCTAAACTGCATACAGTAAGTGTATATTATGTATTTGAAAGATTATTTCTCCTTGATGTGGAAGTTCCAAAGATTTCCAAAACAGATTGTCTGAATTGTAGTTCATTGATCCAGGTGTGGTCCTGGTGTTCAATTGAGAACTCAAGGGCTGGGTTGCTAGCCATACCCCATTGGGCTCTCGAGAGCTAGGCTCAACCCTACAAGACAGTTAATTAGCTTCAGTCAAGGCTTAAGTGTGGCTAGCTGTTTTTAGTGGTCCTCTGTAGCTCAATTGGTAGAGCATGGCGCTTGTAACGCCAGGGTAGTGGGATCGATCCCCAGGACCACCCATACGTAAAAATGTATGCACACATGACTGTAAGTCGCTTTGGATAAAAGCGTCTGCTAAATGGCATATTATTATTTAGCAATGCGGGTCTATTTAGATACACTAGTGTTACTCCCAATTGTATTGGGTTGCACAAAAACAGTACACAGGAAGCCAGATGTTAAACACAATTCCATTTCAACTTACGGTGCCGGTTGGCAGGATGATTGGTCATTATGATGGGAATTTGAGACAGAAAATCTAAAGGATCGTATTATTAAACAGACTTTCCAAACGTGGGTCTGGTGTAGACCCACTTCCTCTCTGCATACCTCTAGTCAAAATAAAAGTCCTGCATGTGTGCCATATGTGGTAAAAAAAAAAAAGAATAACATGTGGGGGCCTTTTATTTTGACATGAGGTATAGGTCCCCTGTAGCTCAGTTGGTAGAGAATGGCGCCTGCAACGCCAGGGTTGTGGGTTCGTTTCCCACGGGGGGCCAGTATGAAAATGTATGCACTCACTAACTAAGTCACTCTGGATAAGAGCGTCTGCTAAATGACTGAAATGTAAATGTAAGGTGAGGAAGTGGGTCTGCAACAGCCCACCGGTACAGTAAGTCAAAATGGAATTGTATTTAACTTCTGTTTTTGTACAACCCAATACAACTGGGAGCACCAAGTATGTAAATACACCTGTGTTGCTAAAAGCATATAGAGTGTGGTGTGTTTACACAGCCTGATTAATTGGGGACATTCCTGAAAGGAAACTGAAACAATGCCAGTCATACTGACAGACCATAGAGCTAGATAGAGGCCCTAATATCTGTATCTGTGACAGTATGGGCAGCGCCATTGAGGCTACAACCCATAGGGATCCCCACCCAGTTGACTACTTTAAATGGCGGAAGCCCTCAATGGCGCTGCCCATGCTCAAATGTCCTTTTGGCCACTAGAGGCCTCTATAATTATCTATGTGACAGACATCAAGGTATAATACTCCTGCCCTTTTGAAAACGAACCATCTTTAACGTTAACTTTGACTAGCTAGTCATATTTACATGGCTACAGTTAAATCATTCCTATCAAGTTTGCTGCGCGTCGACCATTTCGAAGAAATTGCTACAAAACAACAATAGCCTTCTAGTACTGTTCATCCGCTACCGACGTACCGTAGTAAGTTAGGTTAGCTTAGACGAGGCCCATGTCAAAATAATGAGTAACGTTAACGATAACTAACTAACACCGTAGTTGGCTGTTAGTTGTGCAGTCAAGACGGGATGGCAACGTGACATATTTAATTTTGTTACACAAAAATGACATCTGGCTAATGTTACCCTTTGGCCAACCAGTGTGGACTTTGTTTTCATTCTGCTAACGTTAGCCAGTTAACGTTAGTTGCGTGCTAGCAAACCGACGTCGTTACCTGCAGATTTTCTTGTTCGTCAACCAAAAGAAAACTCCGACCATTTTCCGGGTGTTCTTCTGTTTTTATGTGACAAAGCGATACCTCCTCCATTTCTTTCATCAGTACTTCGGACATTGTTATTAAACAATCCCTAGACTGACGGTAGCAGAAACTTCCCCCACTCCCGATAACAACAATACAACGCATGGATTGGTGAGGGAGGAGCCATCAGCAATGGAGCACGCAAAAGACAACGTAATTACGTGAGAAGCGTTCTGTCGTATGCTCAGCAGCAGCACCATCTTGTGGTGAATATGCAAATTCACACGGAACCAATGAACACGGCATGATAAGTGAAAACCACTGAACGCAAGGGTAGAGTGCACAAAATTAGATACTGGACCGCCTAGAGTCGAAATAGCATAATAAAAAAATCCCTATAAAAATCCGTCTGTTTAATCTAGAGCTATAACAGTTTTTTTTTGCATGGGCTGCGTCTCAGGCCTTCTGCATCTGAGGTGAAAGGAGGCAGATCTACAGCAGTAATTGTCAGACCATGAGACTTCCCGAAAATCGGTGTTCTCACGAAAACATCTGTAGCGTCCAAACGGTTATAACCCCTAACTATTATGACCCCTCTATGGAAAGGTGAGAATCTCACGAACATGTAGCCTACATGTCAGTTTTGCTATAGGACGCCCACAAGCCTCAAAAGACTCATCTGAAGGTAGACTGGTACCTGTTAAAAAAATTAATGGAAGGATTTAGTGTCTAAAAAAAATTGTTAAATAGAGCAGGCCTGTGTATTTTTGTAAAAAAAAAATTAACAAATCATTTCCTGATCTTTCTTATATCTCTGAGATATAGGAAAGACACTTCAAAACAAACTTCCTTTTTATTTTATTGTAATACATTTTTCCATGTATGAATATGTTATTCAATGTGTTTCTATGGGATAATAGCAGTAAGGCCAAATTCAATGTTTCCACAAATATTTTGTACATATATTTTTTTATAACTAAAGGGGTCCTAAAATTCAAAATCAAATAACTAAATGTTCCTTGGTATGACCATCTTAAAACAAATCTATATGTTAGCTCAGTAGAATCAGCTGTGTAGTGCTAGGGCAAAAATCACAAAACGTGCACCCCTTTGGGTCCCAAGGACCCAGTTTGTGAAATCCTGCTCTAGGGGGATAGGCCTACATACAGTATGTACATAATTTTTTGCACTAACTCCTATCTGCATAATTTAACCTTTGAACTTTTTTGTATTTACATTTTTTGGGGGGCCTGAGTACTGCCCTACCTTGTATGGAAACCCGACATTGAATTGAATTCTACGTCGGGCAGAAATTAGCGTTTGAATCAGGGAAGTTTCCTCTCATGACTCTACAAGCCAGAATGTTGAATACAATTCTATTTTAATGTACAGGACCAGTCAAAAGTTTGGACACACTCCAGGGATTTTTCTTTATTTTTACTATTTTCTACATTGTAGAATAATAGTGAAGACATCAAAACTATTAAATAACACACATGGAATCATGTAGTAACCTTGATGACAGCTTTGCACACGCTTGGCATTCTCTCAACCAGCTTCATGAGGTAGTCACCTGGAATGCATTTCAATTATCAGTTGTGCCTTGTTAAAACTTAATTTAAGCTAACAGAACGTGACCGCCGAGTGCTGAAGCGTGTAAAAATAGTCTGTTCTCAGTTGCAACACTCACTACTGAGTTCCAAACTACCTCTGGAAGCAACGTCAGCACAAGAACTGTTCGTCGGTAGCTTCATAAAATGGGTTTCCATGGCCAAGCAGCCGCACACAAGCCTAAGATCACCATGTGCAAAGCCAAGTGTCGGTTGGAGTGTAAAGCTCACCAACATTGGACTCTGGAGCAGTGGAAACGCGTTCTCTAGAGTGATGAATCACACTTCACCCTCTGGCAGTCCCACGGACGAATCTGAGTTAAGCGGATGCCAGAAGAACGCTACCTGCCCGAATGCATAGTGCCAACTGTAAAGTTTGGTGGAGGTTGAATAATGGTCTGGGCCTGTCTTTCATGGTTCGGGCTAGGCCCCTTAGTTCCAGTGAAGGGAAATCTTAACGCTACAGCATACAATAACATTCTAGACGATTCTGTGCTTCCAACTTTGTGGCAACGGTTCAGGGAAGGCCCTTTCCTGTTTCAGCATGACAATGCCCCCGTGCACAAAGTGAGGTCCATACAGAAATGGTTTGTCTAAATCAGTGTGGAAGAACTTGACTGGCATGCACAGAGCCCTGACCTCAACCCCATCGAACACCTTTGGGATGAATTGGAACGCCGACTGCGAGCCAGGCCTAATCGCCCAACATCAGTGCCCGACCTCAATAATGCTCTTGTGCCTGAATGGAAGCAAGTCCCTGCAGCAATGTTCCAACATCTAGTGGAAAGCCTTCCCAGAAGAGTGGAGGCTGTTATAGCAGCAAAGGGGGGGACCAACTCTATTTTAATGCCCATGATTTTGGAATGAAATGTTTGACGAGCAGGTGTCCACATACTTTTGGTCATGTAGTGTAGTTTGATACTTGAATCAGCAAAGAACAATCAATAATACCAAGGTAACCCATAGACACTGCAGCCCAAAGCTCGGTGAAACCAAGGTAAAAGGCAGTAACTGATGTGAGGGATGGAAGTTACTGCTTTTTTCCTTGGTTTCACTGTAACTTTGTTGCAGTTACTGCAAAAATAACAGCCCATTTTCTCCATAACACAACACAATGGAGGCAGGATATTTATTCACATGATAAAGCATGTATTGAATGTGTCAAAAATGTGCGGTTAATGCTCTTTTGCTTGGTATGACATGCACTCCACAGTAAATTCAGAACATTTTGTGCCTGGGTATATTTTATTGGAATAGTCTTTCATAGACTGTGCTTGCTAATGTTCATTAAATATTTGTTAGCAGAGATTTATAAATATCACATGTCACAGAGTGGCTTCAGTGGCGCCACTGCTGTTAAACTGACATGGAGAGAAATTCCATCACTGCTGTGCCCACTGTCTTGGTTCAACAGATGAAGCAACTCCTAAAATAATCAATTATCCTCCCTACTCCACTGTCCCCCAAAACGATCAATTATTAAACCTCTTCAGCGTCGGCTCACCTAGAATAGATTATATTATTATCAATTCGCCTATCAACACATCCCTCTTCCAGAAGAATGAGCCCAGCATGGACAGTAAACTCTATGTAGTATAATCTTCCACAATCGATTTATGACATAAAAATGACCAAAAAAGCGAATACTCAAATAGGTAATTCACCTTACATTCCAACCTGGGCACTGTCCAAGACAGGATGAAATTCTGATGTTGGTGAAACATAAATCTACAATTTAGCGTCCTATAGTTGAAACATTGTTTCAAAAAGTTGCTATTGTTACATTGAAACACAGGACATAACTCCTTAGCATCCTCTCTGAGAGATGGTGCGCATACAGCCTCGCCCTTAAAATGTATTTCGATATCTGCAAGACAAGGAAACAATGCATCAGTTAGAACTGGAACCTACAGACTGACAGTCCAGTAGCACACCAACCTTGACATTACAGTAGACGATTTGGTTTACCCATAGAAGTCCAAGGCGGGACCGTTATACAGTTGACCGCGATACATACTGGTAGTTGTAGTGCATTGACTCTTAGCATGTTGCATATTGACATGTGCAAAAACTACATTTCCCCAGACCTGTCACTGAGCGTTCCCGCTCCTATTGGCTGGCAGCTCCAGCCGCAGCCCCAGAGAATGAATGAAATTGAAACTGCTGGTATATTACATGTGCAATACCGGGATCTGCAGTGTTACATTGTATCTATCATACTATATCAAAATGGCCACAGTGGTACAGAACCCCCTGAAATCGTAAGTGCATACATTTTATATTTTACATTTTTAGGGATACATTTGTGGATGCTGTCAGTCCATGTAGCCTAGGTAATCGTTGACAATTTTATGCATCGTAAAGAAGTATCCAGCCTATAGGCTACATCGCAAGCATATAGCAAGCTACATATATTAAATGGTAGTGTAATAGCGATGGAAAGGTATATTTGAAACAGGCCTGGTTATGTTCCAAAATGCAGAGCTTCCTATGCATGCCTAGAAACAATTTCACTGAGCCAGCAATTACATGAGGACGCTATGGTGGAATGTTGAGGTACAATTTATGACCTGGTGTCCCTACTCAATAGACAAGATCGCAGCCAACTTGCATGACTGATCGGGTAGAGGTTTTCTATCAAACCAACTACCTAACAATAGCGAATAATAGCGAGTGGCAGCGTTTTTTTTTTAAAAGGTTGTGCTTGATACCTGTTCACATTTTTGCGTTAGGCTGTAAACAGGTACGTAAAACCAAGCTGGTGGTACCCTATGTCGGCTGAAACCTAATACCCTTTGGACATCCTTTTCTTGTAGACAGACCTCTTGGCAAAATAGCCTACGTGCTTGCGATTATAATGGCAGCAGTGTTTACAGGCAGCGCATCTCCGCTCCAACAAGACATGCGTTCCTATATGCAAACACCTGATAAAATATTGTGTAGCCTTGCATCATATAAAATGGTTAACTTATGTGACGGGAGTGATTGCTTTTATTAGACTATTATTATTAGACTAGTCGCGTTGAACGGTGAACATTCCATCAAGTTTACATTCGATTCCTTTGTGCAGAATTTACACAAGAACATTTCAACGTGCGGAATGCAGCCTGGGCTCGTGTCCAAAAGGTGGCTGTGCGTCTGTCCGCCTGGTAAGATGCACTTGAGAGACCTTTTCGATTAGAAATAATTGAAAACATAATAACTCGACTCTCTAAAATGTATTTTTGGAGTGTTTGGTTAAATGTAGGCATTTGCAGCCTGTCTAACAAAGAACGTGGTAGCCTACTGTAGTGCGGAACACAACGGATGTTACCTGAGCGGGAATGTAGTTGCGATGCAGTCGATGCTGTGCTGTCAGCGCTATCTGAAATCCAGACAGGCGACATTTCATGTAATTCATGAATTACAACGAATTACCTTAAGTATACGAATAGCCTAGTACAAGCAACAGTGAACTGCTTTAATTAATGTATTTGTCTACAACATAATTTATTTGATTCAGTCGATGCGCGGCAGTGATAGCATTCTAATTCTTGGGAAAACTAACACACGTTTGGCTATTTGTTGCCATAGGATATGGCCAACTAGCCTAAAATGTTGGGTTATTCATATATGCATAAATAAAACTGCACCTCTTAAATGTAATTAAATCAGCCTATTGCCTACCGATACTGATCGTGCACAGGGACCTGAGAGGTGAAAGGTGGCGCTGGAGGCATGAGCAATGCCGCTCATTTTCTCATTATAATATTCTCTGTTTAGGCTACCCCATTGTTATAGGAGAGTAGCGAGACATTTTTTATATGAAGTTGTTTCTTTTGTGTTGTTGTTTTTAAAGACATTTTAAGATGACCAGTAGCATCTTGTTCTGAAAGAGAATAGAATAAACACAGTCACAAACTGTTTAGGCCAACCAACAGTAGCCTACAACCCATTTGGTCGTTTATCAGTTATTAATTGGGATTTCCTTGTCATGTGAGTGTTTTAGCAACGCTGTGCATATCTGCGCTCCCAGTGATTCGCGCGCGGCTGAGTTCCTTTCTGCTGCCCGCCTGGTCTCTGGTCGCTCAATTACTGGGAACAAGTGGGGACATAGACGCTCCCAGAGGCCTTTGCAAGGCCATGTCAAGGGGATTCATTTGACTTATTTGCATGAAAAATACGAATGCGGGGAGCAAAGGGAATGGCATGGGATAGGAGCCATCAATGGACTAGGAACTGATTAATTCTGACTTGAATGTTTCTCAGTAAGGGTCTAGTTACCACTGCTCCCGCTGCTTATATAATGTCATCTGGCCTACTAAATTCACTAGTTATTGAGGACAACACTGATTTGGAGTATTCGGAGCTCACTACTCAACTGTTGTCCCATGCATCTCAGAGGTTCAAAGAGTTCAATTGGTGGAGGCACATCCTCAGGGAACCACAGATCTACTGGGCATTCCCCTAACCTCTCCAATGGTCCTCCTTTAATCTCTCTACTAGAGAGAGGAAGAAGGGGAAGAGAGAGCGAGAGCGAGAGAGAAGAGAGCGAGGGGAAAGAGAGAGAGAAAGAGAGAGAGTAGAGAGAGAGAGAGAGAGAGAGAGAGAGAGAGATGGATGAGAGAGAGAGGAGAGAGAGAGAGAGAGAGAGAGATGAGAGCGAAGAGAGAGAGAGACGAAAGAGAGAGAGAGAGAGACAGAAATAGAAGAGAGCAGAGAGGCCAGGTGCGAAGATCGAGAGATCTCGCTAGAGATAAGCACTATCTATATATCTCTCTAGATATCTCTATATATCTTCCCTGATATCTCTCTAACTTATCTCTCTCTTCTCTCTCTCTCTCTCTCTCTCTCTCTCTCTCTCTCTCTCTCTCTCTCTCTCTCTCTCTCTCCCCACCCCCCCCCCACCCCCTCTCTCTCTCTCTCTCTCTCTCTCTCTCTCTGACTCTATCTCTCTCTCCTCTCTCTTATCCCACCCACCCCCTGTTGCCCTCATGTTACCATCCCTGACTCACAACTAAATTCTCAGTTCTTTAGGGGTCTCTCTCTCTGTTTATTCTCTTTCCATCCATCCACAAACCTACCCCTACCCCTTGCCCTCAAGATGTCTCTTGGCCCCCCCATCCTTTCATTCTGTCACTCTACTTGGAGAAGGAGGCCATATGCTGACTGACTGTTGTGGTAGTTATTCTGCCGTGCCTGACTGATCTGAGGGAAATTAATTCCACATAATTCTGTGCTCAGGCACTGTTTAAACGAACAGCCAGGCCTGCTGAGTTCACTGGAGCCTGAGCATCCTCTTTCTCTCGCTAGGCCTCTCTCTCTCTCTCTCACTCCTATCGCTCTCTCCCCTCTTTCTCTCCCCTCTTTTTTTGTGAGGGCATTTCTTTTCTGGTTTATTGCCATCAGTCCCTCTTTTTTCCACAGCATTTCTTCTCTTTGTCTTCATGGGAAGACGAGAGTGAGACACAGATAAGTATTTTTAGCTCTATGACCTATTTCTCCATTGCTACCTAACCGACTGTCAGTCACTTCCCTGTGCTTTGGGATCCTATATGGTCACCAGCTGTAGTCTCGAGTTGTAGTTCAGGACAGGGAGAATAGGAACTACAACAGCCCTTTACAGTAGTGGCCAAGGAGGCTATTCAAATAATTCACTTAGGAAACCACTATTGGATGTGTAAGAAAGAAACAGGAAGAAGGCCTAGTATGCATGCACAGCAATGAGGGGGCTATGATTCATCAGCCATGTTGTCCAACATAGTTTCACTGGTTTTGGAGTAGTAGGATCATTTGGATAGGGCATACGACTGTGGGGGATGGTTGGGACATGGATCTAGCTGTGCGACTGGGAACATTCAGAAGAGCCCCTAACCGAATCCGATTCAGACTGACTGAAAGAAAGACAGATGAATAATAATGAGGGCAATGAAAGGGTTGAATGAAGAAGAGAGGAGACTGAGGACGTAATTCCAAACATACATGTATTTGGATGGATGCCTATTGGCAGCTTTTGTTTTGTGTGCAAAAAAATGCTTTGGGGTTATAAACGTGGTACCTTTGCTTTAGTGTTATTGCCTGTGACTGTGACAATGACAGGTAGGGATGGAACGAACAGGGTGATGCAAGGTGCACAGAATAGGCTGCAGCAATAAACATGCTTGAATTGCATTGCACAGTTGCATGGCACAGACAGAAGGTCCCAGCTCGCATTCATTATAAATCACAGGGAAAGAAAATCCATTGGAAGAAATAATGTCACAACGTTTTGTAGACATTTTAATCAGTGGTAAAGCAAATGTTGTTTACATCCACCAGTGGAGGCTGCTGAGGGGAGGATGGTCTCATAATAATGTCCGGAACGGGCAGATAGAATGGCATCAAGGACATGGAAACCATGTGTTTAATGTATTTGATACCATTCCACTGATTCTGCTCCAGTCATTACCACGAGCCCATCCTCCCCAATTAAGGTGCCACCAACCTCCTGTGACATCCACATGGCATAACAATCTACTTCTACCAGCATCCTTAACAGTCCTACTCTGTAATAATCTATAATAATCTCCAAGTATTCCTGCTCGTCCTCTCCCGAAACATTCCTCTAATCCCACTCTCTGGTCATTACTACACTCTTATTCTCTGGCACACACACACAGACACATACACACACAATTCTATACATTCTGCAGTAGTCCCATTCTACACTACACTATTTCCTCTGAGGTAATTCCTTTAGTTCCATTGTCTCTGGCCACTGGTATGGATCTCTGCTAGAGATTGTTGGGTGGAGTCATGTGAAGCAAATGAGTATTTCCTCATGCAGCACGTTAATAACGTTGGAGAGTGAGAGGGAGGAGAGGAGAGAGAGAGAAGGGAGGAGAGGAGAGAGAGAGAAGGGAGGAAGGATCCATCTACGTAATAACAGTAAAAGTCAATAAATCTCACCCGAAGGACCAGTGTTCAGCCATGGAGGTTGGATTGCCATGCCCTGATGTACTGCCCTAAATGCACACTCAGACTCACAGTACACATACACAGAATATTCAAACACATACTGTACATACACAAGCTCCAGACACAAACGCATAGACACACAATATACAGACACACAAGGAATATGTATTGTGCATAAGCAGACTCACAGCATCAGTGTTTACCAACTCCAGTTCTTGACTACCTCCAACAGCACACATCTTTGTTGTCGATCTTGCCTAGCCATCTTGTTTCAAGAGGACCACAATGGAAATAAATCCCAGACTTTATTGTGTGTTATCCTCTATGATTTTACTCATGTGCATGTATGGCTTTTTCACGTTTTATGTGTGCTTGTTTTTTTTAATGGTTGAATTAATAACTAAACTAAACTAAGCCCTGGACAAAAAAACACCTAGGGCTTGATGATTAGTTGACAAGTAGAATCAGGTGTGCTTGTTCAGGGCTACAATAACAATGTGTACTGTTGTAGGTACTGGAAACACTGTCCTCTAGAATACAGTCACATAAGCAGACACACAGATATGACACTTTATACAAAACCAGAGGCCTGTAACATGGCAACAAGGTAGTTACGGTAACATGCAGATGAATGCAAACATACCTAACACAGACCTATAGATACATAGACACAGCTACTGTACAGATGCATTCTCTCTCTCCAATTCATTCACTTACATACACACTTGCATGCACGCACACACATGTGCACACACACACACACACACACACACATAGTGATGGGGGAAAATTCAATAGTTACATTTCGCAATATTATTTTTGCGCTGGTTGGCTGTACCTGCACCAAAACTCCAGTATTTTTCCTTCATAGCTTGTTCTCCATCTTCTTTTTGAATAAGGAGCCAATTTGTTTTCAGCACTTTTATTTCCATGACTAACCAAAACTCATTTTCTTATGGCTCTCTCTTGTCCTTCTGCAGCAGACAGGTGAGCAATATGTTTGGAACATCGAATCGCAGTAAAATCACAGTATCGAATCGTAATACATATAGAATCGTGAGAATCGCAATACATATCGTATAAGTATGGTGATAATATTGTATGGTGAGGTCCCTGGTGATTCCCAGCCCTACACACATATTTTCTTTGTCTCAGTGACATGTTACATTAACAGATGAGATGTGTGATAGTCCTACAGTGGTGCAGCTGTCTGTGTTACTGTCTGTTTATGTGTCAGCATCAGCTTAACATCAGCACTGTGTGTGTGTGTGTGTGTGTGTGTGTGTGTGTGTGTGTGTGTGTGTGTGTGTGTGTGAGACAGCTCCTGGTGATCAACGCCACAGCCCCCTCAACAGCCCAATGTCTTCCAGCTGTTAGACTGGCAGATGCTAGCTGACACACTTACTTTATACACACACACACACACACATAGGCCTGCATGCACTACCACACGCACACAAACATGTACACACACACACCTGTCATCACAGCCTAGTCACTGACAGGCATCCTAGTCATGAAAAACGCTTATGTTTCACGCTACATGGCTACGCCAAAGTCGTCTCCCAAAGTGACAAGAAGTCGGTGTGCTTGTCTGTGTACGGTTCTTTATTATACACAACGTATGTTCACTGTCAAAAGTTGGAGAGCGTAGTGAGTTTGGGTGGACGCAATACATACAGGTTACAATTGATTATGTTTGGATGGAATTCATCTCTTTCCTGTACCATGCATTAAACTTCTTTGCCCTCACATGGTTTGATAATACTGCTAAGTATGTCTTTTCTAGAGCGCATACATGTCTGCCCTCATTTTCAGGGTCTGGTTGGGCGTGTGAGGCTTGGTTTGGTCTCTGTGCTGTTCAGTTCTGTGCTGTTCTGCTCACTACACCAGGCCTATAGCTTTACATCTCCTAGTCCTCAGCAGCACAGCAATCTACTGAGTACTGAGAGACCAAGAAAAGGCAGTCACATCTGTAGAGGGGGAGAAAAAAAGATAAATCATTTCTCTGGGTACTGAGAAAGAGAGGGGGAAGGAGGAAGAGAGATGGAGGGGAGGAGGAGGAGGGGGTTGAATTGGTAAGGGTGATATTGCATAGTGTAATCTGTGGGGGGATGGGTGCACAGATTGCCTTTCCTCCACCAGGCAAGGCAGAGCCTGCCTCACACTCCTGTGCTGTGTGGACCAGAGCAGTATAGCATCAGTACTGAAGGCCTATGGCCATGGTCTGACGGCTAGTCTACAGAGGCTGTTCACCACAATGCTGCCTTCACACACACCACACACACACAGGTCTACACACCTGCCTGGCACACCTGGCCATCTCAGCATCGGTCATCTGCGCAGACACACACACACACACACACGACCATCCACACAACCCACTCTCCCATATGTGTGTGTAGGACATATTGGGGGCTACTATACTGGATGGTACCAGGTTCAAACCTCATGATAGAGAGAGTGCTTTTATGAAAATATTATTTAGTGTACGTAGCAGTCTCCTGAAGGCCTACGTGATGTGAAATCATCCTTCCTTGATAATCCATTAGTTAAATGCCATGTAATTTCTCTTGCAGGGTCATTATGCATACATCCCCTTATTAACCAAGTTAGAAATCACCATTAGAAAGTAATCCCTTTTCCTAATTGGCATTTTGTAATTGTAGCTTAGTTCTTTTGACTGGTTCATAATTTACATGGTGAGGTTTCATTTTCCAATGACCTGACTTTCCCTCTAGATGGAGCCCTCTGTTTCTCTTTCATTCAAGCCACTGCTAATTGAGGCTAATTGGAGAGTGGCCAGTGGTTGGTGTTTTGGGTACTGTAGTTTGGAAATTGAAGTCGTAGCATGTACTGTGTGTAGATTTGTCATTCTGTGGACTGCAGTTTATTGCTCTTGCTTCCAATGCCTTAGAAAGTGGGTTATAGAGGGGGTTATGGTGATGGTTGTGCTATCTTGGAGGGTTGTATGTTTGCCTGTCTGTCTGTGTGTGTCTGTGTGTGTGTGCATGTGTGTGTGTGCACGTGTGCGTGTGTGTGTTTTAGTGGGTGCGCTCCCAGCCATATGCTCCTCTCTCTGCTCTGCTTTTGTTTGGACCAATCACTCCCTTCTGTTTGCCTGTTGTCGAGATGCTCTGTGGGTTTAAGATTGTTAAAAAGGCACTTGATGCTCCAGGCCTTTCCTCTTTTCTCCTCATTTGTGTGTTTTTGTGTCTATGTCTGTATTAGTGACTGGTCTAAAGCCTGTTTTACGTGTCTGTTCTTGTGTACTATCTGTGTGGTTTTGTAGGTTTTTATTTCTGGCTGTGTCTAGAGTTCTGATTGTGTAGGGCTGCTGGTGTATGGCTATCTCACACTGTCCACCTTATCTAGCAGTGCTGTTCTCCGCTTGTTTAGAATCACACTGGCCGTAGAGTTATGCTGCTGAAATAGGTTCCCTTTCCATGCTGGTGGCCATAAAGTTGATAAATTGGTCCCCCCCTTGGTGAAACATTGCCTGGCCTTTCCTGTCCACCTCTGACTGCCTCACAGAGGCCCTGCTAAGCCCCTGGAGCTGAAAGCAGGCCAGACCACCAGTACAGGCCCTCAGCTCCTCCAGGTTGTAGTAGGCCACTAGTAGAATGACTCTCTGGATGCTGATGGTGGACAGGATAGAGAAGCTTGGTCATCTCTGTCTCTGTCTGGTTTCCCTGGTGATGTTTCCTCATCTCCCACCCCTTCTAATGCGACTAGCCCCGATGCTCCTCCCTCTTTTTCCCCTGCCCTGCTACAAAGTTTCTCCCTGCAGGCGGTCACTGAGTCCGAGGTGCTAAAGGAGCTCCTTAAACTTGACCCCCCAAAAATCATCTGGGTCAGATGGTTTAGACCCTTTCTTCTTTAAGGTTGCTGCCCCTATCATCGCCAAGCCTATCTCTGACGTTTTTAACCTGTCTCTCCTCTCTGGGGAGGTTCCCATTGCTTGGAAGGCAGCCACAGTGTGTCCTTTATTTAAAGGGGGAGATTAAGCTGATCCTAACTGTTATAGGCCAATTTCTATTTTGCCCTGTTTAAAAAAAGTGTTGGAAAAACTTGTCAATAATCAACTGACTGGCTTTCTTGATGTCTATAGTATTCTCTCTGGTATGCAATCTGGTTTCCGCTCAGGTTATGGATGTGTCACTGCAACCTTAAAGGTCCTAAATGATGTCACCATTGCCCTTGATTCTAAGCAATGTTGTGCTGCTATTTTTATTGACTTGGCCAAAGCTTGTGATACGGGAAACCATTCCGTTCTTGTGGGCCGGCTAAGGAGTATTGGTGTCTCTGAGGGGTCTTTGGCCTGGTTTGCTAACTACCTCTCTCAAAGAGTGCAGTGTATAAAGTCAGAACATCTGCTGTCTCAGCCACTGCTAGTCACCAAGGGAGTACCCCAAGGCCCGATCCTAGGCCCAATGTCTTCTCAATTCACATCAACAACATAGCTCAGGCAGTAGGAAGCTCTCTCATCCATTTATATCCAGATGATACAGTCTTATACTCAGCTGGCCCCTCCCCGGATCTTGTGTTAAACGCTCTACAACAAAGCTTTCTTAGTGTCCAACAAGCTTTCTCTGCCCTTAACCTGAAAACCTCCAAAACAAAAGTAATGTGGTTTGGCAAGAAGAATGCCCCTCTCCCAACCGGTGTGATTACTACCTCTGAGGGTTTAGAGCTTGAGGTAGTCACCTCATACAAGTACTTGGGAGTATGACTAGACGGTACACTGTCCTTCTCTCAGCACATATCAAAGTTGCAGTCTAAGGTTAAATCTAGACTTGGTTTCCTCTATCGTAATCGCTCCTCTTTCAACCCAGCTGCCAAACTAACCCTGATTCAGATGACCATCCTACCCATGCTAGATTACGGAGACGTAATTTATAGATTGGCAGGGAAGGGTGCTCTCAAGCGGCTAGATGCTCTTTACCATTCGCACATCAGATTTGCCACCAATGCTCCTTACAAGACACATCACTGCACTCTATACTCCTCTGTAAACTGGTCATCTCTGTATACCCGTCGCAAGACCCACAGGTTGAAGCTTATTTATAAAACCCTCTTAGGCCTCACTCCCCCCTATCTGAGATACCTACTGCAGCCCTCATCCTCCACATACAACACCCGTTCTGCCAGTCACATTCTGTTAAAGGTCCCCAAAGCACCCATGTCCCTGGGTCGCTCCTCTTTTCATGCTTCGCATGATGTATTGTTGTCTCTACCTTCTTGCCCTTTGTGCTGTCGTCTGTGCCCAATAATGTTTGTACCATGTTTTGTGCTGCTACCATGTTGTGCTGCTGCCATGTTGTGCTGCTGACCATGTTGTGTTGCTACCATGCTGTATTGTCATATGTTGCTGCCATGCTGTGTTGTTGTCTTAGGTCTCTCTTTATGTAGTGTTGTGGTGTCTCTCTTGTCGTGATGTGTTTTCTCCTATATTTTATGTATTTATTTATTTTGAATCCCAGCCCCCGTCCCCGCAGGAGGCCTTTTGCCTTTTGGTAGGCCGTCATTGTAAATAAGAATTTGTTCTTAACTGACTTGCCTAGTTAAATAAAGGTTAAATAAAAATAAATATAAAAATAAATAAAATGTGGTATGCTCATCTCTCCCAGCCTAGCATCCACTAACCCCAAATAGTTCTTTTTTTAAGCCATCAAGGGCAAACAGCCGTGGCGTAATGTAATGAGATTGCAGGCAGAAGCGACTAAACTGAAAGCAGCCATTTTCTACAGCTGTCAACTTCTTGTTGAATGGGCCGACTTATTCTGATAGCTCGAATGGCAGCACCGGGGTGACGGGGTGGGGGAGTGGCTGAGTGGGGGAGTGTCGAGACTGATGGGCAGGGGTGCAGTGAAGGGAGGGACGTAGGGGGTAGAGGAGAGGAGGAGGGAGAGGGAGGAACCTCCAGGGTTATAGCTGCTTTGCATTTTGAATGTTTTTTTCACCTCTCTTATCACATTGCATCCCCTTCCCTCTGCTACCAGAGCTAGTGCAGCCTTTCAGCCCAAACCTATTTCCACATCACACACTTCATATTTTAAAAGCTGGGTGTATAGGTTTGCGTGTGCATGTGCGTGCATGTGTGTCCTTCTGCCTCTTTGCATTCATGAGTATTTATTTGTGTGGACATGTGCATTCTCCCCAGCCAACGTATCCATGAGGTTTGTCTAAAAATGAAGATTGATGGGAAACATTATGTCTGTGTTGTCATCCAGACGAATGACACATATATCTAGTGATTACACCAATAATTACACCACACTTTCCACCGTCATCAAAGCTATGCTGTGGAATGCCAACAGTACAGTAGAACTCACAGTACGTCAAGAATATCATACTTCCATACACAACCACATTTCTAACCTTGTTCATCATCCACCACACACCCATCCAACATCACACAGCCTCAGTTGAACTGATTTCCCTGCTACCACCACCATAGCTAAGCTTTGTCTCAAATGGCACACTATTCCCTATATAGTGCCTTGGTCAAAAGTAGTGCACTATTAGGCAATAGGGTGCCAATTGGGACATAGTCTAAGTCCCTCAGCCTTGTTCCAGTTCCTCCCTGCTGTGTGTCACATTTGGTCCTCTGGTATCCAGGCCTCCTCTCATCCCGTAGGAAGCACTGTTGGGTGACCATAGGTTGGACTGCCAGGGAGGGAAGGGGGGCACACCACACCATATCCCTTTTAATGCCCAGCCAGCAAATCTCTAATCCTCCATGCAGAGGTCTGGTCTGATGGTATAGGATGGAGTGTGACGTGTAGCCAGTCCCAATATTCTGTCTTGTCTGTTACACTGGAATATTTGCTATATTTCCTATTTACTACCATATGGATGACAAACGTATGTACTGTACAGCAGTATACTGTGTGGTTGAGATTGTATGTGCTGTGTACAGTATATTGTATGGTTGCAAATCTATGTATTAACAGTATACTCTATAGTTGCAATTCTATATACTGTACAGGTGTAGGATCTTAATTTGATCACTACTTTGTTGCTGTGAATTGCAGATGAGCTTCGTGATTGACATCAATTCCCTGAAAACCTGCACTAACACACGGTTATATTAACAGTATTGCACTTTTCATGTAGCCTCATTTTGACCAGCTAATAGCCTAACCACCGATCAAGCAACATTCTGGATTAAACGTTCAAATCCTGTTGCTGCAGGATTATTTTGCTGTGACAATATAGGTCAAATTAAGATCTGTATAGTATACAGTATGGATAATGATCCTATGTACTGCACACTACAGTACGTATACTGTGATCTTATATACTGTATATTGTATGGTTGCGATCCTATATACTGTGCACTGTATGAACAATATACTGTATGTTTGCCATGGCTGGCAACCTTGGTATTGTGACTGTGTTAGAGAAGCACCAGGAATAAAATAGGGTGGTGATGAACAGGAGGGGAGGAGGAGAGGAGAGGAGGAAGGCAGTGACTCACAGTGTCCCTCTATCTCTGTGTTCACAGGCAATCTGGAGGAACAGTTATTAAGAACAGGTAAGGGAGGAGGGAGAAGGGAGAAGGGTGGGAGGTGGGTGCACAAGATAAAATACAAAATAAACTCTCTACAGGATACACACTTACCCATGTTCACATGTACTACATAGACTTGCATTCACTTACAGTACAAATATACACACATATTACTCTAGTATCAAGTGCTCACACGTATAACTATGCATACACACACACACACACACATACACACACACACACACACATACACACACACACGCTGACATTATGTGATGTCTGGCAGTGAACAGTCTATTCTACCTCATCCGGCGATGCTGATAGCCTCGCTCTGTTCACACATTCAGAGCACTGTGTCTCACCTTTCATGTGTCACTACATGCAATGTGTGTGCATGTGCGTGCGTGCGTGCGTGTCACTTTTGATGAGTCTCTACATGCCCTGGCATAGCCCAGGTCCTCTGAGAAAACCACAGCCAGACACACAGAGAGAGACAGAGGAATGATACTGTACATTAGAAAAACCACCCATACGTAAAAATGTATGCGCACATGACTGTAAGTCGCTTTGGATAAAAGCGTCTGCTAAATGGCATATTATTATTATTATTATTTATTATTAAAAACAGATGTGCTTTCTTTATTTTCTCACTGTAGAGTGTGGATTATGCAATGTTGATCTGTGGGTCCTCAAGTGAAATGACCTAGGTTAACAGGGCTCTGTGTCTCTCTCTTGCCTCCTTGTGCCAACTGTGTGCCACCCTGTCTGTGCCAGTCTGGGAGAGGAGTTCTACAGAGAGGCCATCGAGCACTGCCGCAGCTACAATGCCCGCCTGTGTGCCGAGCGCTCCATGCGCCTGCCCTTCCTGGACTCCCAGACCGGCGTGGCACAGAGCAACTGCTACATCTGGATGGAGAAGAACCACCGCGGCCCAGGTGTGTGTGTATGTGTGTGTACTGTGTGTGTGTGTGTGTGTGTGTGTGTGTGTATGTAAGGCCTATGCTGTGTGCGTGTGTGTGTTCATGGACAACATATTAGTGTGTGTTCATGGACAACATGTTAGAGTGTGTTCATGGACAACATGTTAGTGTGTGTTCATGGACAACATGTTAGTGTGTGTTCAAGGACAACATGTTAGTGTGTGTTCATGGACAACATGTTAGTGTGTGTTCAAGGACAACATGTTAGTGTGTGTTCAAGGACAACATGTTAGTGTGTGTTCATGGACAACATGTTAGTGTGTGTTCATGGACAACATGTTAGAGTGTGTTCATGGACAACATGTTAGTGTGTGTTCATGGACAACATGTTAGTGTGTGTTCATGGACAACATGTTAGTGTGTGTTCATGGACAACATGTTAGTGTGTGTTCATGGACAACATGTTAGTGTGTGTTCATGGACAACATGTTAGTGTGTGTTCATGGACAACATGTTAGTGTGTGTTCATGGACAACATGTTAGTGTGTGTTCATGGACAACATGTTAGTGTGTGTTCCAATGCATGCACACCTGTAATAAACACAGGGTAAGAGGCAGGTTAAAGGGGTATGAGGTCTGGGGTAGGGAGGTCTGTAACACAGCCTTCACATCTTCGCTTCTCCTCTGCTCTCAGCAGCCCTTTGTCATCTCCTCCATCTCTCTATCTTTCTCTCGCCCCTCTCCTCTCCTCTGTCTCCTCTCCTATCTTTCTGTAGCCCCTCTCCTCTCCTCCGTCTCCTCTCCTATCTTTCTCTCGCCCCTCTCCTCTCCTCCGTCTCCTCTCCTATCTTTCTGTAGCCCCTCTCCTCTCCTCCATCTCTCTATCTTTCTCTCGCCCCTCTCCTCTCCTCTGTCTCCTCTCCTATCTTTCTCTCGCCCCTCTCCTCTCCTCCGTCTCCTCTCCTATCTTTCTCTCGCCCCTCTCCTCTCCTCCGTCTCCTCTCCTATCTTTCTGTAGCCCCTCTCCTCTCCTCCGTCTCCTCTCCTATCTTTCTGTAGCCCCTCTCCTCTCCTCCATCTCTCTATCTTTCTCTCTCCCCCTCTCTCACACTCCTGTGTAGTATCAGTGTCTCCCTCTGGCTGTTCCTCATTCCTCATCCAGAGAGAGAGTGTGTGTGTATGTGTACAGTATGCCTCAGAGTTTTGAGTTTGTTGTGTGTGTGTGTGTTTTGAGTGTGTATGAGTGACACAGTGTTGTTTTTACTAACATAAATGACAGATTAGAGGTATAGGTTTGTCAAGCAAATAAACCTCAACCAAAGAATTATAAAAGCTTAGTATTTCTGTTTGCACTAAAAACGGACATATCCCTTCTATTTAAAGTGGCTATAAAATGATGTTCACCCACAGAATCATTGCAGGTAGATAACATCACCACCTTAACTCCTTAATCATAGTCTGCTTTAACAGTTTTTCACATTACTTTGGCGTTGTTCTTTGTTTGGCCCCCAGGTTTGGCCCCAGGACAGTTGTATACTTACCCTGCCCGCTGCTGGCGCAAGAAGAGACGACTAAACATTCTGGAGGACCCACGCCTCGGACCCATTGAGTTTAAGATCGGTAAGAGACAGACAGGAAAACTGAGTGGGCCGTGGAATGACAGAGAAAAGCCTCTGTACAGCACAGGAGGTTGGTGGTACCTTAATTGGGGAGGACGAGCTCATGGTAATGGCTGGAGTGGAATAAGTGGAATGGTATCAAATACATTAAACACGTGGTTTCCAGGTGTTTGATGCCATTTCATTCATGCCGTTCCAGACATTATTATGAGATGTGCTCCCCTCAGCAGCATCCTGTGCTTTACAGTAGCTGTATTTGCATGGTTGTGTTAGTCTGTCAGGGCAAAGTGATAGCTGGGAATGAATTCTAACACATGTATTAGCAGGGGAGTGTTACTGTAATGTGTGTATTGGTGGGGGATACTAACGTACAGTGTGGTGTGTGTGTGTATGTGTTCAGACTACGAGGCGTCTCTGAAGAAGGAGGGGGGCTTGCCGGAGGGGCCGGTGTTGGAATCACTGCTCAGTGGAGAGACTCTGGACAAGAAGGTGGAGACCAAGGAAGAGGAACCTATGAGCGAGTGCCAGGTAAGAGAAGCTTAGAATCACTCATGATCGCCCGCACACACACACACACACACACACGCAAGTTCTAGTTTCCCTCTCTCATGCTCTCGTCGAACCCGCTGACCCATTCCTCTACTTCTTCACCTGCTGTGTAGTTTCTTTCTCCTCTCTCTCTCGAGAAGAAGAAGGGCTATAGAGAGAGAGAGAGAAGCGAGAGAGCGAGAGAGAAGAGCGAGAGAGAGAGAGAGAGAGAGAGAGAGAGAGAAGCTAAGAAGAGAGGAGGAGAGAGATCCTCTCTCCCTCTCGACTCTTATTCTCGAGAGAGAGATCGCAAAGTAGAGATAGAGATAGAGCTATATCTATCTTCTAAATCTGTCTCTCTCTCTCGCTCTTCTCCATACTCACTGTCTCTCTCTTCGTGCCTTTCTCTTCTCTCTGCTCTCTTATCTCTCTCTCTCTCGCCATCTCACTCTCTCTCTCTCGCTGTCTCTCTCTCTCTCTCTCTCTCTCTCTCTCTCTCTCTCTCTCGCTCGTGCCTCCCTCTCATGGCCCTGTGTATAGTATCAGTGACTCTGGTTGGCAGTGACACATCCCCTGCAGCCATGACACACCCCCAATGGCACAGTTCCTCTCCTCCTCCCCAGAGAAAGTGTGTGTTTTGGACAGAGACTGTGTGAGTGTGTGTTTAGGAGGGAGAGAGAGAGACACACTGTTGGTGTGTGTACTGTATGTGTAAATGTATTTGTGTGTGTGTGTATGTGTGTGTGTGTATTGTATGTGTGTTTCTGAATCTCTGTGTGTGTGTGTGTGTGTGTGTGTGTGCCTGCTTCCTCTTCCGGATGAGCTGTCATCTCCTCTCTGTGAGCCCTGTGTCTCCAGTCCCTACCCCACCTGCTCCAGATGTGACAGTCTTCCTTCCGTAAGGTCGACAATTAGCCAATTAGCACTTCAATAAATGGCTCACACAGCAGGCCCGGGGCTCCACTGGGGGTAGGCCTCTGATCCTGGGCCTCGCCTAGCTCTCTTATCCAGCAGGAAGCTAACAGAGGAGGGCTTTGGTTTCCTCCTCCATTACAGCTTCTCTCCATATGCTCCTTTTAGAGTTTGTTCTTTTGCTACTTGTGCCACTTGTTTTTTTGTCACCTCTCTTGGTTATTTATCAAGCATTCTTTCACAGACCCATGTGTTGTACTTTCTATTTGCTGAATATGTTGATACTTGTTTTGCTGATGAGAGGAAGTGTTTCTTTCACTCCTACATTTTAGGAGTGAATGAATAACAGCATAGTGTTCTCCTGGTCACGAGCAGTTGCAACAGGGGGGATGTTTGTGTTAAAGGAGGGGAGGCCACCCTTACTGGTCTAACTAATGGAGTAATTGTCCTTTGGGCTTACTTTCTCTGTCTCTGTGTCTCTCTCTGTCTCTATCTCTCTCTGTCTCTGTCTCTGTCAATTCAATTAAATTCAAAGGGCTTTATTGGCATGGGAAACATATGTTTACATTGCCAAAGCAAGTGAAATAGATAATAAACTAAATTGAAATAAACAATAAAAAATGAACAATAAACATTCCACTCAAAAAAGTTTCAAAGGAATAGAGACATTTCAAATATCATATTATGTCTATGTGTTGTAACGATGTGCAAATAGTTAAAGTACAAAAGGGAAAATAAATAAACATAAATATGGGTTGTATTTACAATGGTGTTTGTTCTTCACTGGTTGCCCTTTTCTTGTGGCAACAGGTCACATATCTCGCTGCTGTGATGGCACACTGTGGTATTTCACCCAATAGATATGGGAATTTATAAAAAAATTGATTTGTTTTGGAATTCTTTGTGGGTCTGTGTAATCTGAGGGAAATATGTGTCTCTAATATGGTCATACATTTGGCAGGAGGTTAGGAAGTGCAGTTCAGTTTCCACCAAATTTTTTGGGCAGTGTGCACATAGCCTCTCTTCTCTTGAGAGCCAGGTCTGCCTACGGCTGCCTTTCTCAATAGCAAGGCTATGCTCACTGAGTCTGTACATAGTCAAAGCTTTCCTTCATTTTGTGTCAGTCACAGTGGTCAGGTATTCTGCCACTGTGTAATCTCTGTTTAGGGCCAAATTGCATTCCAGGTTTTGGAATCGCTTCCTTTTGGTGGTTGTAGAATTTAACGGCTCTTTTCTGGATTTTGATAATTAGCGGGTATCGGCCTAATTCTGCTCTGCATGCATTATTTGGTGTTTTACGTTGTACACAGAGGATGTTTTTGCAGAATTCAGCATGTCTCAGTCTCTCTGTCTCTCTCTCTGTCTCTCTCTCTCTCTGTATCTCTCTATTTGTTTGTGTCCCATGTATGACCTGGTCCCTGTTTTATTGTACTGTTATCCAGTTGCAGAACCAGGAATTCACTGGGGTAGCTGAGCATTCTTTATTGGGGGTGCTAAAGGGGGTGCTAGGCTTATTCTTGAGGGTGCCCCTCCCTGGAGCCCCTCCCTGGAGCCCACTCCCTGCTGATATCTCCTCTGATGTTCTGGTGTGTTTGCTGCTTCAGAAGCTGCTGGTTGGTGATTTCCCCCATGAACTGGAAGCGGAGGATATGGAAGAGGACGTCCCCAAACGCAAGAACCGCAAGAACCGCGAAGGACGGGTAAGACAAGAGAAACACACAGGAACATACAGCCACCTACCGTACCTGTATTGTTGGCACTGCATAGGGCAACATTTTCCTCTCGCAAATACACAAGTGATATGACTTAATGCACCGTAACATTTGAAATAAACGGGAGAACTGATACTTCAGCTTGCCATTTCATTGCGTGTACAGTGTGTATCCGTGTGAATACCAAAACTGGTTAAACTAAACTTCCTTCTCACATTTCGCTCATATTATAATTTCACTCATCCTGTCTATTTGAAATATTACTGTATTTGAAATGTTACTTTACTTTCACTCATCCTCTCTTTTCTGTTTCAACTTCCCGTTAACACTTTGTTATCTATCAAGAGAAGTAACTTATAGAAAAAACATTAATGGAGGTAAAACAGCCAGTCAACTTATCCCTCTCCCTGAATGAGACAGTCACAGGCTTCCTCCCTCCATCCAGTTCCCTTTACATTTCCGATAGCTAGCTGACTCTCTTGTCTAGTATATAGTACCCACTGCAAGTTATGCAAACTCTAGCCTCTCAAGTAGTGCTATCAATTCCTCATGGAAGCACTCTCTCTCCTCTCCTGCTGTACTGAGAGGGTGACGGGAAGCATCGGCATCCTTGATCCGTTCTAGCTCCTCTGCTCTGCTATGGACTGGTGAGCATCGTCTTGGATAGATTATATTATAAAGGGCGCTAAAGAGATAGCACTATCAGTGCTCCTCTCATCTACTGACGTCCTTCTCCTCTCCTCTCTTCCTCTCCTCGCCCTCCTGCCCGCTCCTCTTCTCTCATGCTGTCAGCGGTACAGTAGCAGCCGTGCACTGAGTACTAAGGAGCCATCATATTTTTCCTCTCAGCTTTAAAGATAAAACAGATACCAATTCATATCTCAGTTCACTATACTAAATTCATACATTTTGGGATGGAGGGTGGATACAAATCATTATTGTAAGTGTATTAGTAGTGTATGAATCATGTGGGCAATAGATACAATACAATCATGTGGGAATTAGATACAGTACAATAATTTGTGCATTAGATACAGTATACAGTATTTCGATATGCAGTGAGTTATCAGATCGTGTACATGGATGCATTCTAAATAACTCTTATTAGATGAGAAAAACACCTCTCTCTCTCTCCATCTTGTGTGAAGCCTCACTGCAGGCTGTAACACTGTATCTATAATCCAAACAGCCATGTTGTTAATTGGAGCTTGAAGTTCCCTGTTAGGTGTCATCAACCCTGCCTGTCAGGCAAGGGTGATTAGAGAGAGGGGGGCACCTGTTAAAGTAGCAGATGATTATGGTGTGTAGGAGTATGGTGTGCTTGTGTGTGTGTGCTTGTGTGTGTGTGTGTGTGTGTGTGTGTGTGTGTGTGTAGAGTGTGAACTCCGCTCAACCGTCAGTGTTCTCGCTGCAGGCCTGTGGTGTAGGGGGTATGAGGAAGAGACAAGAACCCAGCACCATTGAGGACAGGGACAAGCCGTACGTCTGTGACAGTGAGTATCACACACACACACACACACACACACACACATACACACCATGTCTAAGAGCCATAGACAACATTCTTACTGCAGGCTAAACTACACTGGCAAGCATATGGCTGCTGTCTCCACTCTGCACAAAGCAAGCAATTATCTCACTGCCAATGTTATGAGGACAACTTCTCTAGTGGAAATGAGTCTGCTAGAGCAACAAGCGCTAACGGGAACACTATAGAGCAATCTATAGAGCAATATTCAAACTAAAACGGTGACATGGCATTAGCTAGTGATGGATACAGCATTCATTAATTGTGAGTGTATCTATTGTCAGTGAAGCACAATTGCATTCACTCATATCTTTTACTGATAGATATGGTACAGATACAGTATGTCATGATGATTGTATTGGGCTACATTTAGTTCTGTCTCTTGATTTTGCTTGTGTGGTTGTGTTCCAGTCTGTGGGAAGCGCTATAAGAACCGCCCGGGCCTGAGCTACCACTACACCCACACACACCTAGCGGACGAGGAGGGAGAGGAGGACTCTGAGCGCCACACCCTGCCCTTCCAGCGCAAGAACAACCACAAGCGTGAGTCCCTATGCTACAGTATGCTCTATGCTTTACCCTAAGGCTGGCTGCTGCACTATGCCATATACCCTCATGTCAAAGTGACCAGATCTAGATGCAGTATCCTACAGAATGTTACTGAACAGCAACTTGCACATTTCCTTTGTAGCGCACACTGTGTGAAGTACAGACTAATGTATAATGTAGTAGCATTTATGTCTGTCTGTCTGTCTGCATGCCTGTCTGTCTGTAATGCTGTTTGATTAGCATGGCCCTGAATTGGACGGTGTTAATTGGCTGAACAGGGACACTGAGAGGAAGGGTGGCAGGAGGGGGATCTGTTTTGTTCCCCTCTCTCCACCCAGCATGTTCCATGTCTGAGGCTGGCAATTTACAGTGCACTGAGAGAGGTTGCATCCCAAATGGCACTTTGTAGGGAATAGGGTGTCTTTTGGGATGCCGACAGAGACACACAGCTGTAGTCGTCCCCACATCAATGTCCTTGTAGAAAAATACCCATTTACCTCCTAGAGTTAATTGGCTGAGCGCTGTTTTAAATTGGCCTGTCTTAGTGGATTGTCCGTCAATGGGTCCTGGTGCTGATGCCTCTGTGTGTGTGTGTGTGTGTGTGTGTGTGTGTGTGTGTGTGTGTGTGTGTGTGCTGCAGTTGTAGGACTCTGCAGGGTGAAAGAGAAGAGAATGGCTGCATTAGAGAGGTTTAATATCCTCCTCTCTTCTCCTCCTGCTACAAACATGCAGGCACACGCGCTTGTTCACACACACACACACACACACACACACACCAATACATACATGCACAAAACTCAATCTACTTGTGAAATGAAAATAAAAGCCTATTGTGTGTGTGTGTCTGCATGTGCGTTTGTGTGTGCGTGTTTCTATCTTATGGTTTTCCCAATATAATAAGTGTCAAGTTGCAGATGTACCCCCTCCTTTATATTACACCATATATAATCATATTAATATGAATGGTTATAATGAAACTGGTCCATACATTATTCACGTAATATTCTTCCTAAAAGATGTCTAGACGAGTCTGTAAGCCTGGTGCACCCAAAAACTATCTTTTGGTATTTGGTTCATTCGGTCCATTGTTGATATAGTCCCATGTTTTTGCAGGTCAGCAATCAACTTTAAATTATATATACGTTTCAAAATGCAGAAACCGAGTGTGGAAGATCGCTGAAATCCAAAGTCTCTTTCTTCTCTTTTATTTTGTTATTTTACCCCCATCATTCTCTCCCTCTCCTTTTTTCATCAGTTTGATAAATTACAGATTATTCCACTAGGAGATGAGATTCTCTCTCTCTCTCTCTCTCTCTCTCTCTCTCTCTCGCTCTATCTCTCTCTCTCTCTTTCTCATTCTCTACCTATTTTCTCCCTCACTCTTCATCGCCAGTTTACCATGCTTTCTTTCTTTCCTTTCCCTCTTCTCTCTGAATCTCTCTCTCCATTTCTTTCTCTCCTTATCTCCCTCTCTCTACTTTTGTCTTATGATTTATCCATCGCTTGTTTTTTTCCTTCATTTTTTCTGTATTTATTTCCATTGCAGGAGTGGAAGCCGATTGTTAAAATGAACTGCAGCATTAAAATTCATGGCTGCCTCTCAATTTTTTTTCTTCATAAAGTGAGAGAGGCAGGAGTGGTGGGGGGTGGGGGCTGGTTTTGGGCATTGATGTGATGGGGGAGGAGGGAGGGGTGTTTACTTTAGAGGTCGGCTCTCTGGTGTGCACCTGAAAATTGGTTTTGTGAGCAGAAAGAGTCAAGCCAGTTCTCGTTAAGTCCTCTCCCCAAATCAGAATTGAGATTCCGAGTCTGGTTTATCTGGAAGGACAGACGGTCGGAGGAGTGAGATCAGGAGGGGAGATGGAGGGATGGAGGGGGTAACATGTAATTGAGCCCTTTGAAGGTCAGCGTCCTTTTGTTCCTGTTGTTCTTTTTCTATATTTATTTATTTTTAATTCTTGCCTAGTTTCACCTCGCTCACAAAATGGCTTCACTCGCCTTACTCCGCCAGTGTGAGAAGGAATCATTGTGATCAGCTATAAGGACAAAATTAATTATGTATCAAACCTAAAATGGCGTCCTGGCTGTCTCTGTTCCCTCTTTCTCTTTCTCTCTCTCTCTCTCTCTCTCTCTCTCTCTCTCTCTCTCTCTCTCTCTCTGTGTGTGGGGTAGGATACAATATGTGGAATAGATCTGTGGAGTGGTGGTTGGTTCTGTTCCAGCAGATTCACATGTGATGAAAGTCCTGCAGTAAGAAAGAGAGGGTGGTCGTTTAATGATGGTCTGGTGACAGTGGAGGGCCTGTGTCACTGTGTCATTGTAGGGACGGCGAAGATTCAGGCAGCTGCACAGCCACTATAGAAGATCTAGTCTAGAGAGCCCAGTTAAATTGTATGTAATTGTTGCAATATTTTGTGAGTGGGCAGCATATACTATCATCCAAAATTGACATGTTGAATTATTTTGCCATATTAAATTATTGTATAATGCGCTAATGTGGACAGTTTGTGTTACTACCATACACAAACTCGCATTTTCACCTCATACAATTTAGAGATTTTTTATAACCTCAGATTGGTGATGTTAATATACAAGTTTATAGTCATCAAGATGACACTAAATCAATTGCTTGAAACAGATTAATATCTTTGGTTTGGTATGGTTGATTTGATCATACGCACCTGTCCGTCGCAGGGCTTAGAACGCAGTTGTGAAATTCAAATTGAAATGGCAAGGGAAAATTGAGGCGCTCTCTTTATAAAAGCTGCTGGCCACAAACAAATACACAGATTTTACATTCAAGCTATCACTGAAATAAGAGCCAACCCCTGTCACTATTTAGACTTACCTGTGGAGAGATGATTCGTTAAAATTATCCTTCTGCGTATTGGCAATCTAACGTAAGCATTGTCCCACAAGGTGATGAGTTGATAAATACAGGTTCTCATCTATCGACAGGTATATCTAGTATTCCCAAGTAAATTGTGGTACATGTAGCGGCAGCGAATTGTCCCAGTTCCATTGATTTCCATACTAGATTAACGTGAGTGATTCATCTGTGCACGCTATTGATTACAGTAGAACAAGCAAATCAATTTCAATCTGGAATGACCGCTTGGTAAATTTGATGCATCAGCAGTTTTTAAGGTACTAATTTAGCAAAATACAAGTAATCTGAACTCAAGTAATTGTATGTATTAGTCTTCAACATATCACAACTTATTTCAGCATATTGATTATGAATTTATTTGGACATTTAAAACCGGTGTTTTGACACTCGGCTATATATAAAAACTAGGAAGCAGCAACAGTATAATTTTCAACGTATGTTTTAGTAATATAAATTGTACTTTTAACGTAATTTTTTCGACATTAATCAACTTAATCAGGTAAAAACTACTAAATGAACCCCAATAACATGCTAAGATTTATTTGATTTTGATGGTATTAGTGAAATCGTGAAAATGATTTTGTCCTGGCTAGTCATTGTGTCTGTACTATAACAGACAGGTACAGAACAGAGTAGCCTTTAGAGGAGACTGAGTAGAGATACAGGCTGGGTTCAGAGAGAGAGGACAGGGGTGGTGGGGGCAGGGCAGTACATTCACGACCCACGGACCCTGAACATACAACACACACTACCTGAACAAACTACATGATCAGCACACTCCACCACTACAAATACAGAAAATTTATACTGTACCTAACCATATAAAATAAAGGTAAACATGGTCCAAGTGACAACCAGCTTATGGGGCAGTTTTCCGCACAAAGATTAAGCCGAATCCTGGACTAAAAAAGCATTTTCAATGGAGATTCACTATTGAGTTTGCTTTTTAGTCCAGGACTAGGCTTAATCTATCTCCGGGAAAATGCCCCTATGAGTTTACCTGACTTTAGATTCTATAGTCTAGCTCAAACGGCGATCTGTTTAGGTGTAGTCAGTCCCAGTTGCTCCGTCCCTTGCTTGCTGTAACCGGGGCTGGGACTTTGTCTACCAGATTGCCCCACCATGGTAATGAATGATGTCTCTTATTAGAGTGCAGACCATTCTGGGCTTTACCAAGTTAATTATTCAACCCCAACCATCACCTTTAGCTGTTATTTTGGTCTGGTTTCTTCCTGAACTTTCCACATGCCTGTGTTGCTGGTGCCAGTGCCGGTACAGTAGCTTCCTCCATAGCCAGACCAGCTCACGCTGCCTTCCGCCCCGTCACTGCACTGCCTCCTCTACCGCAACAAAGCAGGAAGAGAAACGGCTGTTGCCTAGCAATCCGGTTGCTATAGTGACAGGCTGGGCTCCCTCCTAAAGAGTATGTTGTTATGTACATTGAGGAGGGAGGGGAAGAGGGGAGGGAGGGGGGGAGTGAAGTTTGGCATTGGAGGGGTTGAAATTGAGGGGGCAGAGGAGTTAAAGGCAACAGAAAGATGAAAGAGAGAGAGAGTGAAAGAAGGAGAGTGAGAGTAAAGAATTCTCTTCATGATTTATCATATATATTACCCCAGACAGGGAAAAGGCAGGCTTATATCGCACTGCTTCATTTGGTATTCCGTATTAACAGAGGAGAGGCTTGCTGGGTTAGGATTGGATCCTCAGTCATTTGGCCATCTTACTATAACCCCCCCACCTTCTGCTCATGAAAACATATCAGTCTGTCTGTCTGAGCTTAGACACACACACACACACACCACACACACACACTATCTTTCTAGGATGTCTTATATGTACTGTACTGTATACCTGTGTCTTTAAATTCCAGCGTTTCCTCAGTATTGATTTGGCTGGTCAGACAATAGGGAGTTTAGGGGCATTTTAACAGGATTACAGAGTCACATGGGGGAAAGTATAGAACTGTTCTACCTCCACAAAAAAGGATTCATATTTGCATTTTTCTGAGCATCAAACATACATTCCTGTAACACCCTGGCTCTGGGACTCTATATGTTGAGCCAGGGTGTGTTCTTTCTATGTGGTGTATTTCTATGTTGGGAGTTCTAGTTTGTTTATTTCTATGTTGGCCTGAGTGACTCCCAATCAGAGGCAACGAGTGTCAGCTTTTGGCTGGTTGTCTCTGATTGGGAGCCATATTTAAACTGTCTGTTTTTCCCTTTGTGTTTGTGGGTTCTTGTTCCGTGTTGGTCTATGTTACCTAGGACGTTACGAGTCGTTTGTTGTTTTTGTTTACTGTCCGTGTTTATCGCTAATGATAAATAAACATGTTCGTTCATCACGCTGCGCCTTGGTCCTCCTCTCTTAACGACGATCGTGACAATTCCAGTTGGCACAGGGGTGTGTGTGTGTGTATGAATATATACACTACTGGTAAAATGTTTTAGAACACCTACTCATTCAAGGGTTTTTCTTTATTTTGACTAATTTCTACATTGTAGAATAATAGTGAAGACATCAAAACGATGAAAGAACACATATGAAATCATGTAGTAACCAAAAAAATTGTTAAACAAATCAACATATATTTTATATTTGAGATTCTTCAAATAGTCACCCTTTGCCTTGATGACAGCTTTGCACACTCTTGGCATTCTCTCAACCAGCTTCATGAGGTAGTCACCTGGAATGCATTTCAATTAACAGGTGTGACTTCTTAAAAGTTAATTTGTGGTATTTCTTTCCTTCTTAATGCGTTTGAGCCAATCAGTTGTGTTGTGGTAGACCAAGGTAGGGGTGGTATACAGAAGATAGCCCTATTTGGCAAAAGACCAAGTCCATATTATGGCAAGAACAGCTCAAATAAGCAAAGATAAATGACAGTCCATCATTACTTTAAGACATGAAGGTCAGTCAATATGGACAATTTCAAGAACTTTGAAAGTTTCTTCAAGTGCAGTCGCAAAAACCATCAAACGCTATGATGAAACTGGCTCTCATGAGGACTGCCACAGGAATGGAAGACCCAGAGTTACCTCTGCTGCAGAGGATAAGTTCATTAGAGTTACCAGCCTCAGAAATTGCAGCCCAAATAAATGCTTCACAGTTCAAGTCACAGACACATCTCAACATCAACTGTTCAGAGGAGACTGTGTGAATCAGGCCTTCATGGTCGAATTGCTGCAAAGAAACCACTACTAAAGGACACCAATAAGAAGAAAAGACTTGCTTGGGCCAAGAAGCACGAGCAATGGACATTAGACAGGTTTAAATTGGGCCTTTGGTCTGGAGTCCAGATTGGAGATTTTTGGTTCCAAACGCTGTGTCTTTGTGAGACGCAGTGTGGGTGAACGGATGAGTTCCGCATGTGTAGTTCCCACTGTAAAGCATGGAGGAGGAGGTGATATGGTGTGGGGGTGCTTTGCTGGTGACACTGTCTGTGATTTATTTAGAATTCAAGGCACACTTAACCAGCATGGCTACCACAGCATTCTGCAGCGATACACCATCCCATCTGGTTTGGGCTTAGTGGGACTATCATTTGTTTTTCAACAGGACAATGACCCAACACACCTCCAGGCTGTGTAAGGGCTATTTTACCAAGAAGGAGAGGGATGGAGTGCTGCATCAGATGACCGGGCCTCCACAATCCTCCGACCTCAACCAAATTGAGATGGTTTGGGATGAGTCAGACCGCAGAGTGGAAAAGGAAAAGCAAACAATTGCTCAGCATGTGGGAACTCCTCAGCATGTGGGAACTCCTTCAAGACTGTTGTAAAAGCATTCCAGGTGAAGCTGGTTGAGAGAATGCCAAGCTATCATCAAGGCAAAGGGTGGCTATTTGAAGAATCTCAAATATAAAATATATTTTGATTTGTTTAAAACTGTTTTGGTTACTATATGATTCCATATGTGTTATTTAATAGTTTTGATGTTTTCACTATTATTCTACAATGTAGAAAATAGTAAAAATATAGAAAATCCCTTGAAGGAGTAGGTGTTCTAAAACTTTTGACTGGTAGTGTATGTGTGTGTATGTGTGTATATGCATGTGTGTGTATGTACAGTGCATTCGGAAACTATTCAGACCCCTTGACTTTCTCCACATTTTGTTACATTACAGCCTTATTCTAAAATTGATTAAATTGTTTTTCCCCTCATCAATCTACACACAATACCCCATAATGACAAAGAAGAAACAGGTTTTTAGAAATGTTTGCAAAAGCTGAAATATCACATTTACATACGTATTCAGACCCTTTACTCAGTACTGTGTTAAATCACTTTTGGCAGCGATTACAGCCTCGAGTCTTCTTGGATGTTGTCACAACTTCCTCCGAAGCTGCCTCCCCTCCTTGTTCGGGCAGGCTTCGGCGTTCGTTGTCACTGGCCTTCTAGCCACTGCCGCTCCATATCTCATCATTCCATTTGTCTTGTCTTGTCAGTTACACACACCTGGTTCATATTCCCCTCATTAGTACATGTATCAGTGTTCCCTCTGCCCCCTTGTCCTTGTGGGTGATTGTTTCATGTGAGATGAGTGGAGCTCGGTGGAGCTACCTGTATTTTGTATTGCCGGGGTATATTTTCCCCGTATGCCTGTATTTGTTCCAGTGCGCCTGTTTTGCGCACTGGACTGTTGACGCTATCCAGCGTAACTGTGTACTACGGAATAAACTCCTCTGTATTCTGTGATTTACCCTCCTGCACCTGACTCCTTCAAATCACACACTCACAGAATCACCCACCCGCTATGGAGTCAGCGGGAGAGGAACGCATGCCTGGAGTCGTGGTTGCGGGTCCAGGAGCATTCAACGATGCTAGCCAGCTTGGGAGAAGCGATGGATCGGGTTCTTCAGATCATCCAATGCCTGGAGAGGACAGGACCTGATCTGTCGAGACCAGCTGGGCAACCAGATCCAGCCACACACACCCCAGCACCCAAGAGGGATCCATATATCCCGACCACGGGAGTTCGACAGGACAGCTGCTCTCTGCCAAGGATTCCTCCTCCAACTGGAGCTCTACTTCTCCAGCATCAGGCCGGCACCCTCGGAATGGGAATAGGTGTCCGCCCTCGTTTCCTGCCTCTCGGGGAAAGCCCTGTAGTGGGCCAACGCGGTCTGGAACGAAGGAGGAGCCGCGTTGGAAAACTTTGGGGAGTTTGCTCGCCTCTTTCGGGCTGTCTTCGTTCACCCGCCCGAGAGGCGGGCGAGCGGCTAGTCCACCTGAGGCAGGGGACGAGGACTGTGCAGGACTTCGCCTTGGAGCTCCGGACTCTAGCAGCTGGGTCCGGGTGGAACTAGCGGCCCTTATCGACCACTTCCGGTGCCATCTGCGGGAGGACTTCCGAAGGGAGCTAGCCTGCCGGGACACCATGTTGTCCTTCAACAAACTGGTGGACATGGCCATTCGTTTGGACAACCTGCTGGCAGCCAGAGGACATCCTGGAGGGGGTCTGCCCGTTCCCACCCCGGCTGACTCGGATCCCGAGCTGATGGAGCTGGGTGGAACCGTTATCCGAGAGAGCGGAGGATGACAGCGCCAGTGCCACTCTGGTGGCATGAAGGGACATTACACCGCACATTGTCGTCAGCGTTCTTTTGGGTCTGGAGGCGGCAGGCAGGGCACTCTCGCATCACCCCAGGTATCGAACGCCCACACTCGTTCAGAGCCCTCTGCTGCGCACTGTACCCTACCCATCTACTTTCCTGATCACATGGTAGTTCCCCAGTGTAAGGCGCTAGTCGATTCAGGCGCAGCTGGGAACTTTATGGACAGGGCATTCTCACACAGTCTAGGCATTTCATTGGTTCCCCTATCCATTCCACTCCCCATCAGAGCACTTGATAGTCGACCATTAGGGTCCGGGTTTGTTCGGGAAGTTACAGCACCAGTCACCATGATTACCCACGAGACTCATTGCGAGCAAGTCACTTTTTTTTATTATTGAGTCTCCTGCTCTCCCTGTGGTATTAGGTATCCCGTGGTTAGCACTCCACAACCCCACCTTCTCATGGCTGCAGAGGGTTCTCACGGGGTGGTCGCGAGAGTGTCAGGGTAGGTGTCTAGGTGTTTCCATTGGTGCAACCCCGGTGGAAAGTCCAGACAGTACCTCCACCTCGATTTGGCGCACGCGTTTTCTAAAACGCAGGCGACCAAGTTACCACCTCATCGGGTGGGGGATTGCGCAATAAACCTCCGGGTAGACGCTGTGTCTCCCAGGAGTCAGGTGTATCCCCTGTCACAGGCTGAAACGGAGGCTATGGAAACATACGTCACTGCGCCAAGGGTATATACAGTGGGGAGAACAAGTATTTTATACACTGCCGATTTTGCAGGTTTTCCTACTTACAAAGCATGTAGAGGTCTGTAATTTTTTATCATATGTACACTTCAACTGTGAGAGACGGAATCTAAAACAAAAATCCAGAAAATCACATTGTATGATCTTTAAGTAATTAATTTGCATTTTATTGCATGACATAAGTATTTGATACATCAGAAAAGCAGAACTTAATATTTGGTACAGAAACCTTTGTTTGCAATTACTTGACCAGGTTTGCACACACTGCAGCAGGGATTTTGGCCCACTCCTCCATACAGACCTTCTCCAGATCCTTCAGGTTTCGGGGCTGTCGCTGGGCAATACGGACTATCAGCTCCCTCCAAAGATTTTCTATTGGGTTCAGGTCTGGAGACTGGCTAGGCCACTCCAGGACCTTGAGATGCTTCTTACGGAGCCACTCCTTAGTTGCCCTGGCTGTGTGTTTCGGGTCGTTGTCATGCTGGAAGACCCAGCCACGACCCATCTTCAATGCTCTTACTGAGGGAAGGAGGTTGTTGGCCAAGATCTTGCAATACATGGCCCCATCCATCCTCCCCTCAATACGGTGCAGTCGTCCTGTCCCCTTTGCAGAAAAGCATCCCCAAAGAACGATGTTTCCACCTCCATGCTTCACGGTTGGGATGGTGTTCTTGGGGTTGTACTCATCCTTCTTCTTCCTCCAAACACTGCGAGTGGAGTTTAGACCAAAAAGCTCTATTTTTGTCTCATCAGACCACATGACCATCTCCCATTCCTCCTCTGGATCATCCAGATGGTCATTGGCAAACTTCAGACGGGCCTGGACATGCGCTGGCTTGAGCAGGGGGACCTTGCGTGCGCTGCAGGATTTTAATCCATGACGGCGTAGTGTGTTACTAATGGTTTTCTTTGAGACTGTGGTCCCAGCTCTCTTCAGGTCATTGACCAGGTCCTGCCGTGTAGTTCTGGGCTGATCCCTCACCTTCCTCATGATCATTGATGCCCCACGAGGTGAGATCTTGCATGGAGCCCCAGACCGAGGGTGATTGACCGTCATCTTGAACTTCTTCCATTTTCTAATAATTGCGCCAACAGTTGTTGCCTTCTCACCAAGCTGCTTGCCTATTGTCCTGTAGCCCATCCCAGCCTTGTGCAGGTCTACAATTTTATCCCTGATGTCCTTACACAGCTCTCTGGTCTTGGCCATTGTGGAGAGGTTGGAGTCTGTTTGGTTGAGTGTGTGGACAGGTGACTTTTATACAGGTAACGAGTTCAAACAAGTGCAGTTAATACAGGTAATGCGTGGAGAACAGGAGGGCTTCTTAAAGAAAAACGGACAGGTCTGTGAGAGCCGGAATTCTTACTGGTTGGTAGGTGATCAAATACTTATGTCATGCAATAAAATGCAAATGAATTACTTAAAAATCATACAATGTGATTTTCTGGATTTTTGTTTTAGATTCCGTCTCTCACAGTTGAAGTGTACCTATGATAAAAATGACAGACCTCTACATGCTCTGTAAGTAGGAAAACCTGCAAAATCGACAGTGTATCAAATACTTGTTCTCCCTACTGTACGTCCCTCCACTTCACCCGCTTCCTCAAGGCGGTCTGCGCCCTTGCATTGATTATCGACCACTGAACAAGGAGACGATAAGATTTAGTTATCCTCTCCCCCTCATTCCTTCAGTGATCGAGTCAATGCATGGGGCGCGCTTCTTCACCAAATTAGATCTCAGGAGTGGGTACAACCTGGTGCGTATCCGAGAGGGGGATGAGTGGAAGACAGCATTCAGCACAACCACGGGGCATTATGAATACCTGGTGATGCCCTACGGTTTGATGAATGCTCCATCCGTCTTCCAGTCCTTTGTGAACGAGGTGTTTCAGGACATGCTTGGTCGCGGTGTAGTGGTTTACATCGATGACATTCTGGTGTATTCCGCTACGCGCCGAGCATGTGTCCCTGGTTCGCAAAGTGCTGGCCCGACTGTTGGAAAATGACCTTTATGCCAAGGCAGAGAAGTGTATGTTTTTCCAGAAGATGGAGGGCGATCGCATTTCAGCCGTGCGTAATTGGCCGACTCCCACCACGGTTAAGGAGGTGCAGCGTTTTCTTAGCTTCGCCAACTACTATATGAGGTTTATCCGGGGCTTTGGCAAAGTCGCAGCTCCCATTACATCTCTGTTGAAGGGTGGGCCGTCCCACTACGACGTTGGTGATCGGGAGCTGTTGGCTGTTGTCCGAGCCCTGACCGTGTGGAGGCTTTGGCTCGAAGGGGCGAAACACCCTTTTCTCGTCTGGATGGACCACCGTAACCTGGAGTACATCCGGGCAGCGAGGAGGCTGAATCCTCGCCAGGCCAGGTGGGCCCTATTCTTCACCCGGTTTGATTTCACAGTATCATACATCCCGGGTATGAAGAACGTGAAGGCAGACGCATTGTCACGGCTGTATGACACAGAGGAGAGGCACAGAGACAACACCCCCATACTCCTGGCCTCCTGCATTGTGGCGCCGGTAGTATGGGCGATGGACGCGGACATAGAGCAGGCATTATGCACAGAGCCATCTCCACCTCAGTGTCCAGCTGGGCTGCAGTACGTGCCTGCTCTTATCCGTGATCGTCTGATCTACTGGGCACACACGTCACCCTCCTCTGGTCACCCAAGTATCGGTCGTACAGTGCGCTGACTGACCGGAAGGTACTGGTGGCCTACCTTGGCTAAGGACGTGAGGGTGTATGTCTCCTCCTGCTCGGTGTGCGCCCAGAGTAAGGCACCTAGGCACCTCCCAGCGGGTAAGTTACAACCTTTACCAGTTCCAAAACGACCATGGTCTCAACTGAGTGTTGATTTCCTGACTGATCTTCCCCTCTCCCAAGGTAACACCACCATCCTGGTTGTTGTGGACTGCTTTTCCAAGGCCTGCCGCCTCCTTCCTCTGGCCGGTCTCCCCCTGCAAACTGCGGAGGCCCTGTTTACACACGTCTTCTAGCACTACGGGTTACCAGATGATATAGGGTCTGACCGAGGTCCCCAGTTCACATCCAAGGTCTGGAAGGCTTCATTGAACATCTGGGGGTCTCCGTCAGCCTGACCTCTGGTTTCCACCCCGGGTCTAATGGGCAGGTGGAATGGGTAAATCAGGATGTGGGTAGGTTCCTGCGGTCCTACTGCCAGGACCGGCTGGGGGAGTGGTCCGTGTTTTTGTCATGGGCCGAATATGCCCAGAACTCTCTCCGTCTCTCCTCCACTAACCTAACGCCATTCCAATGTGTTTTATGTTACCAACCGGTTCTGGCACCGTGGCACCAGAGCCAGACCGAGGCTCCTGCGGTGGATGACCACCTCCAATACGCCGTGCGTCGTCAGAAGGCCAACGCTGACCGTCACCGCAGTGAGGCCCCGGTCTTCGTACCGGGTGATCGGGTCTGGCTCTCGACCTGGAATCTGCCCCTCCGCCTGCCCTGCCGGAAGCTGAGCCCGCGGTTTGTGGGGCCGTTCAAAGTCCTGAGGAGAATCAACGAGGTTACCTATAAATTATTACTCCCCCCTGATTACCATATTAACCCCTCGTTTCATGTGTCTCTCCTCATGCCGGTGGTGGCTGGTCTGCTCCAGGAGTCTGAGGTGCGGGAGGTCCCTCTGCCTCTTCTGGACATCGAGGGGGCCCCGGCGTACTCCGTCCGTTCCATCCTGGATTCGAGGCGCCGGGTGGTGGGCCTTTAGTTCCTCGTGGAGGGGGAGGGGTACGGTCCAGAGGAGCGGTGCTGGGTCCCGGTGAGGGATATCCTCGATCCCTCCCTGTTGCGGGATTTCCACCATCGCCACCCGGCTCACCCTGCTCCGCGTCCTCCTGGCCGTCCCCGAGGCCGGGGTCAAGGGGGGGGGTACTGTCACGACTACCTCCGAAGCAATTACACAAACCTGGTTCATATTCCCCTCATTAGTACATGTATAAGTGTTCCCTCTGCTCCCTTGTCCTTGTGGGTGATTGTTTCATGTGAGATGAGTGGAGCTCGGTGGAGCTACCTGTACTTTGTATTGCCGGGGTATATTTTCCCCTGTGTGCCTGTATTTGTTCCAGAGCGCCTGTTTTGCGCACTGGAATGTTGACGTTATCCAGCGTAACTGTGTAGTACGGAATAAACTCTGTATTCTGTGATTTACCCTCCTGCGCCTGACTCCTTCAAATCACACTCTCACAGATATGACGCTACAAGCTTGGCACACCTTTGTTTGGGGAGTTTCTCCCATTCTTCTCTGCAGATCCTCTCAAACTCTGTCAGGTTGGATGGGGAGCGTCGCTGCACAGCTATTTTCAGGTCTCTCCAGAGATGTTCGATTGGGTTCAAGTCCGAGCTCTGGCTGGGCCACTCAAGGACATTCAGAGACTTGTTCCGAAGCCACTCCTGTGTTGTCTTGGCTGTGTGCTTAAGGTCGTTGTCCTGTTGGAAGGTGAACCTTCGCCCCAGTCTGAGGTGCTGAGCACTCTGGAGCAGGTTTTCATCAAGGATCTCTCTGTACTTTGCTCCGTTAATCTTTCCCTCGATCCTGACTAAACTCCCAGTCCCTGCCGCTGAAAAACATCCCCACAGCATGATGCTGCCACCACCATGCTTCACCGTAGGGATGGTGCCATGTTTCCTCCAGATGTGACGCTTGGCATTCAGGCCAAAGAGTTAATTCTTGGTTTCATCAGACCAGAGAATCTCGTTTCTCATGGTCTGAGAGTCCTTTAGGTGCCTTTTGGCAAACTCCAAGCGAGCTGTCATATGCCTTTTACTGAGGAGTGGCTTCTGTCTGGCCACTCTACCATAGAGGCCTGATTGGTGGAGTGCTGCAGAGATTGTTGTCCTTCTGGAAGGTTCTTTTCAAACATTTCTAAAAACCTGTTTTCACTTTGTCATTATGAAGTATTGTGTGTAGATTGATGAGGATTTTTAAAAATGTAATCCATTTTAGAACAAGGCTGTAATGTAACAAAATGTGGAAAAGGGGAAGGGGTCTGAATAATTTCCGAATGCACTGTATATATACAAATAAGTGTGTATTTACTGTTTGTGTATGTGTATGTGTTACAGACAGAGGCAGCCTCTTATGCTGCCACAGAGGCTGACATAGCGTGTGCAGGTCAGTGTGATTACACTGCAGCCATAGATCAAGTTTTATTATGCACCAAAATCTCCACTGTCCTCTCGCTTTGCAATGTCATTCTGTTTAAGACCCACAATGCACTGCGACTTACGCAACCTGCTGACTGGACAGGGGAGAGAAACGAGCATGTTATTGCATTGCGTCTTGCTGGTGTGTATGTGTGTGTGTGTGTTTAAAAGAGAGAAAGAGGTAGAGAATTGAAGAAGGAGGTGTAGACTGATGGTGTAGGTATTTGTGTGACAACAGACGGATTGTAGAAAAAAAAATCTAATTTCCTCTGTGAAAGAGAGAAGCACAGACAGAATGAGAGAGAGGAAAGGTTCCTCATGAGATATCTCATCTGTGACTGACACTTTTCATCAGACTGACTCACAGTCACTCTCCTTGCATAATACTGGATCCATTGTCTCTCTGTGCATTTGTGCTGTGTGTGTGTGTGTGTGTGTGTGTGTGTGTGTGTGTGTGTTAGCGCCACGGTTATGGATGAAGATCGTCATGAAAATAAAATAACCGTCATAACCTTTTTTTGGGGGGGTGTAACAAATAGCTGACTGAAGACGGGACGGCCGGACATTAGTGCGGTTCAGTCTGTTTCTGCTGTAACATGGACTACAACGTGATGAAACTGTGTTGCTCCTTGCTGAAATAAGCAACGTGTTGTAGCAAACAAGTCTTCGGTTGCTTAGGAAATGCCTCCCTCCCCCTCAAGCTTATATCATCAAATTCATGAAAACGTGGTCATTTAAGATATACAGTGCATTCAGAAAGTATTCAGACCCCTTCACTTTTTCCACATTTTGTTACGTTACAGCCTTATTCTAAAATTGATTAAATAATTTTTTTCACCTGATTAATCTACAAACAATACCCCATAATGACAAAGCGAAAACAGGTTTTTAGAAATGTTTGCAAATATATAAAAATATAAAACAGAAATACCTTATTTACATAAGTATTCAGACCCTTTGCTATGAGACTCGAAATTGAGCTCAGGTGCATCCTGTTTCCATTGATCATCCTTGAGATGTTTCTATAACTTGATTGGAGTCCACTTGTAGTAAATTCAATTGATTGGACATGATTTGGGAAGGCACACACCTGTCTATATAAGGTCCCACAGTTGACAGTGCATGTCAGAGCAAAAACCAAGCCATGAGGTCTAAGGAATTGTCCATAGAGCTCTGAGACAGGATTGTGTCGAGGCACAGATCTGGGGAAGGGTACCAAAAAATGTCTGCAGCACTGAAGGTCCCCAAGAACACAGTGGCCTCCATCATTCTTAAATGGAAGAAGTTTGGAACCCCCAAGACTGTTCCTAGAGCTGGCCTCCCGGCCAAACTGAGCTATCAGGGGAGAAGGGCCTTGGTCAGAGAGGTGAACAAGAACCCAATGAGTTCCTCTGTAGAGATGGGAGAACCTTCCAGAAGGACAACCATCTCTGCAGCACTCCACCAATCAGGTCTTTATGGTAGAGTGGCCTGACGGAAGCCACTCCTCAGTAAAAGGTACATGACAGCCCACTTGGAGTTTGCCAAAAGGCACCTAAAGGACTCTCAGACCATGAGAAACAAGATTCTCTGGTCTGATGAAACCAAGATTGAATGCGAAGCGTCACGTCTGGAGGAAACCAGGCACCGCTCATCACCTGGCCAATACCATCCCTACAGTAGAGTGCTCAGGACCTCGGACTGGGGCAAAGGTTCACCTTCCAACAGGACAACGACCCTAAGCACACAGCCAAAACAAAACCAGGAGTTGCTTCAGGACAAGTCTCTGAATGTCCTTGAGTGGCCCAGCCAGAGACCGGACTTGAACCCAATCAAACATTTCTGGAGAGACCTGAAAATAGCTGTGCAGCAACTCTCCCCATCCAACCTGACAGAGCTTGAGAGGATCTGCAGAGAAGAATGGGAGAAACTCCCCAAATACAGGTGTGCCAAGCTTGTAGCGTCATACCCAAGAAGACTCAAGGCTGTAATCGCTGCCAAAGGTGCTTCAACAAAGTACTGAGTAAAGTGTCTGAATGCTTTTTTTTGCAAACATTTCTAAAAACCTGTTTTTACTTTGTCATGATGGGGTATTGTGTGTACATTGATGAAAAACAAACAATTTAATCCATTTTAGAATAAGGCTGTAACGTATACTGTATACTTTCCGAATGCACTGTATGTACAATTATTTTCTTATTCGTGGATTCATTTACTTTTACCTGATGCCTTTCATGAAGGTTTTCGATTGCGTTTTTAATTTTTTACCTTAATCAATGAATTCAAATATAATTTAAATGATTCAATTTTCATGAATTTGATGATATAAGCTTGACGCCCATTCAAAAACAGTACGGGACTTGTACCAGGAAGTAGGCGGTACTTTCATAGGGTATAGCATAGGAGAGGAGAAAATGTGTGAAAAAACAAAAAACAATAACCTTCATCCAAAATGTCACCCAAAATTCCAACCCTACTGAAGGCTGGATTCGGGGCAGAGGGACTCATTCGTCACGTTAAAGAGAAAGAGTGGGGGTTGGGAGTGGAACAAGCCTTTAAAAGTTATTATGCAAAGATGTGCTGGCTACAAATCTTTGTGTGTGTGTGTGTATGCTTGCAACGCCAGGGTTGTGGGTTCGATTCCCACGGGGGACCAGTATGAAAAATGTATGCACTCACTAACTGTAAGTCGCTCTGGATAAGAGCATCTGCTAAATGACTAAAATGTAAATGTAAAATGTATGCATGCATTTGTCTCAGTGTGTGCCTGCGCATGTCCCTGTGTGTGCTTGTGCGTGTGTTTGCGCATGTGTGCATGTATTGTCTGTGAATGTGAGTGTATGTAAACATTATATTAGTGTGTATCTGTATGTGTGTGCGTGTGTTTCGGTGTGGTGCTCCCCTCATTAAGCAGCCTGGCGACAGGAGTGCAGAGTGTGTGTTTTCACCCTGATGCTCTGACACAGCAGCAGCCACTTCTTCACTTCCCTCTCCTCTTTGAGTTTTGCCCTTCCTCTCTCCTCATCTTCCTCTCCTCTCCCGTCTTCCTCTCCTCTCTCCTCTCCCCTCTTCCTCTCTCCTCTTCCTCTCTCCTCTTCCCTCTCCTCTTCCTCATCCTCTTCTGTTCTATTTGCTCACCTGCTATGCTGGAATGTGTTTTGTGTTGTGGGGAAAGCAGTGTGTAGGTGAGACTAAGAGCTGATCTGTGCCTCTGTTTGTATGGTCTGTTCACAGTAACATCATAGACAGCATCATCACTGGTTCACACTAGACTAGTAGGATTGCTTTAGTGAAACCTTGTTTTATTGTCAGGTGCAAAACCATAATAACTAAGCTAAGCTATCTGATAGTTGGCTCTGTGTATGAGTTTAAGCTCATTGTACTGTATGATTGGACCTGTGTAAATAGGTTTATGCTCATTGTACCTTATTATTGGACCTGTGTAAATAGGTTTATGCTCATTGTACCTTATTATTGTACCTGTGTAAATAGGTTTATGATCATTGTACCTTATTATTGGACCTGTGTAAATAGGTTTATGCTTATTGTACCTTATTATTGGACCTGTGTGAATAGGTTTATGCTCATTGTACCTTATTATTGGACCTGTGTGTGATGAGGTGTGAATGACGGAGTCAGGCGCAGTAGGTAAAACACCGAAATCCAGAGTTTATTCAGTGTACATGAATAAAGCGCAGCAAGCGTTAAAACAAAACTAGCAGAAGGGAAAAATCCACCTTGGCTACATACAAGGAAAGAGTAGCTCAACCGAGCTACTCACTCTCACAATTAACAATCACTCACAAAGGACAAGGGGGCAGAGGGAACACTTATACACAGACTAATGAGGGAATGAGTACTAGGTGTGTGTGATTGACAAGACAAGACAAGACAAATGGAGTGATGATAAATGGAGCGGTAGTGGCTAGTAAGCTGGTGACGACGAACGCTGAAACCTGCCCGAGCAAGGAGGAGGGGCAGCCTCGGCTGAATTCGTGACAGTAACCCCCCCCAGCAGCGCGCCGACACCGGCCTCAGGGATGGCCAGGAGGACGCGAGCAGGGCGAGTCGGATGGCGACGATGGAAGTCCCTCAACAGAGAGGGATCGAGGATATCCCTCACCGGGACCCAGCACCGTTCCTCTGGACCGTACCCTTCCCACTCCACGAGGTACTGAAGGCCCATCCAGTATGGAATGGACAGAGTACGCCGGCGCCCCCTCGATGTCCAAAGGAGGTGGAGGGACCTCCCGCACCTCAGACTCCTGGAGCGGACCAGCCACCACCGGCCTGAGGAGAGACACATGAAACAAGGGGTTAATACGGTAATCAGGGGGGAGTAATAACCTATATGTGACCTTGTTGATTCTCCTCAGGACTTTGAACAGCCCTACAAACCGCGGGCTCAGCTTCCGGCAGGGCAGGCGAAGGGGCAGAATCCGGGTGGAGAGCCAGACTCGATCCCCCGGTACAAAGACGGGGGCCTCACTGCGGTGACGGTCAGCGTTGGCTTTCTGACGACGCACAGCGCGAAACCAGTCATACACCGAAACCAGTCATACACCGCAGGAGCTTCGGTCTGGCTCTGGTGCCACGGTGCCAGAACCGGTTGATAACCTAAAACACACTGAAATGGCATTAGGTTCGTAGAGGAGTGGCGGAGAGAGTTCTGGGCATATTCTGCCCATGGCAGGAACACCGACCACTCCCCCGGCCCGTCCTGGCAATAGGACCTCAGGAACCTACCCACATCCTGATTTACCCGTTCCACCTGCCCATTACTCTCAGGGTGGAACCCAGAGGTTAGGCTGACCGAGACTCCCAGACGTTCCATGAACACCTTCCAGACTTTTGACGTGAACTGGGGACCTCGGTCAGACACTATATCCTCTGGTACCCCGTAGTGCCGGAAGACTTGTGTAAACAGGACCTCCGCAGTTTGTAGGGCCGTGGGGAGACCGGGCAGAGGAAGGAGGCGGCAGGCCTTCGAAAAGCGGTCCACAACAACCAGGAGGGTGTTGTTCCCTTGAGAGAGAGGCAGATCAGTTAAAAAAATCAACACTCAAATGAGACCATGGTCGTTGTGGAACTGGTAAAGGCTTTAACTTACCCGCTGGAAGGTGCCTAGGTGCCTTACTCTGGGCGCACACTAAGCAGGAGGAAACATACACCCTCACGTCCTTAGCCAAGGTAGGCCACCAGTACTTTTTGGTCAGACAGTGCACTGTACGACCGATACCTGGGTGACCAGAGGAGGGTGACGTGTGTGCCCAGTAGATCAGATGATAACGGATAAGCACAGGCACGTACTGCAGCCCAGCTGGACACTGCTGTGGAGATGGATCTGTGCATAATGCCTGCGCTATATCCGCCCATACTACCGGCGCCACAATGCATGAGTCTGGCAGTATGGGGGTATTGTCTCTGGGCCTCTCCTCTGTATCATACAGCCGGGACAGTGCGTCTGCCTTCACGTTCTTTGTACCCAGAATGTATGACAGTGTGAAATCAAACCGGGTGAAGAATAGGGCCCACCTGGCCTGGCGAGGGTTCAGCCTCCTCGCTGCCCGGATGTACTCCATGTTACGGTGGTCCGTCCAGACGAGGAATGGGTGTTTCGCCCCCTCGAGCCAATGTCTTCACGCGGGCAGAGCTCGGCCAACAGCTCCCGATCACCAACGCCGTAGTTCTGCTCCTCCGGGCTGAGCTTCTTTGAGAAGAACGCACAGGGGCGGAGCTTGGGTGGCGTGCCCGAGCGTTGAGACAGGACTGCACCCATCCCAACCTCGGACGCATCCACCTCCACTACGAACGGTAGTGATGGATCGGGGTGGGCCAGTACCGGGGCCGAGGTGAACAGTTCCCTCAAGTTACTGAAGGCCCTGTCAGCCTCAGCAGACCAGCGGAGACGGGACGGCCCACCCTTCAACAGAGATGTAATGAGAGCTGCGACCTTGCCAAAGCCCCGGATAAACCTCCGATAATAGTTGGCGAAGCCAAGGAAGCGCTGCACTTCCTTTACCGTGGTTGGAGTCTGCCAATTACGCACGGCTGCAATGTGGTCACCCTCCATCTCCACACCTGTGGTAGAAATGCGGTATCCGAGGAAGGAGACGGACTGCTGGAAAAACATACACTTTTCTGCCTTAGCATAAAGGTCATTTTCCAACAGTCGGGCCAGTACTTTGCGAACCAGGGACACATGCTCGGCGTGCGTTAGCGGAATACACCAAGATGTCATCGATGTAGACCACTACACTGCGACCAAGCATGTCCCAAAACACCTTGTTTACAATGGACTGGAAGACTGAGGGAGCATTCATCAAACCATAGGGCATCACCAGGTATTCATAATGCCCCGTGGTTGTGCTGAATGCTGTCTTCCACTCATCTCCCTCTCTGATACGCACCAGGTTGTACGCACTCCTGAGATCTAATTTAGTGAAGAAGCGCACTCCATGCAATGACTCAACCATTGACGGAATGAGGGGGAGAGGATAACTAAATCTAATCGTCTCCTTGTTCAGTGGTCGATAGTCAATGCACGGGCGCAGACCGCCGTCTTTCTTCTTCACAAAAAATTAACTTGAGGAGGCGGTGAAGTGGAGGGACGTATGTACCCCTGGCGCAGGGACTCGGTGACGTATGTCTCCATAGCCTCCATCTCCGCCTGCGACAGGGGATACACATGACTCCTGGGAGGTACAGCGTCTACCCGAAGGTTTATTGCGCAATCCCCCGCCCGATGAAGGTGGCAATTTAGTTGCTTTATTCTTGGAGAAAACTTGTGCCAGATCATGGTATTCGGGGGGAATGCGCACGGTGGAGGCACCGTCTGGACTTTCCACCGTGGTTGCACCAACAGAAACACCCAGACACCTACCCTGACACTCTCGCGACCACCCCGTGGCCATGAGAAAGTGGGGTTGTGGAGTGCTAGCCACGGAATACCTAACACCACAGGGAAAGCAGGAGTCTCAATGATGGAAAAAGTTACCTGCTCACAATGCATCTCCTGTGTGATCATGGTGACTGGTACCGTGACTTCCTTTATCAACCCGGACCCTAATGGTCGACTATCAAGTGCTCTGATGGGGCGTGGAATGGATAGGGGAACTAATGAAATGCCCTGGTGGCCTGCGAAAGTTTTATCCATAAAGTTCCCAGCTGTGCCTGAATCTACTAGCGCCTTACACTTGGGAACTCTCATGTAATCAGGGAAGTATATGGGTATGGTACAGTGCACAGCAGAGGGCTCTGAACAAGTGTGGGTGCTCAATACCTGGGGTGATGCGAGAGTGCCCTGCCGGCCGCCTCCTGATCCAAAAGAGCGCTGTCGACAACGTGTGGTGGAATGTCCCTTTGTGCCATCCGATTGGCACTGGCGCTGTCGTCATCCGCTCTCTCGGTGCGCGGTACCACCCAGCTCCATGAGCTCTGGATCCGCGTTGGTCGGGGCGGGAACGGGCAGACCTCCTCCAGGACGTCCTCTGGTTACCAGCAGGTTATCCAGACGAATGGCCATATCCACCAGTTCGGTAAAAGACAAACTGGTGTCACGGCAGGCTAGCTCCCGTCGGACGTCCTCCCGTAGATGGCACCAGAACTGGTTGATCAGGGCCCGCTCGTTCCAACCGGATCCTGCTGCCAGAATCTGGGACTCCAGCGCGAACTCCTGTACTGTCCTCGTCCCCTGCCTCAAGTGGACCAGCTGCTCACCCGCCTCTCGACCCTCGGGCGGGTGATCGAAAACTGCCCGAAATAGGCGGGCGAACTCCCTGTAGTCCTCCAACGCGGCTCCTCCTTCTCTCCAAACCGCGTTGGCCCACTCCAGGGCTTTCCCGAGAGGCAGGAAATGAGGATGGACACCTGCTCTCGATTTGATGGCGCCGGCCTGACACTGGAGCTGTACAGTTGGAGAAGGAATCCCTGACATAGAGCCGGCGTCCCATCGAACGCCCGTGGTCGAGATATCTGGATACCTCCGGGTGCTGTGATGTAGGTGGCTGGATCCAGTTGGCCAGCTGGTCTCGACGGATCGGTTCCTCTTCTCTCCAGGCATTGGACGACCTGAAGAACCTTGGCTACATACAAGGAAAGAGTAGCTCAACCGAGCTACTCACTCTCACAATGAACAATCACTCACAAAGGACAAGGGGGCAGAGGGAACACTTATACACAGACTAATGAGGGAATGAGTTCCAGATGTGTGTGTGATTGACAAGACAAGACAAGACAAGACAAATGGAGTGATGATAAATGGAGCGGTAGTGGCTAGTAAGCCGGTGACGACGAACGCCGAAACCTGTCCGAGCAAGGAGGAGGGGCAGCCTCGGCTGAATTCGTGACACTGTGTAAATAGGTTTATGCTCATTGTACCCTCTATTGGACCTGTGTGAATAGGTTTATGCTCATTGTACCTTATTATTGGACCTGTGTGAATAGGTTTATGCTCATTGTACCTTATTATTGGACCTGTGTAAATAGGTTTATGCTCATTGTACTGTATTATTGGACCTGTGTGAATAGGTTTATGCTTATTGTACCTTATTATTGGACCTGCGAAAATAGGTTTATGCTCATTGTACTGTATTATTGAAGCTGTGTGAATAGGTTTATGCTCATTGTACCTTATTATTGGACCTGTGTGAATAGGTTTATGCTCATTGTACCTTATTATTGTACCTGTGTAAATAGGTTTATGCTCATTGTACCTTATTATTGGACCTGTGTAAATAGGTTTATGCTCATTGTACCTTATTATTGTACCTGTGTGAATAGGTTTATGCTCATTGTACCTTATTATTGGACCTGTGTGAATAGGTTTATGCTTATTGTACCTTATTATTGGACCTGTGTGAATAGGTTTATGCTCATTGTACCTTATTATTGGACCTGTGTGAATAGGTCTATGCTCATTGTACCTTATTATTGGACCAGTGTGAATAGGTTTATGTTCAGAAAACAGAGTGAAGAGACATGGGTGAGAGAGCAAAAGAAGGAATGAAAGTGTGGAGGAGAGTGAGAAGCATAGAGAAAGTGAGACCAGGCAACAGGTGCTTGTTGGTATTCCTGCGGAAGTGCTAATTTGATAAGGCTGTGACCACTTTATTGACCAACCAGTGCGGTATGGATCTTAGGCTAGGGATTGTGCTAGAATGAGATTGTGAAAACTCCAGGAGCAGGCTGTATTGAGAATGAGGGAGTGAGAAAGGGAGAGCGTAGAGAGAGAGAGAGAGTTGGAGAGAGATCGGAAAAGAGGAAGAGAGAGGGGGAGAGAGAGGGAGAGTAGGCAGAGGGGAGAGGAAGAGAGGTAGAGTGGCTTAGACTTAGAGAGAGGGGGGTAGACGAAGAGAGAGGAGAGAGATAGGGAGAGAGAAAGCAAGATAAGGGAATGGAAGGGAGGGGGGAGATATGTGGGGGGTATTTGAGGATTCATCTCTCTCCCCTAATTCCCAGTGGGTTCCGAGACACACTTAAAAGCTGTGAAGTGTGCTGTTCTGCCTGTATTCTCCCAGTAATTGGAGGGGTGTTACAGGAAAGGTGGTGCTAGAGTTGAGATGGAGGGAGGGAGGAGTGTATCACCCTTGACAACCTCAGGAACATGCTACTTGTGATCATTTTTTTATCTACCTCTCACGCGCATGTTCTTTGTCTCTGTCTGTCTGTCTGTCTGCCAATTTTCTGTGTCTCTCTGTCTGGTTTGGTCTGTATGTCTCTCTGTCTCTCACTTCCTCTCGCTTCGGTGTCTTTTTCTCCCTCCCACCCTCTCTTTCTCCTTCTCACCCCCTCTCTCTTTCTCTCTGTCTGTCTCAAGGATATACTACCTCAGGTTAGTGTCTCAGACTTTAAACATGGCCACAGGCATTTAGTCATTGATGGGCTTTCCTTTCTGAGCAGGCAGGCCAGCGGGCAGCCCTCTCACACACAGATGTGTCAGGGTCTGCTGAATCACTCTCAGGGGTCCTCGCAGCCTCACGGTCCACAGAGCCCCAGAGCAACACTCTTTGTAGTATGTGCCGTTTGGCATATAGTTTTACGTAATTCTGTGTGCATATACAGTTTTGCCCACCAGGGACCGTGGTGAAGCACAGTCAGCAGTAGTCTGTTGAAATAAAATACATACAAAGAAGGGGTGTGTGGTTTTTTTCACAAGGCTTTTTAAAAATTGTATTTACTCAAAGTGACGTATTTCATTAGTAAACCTATTTTGCCTTGCTTTTAATGCTTGTACTGTACATGCATAATATATGTACATATTGTATATAGTCCATACATATCTCAGTGCCCAAGTGGCAAGTGTTGTAGACGAAGGTGGGGATAGTGGTATGTTTGCCACAGTCCCCTGACTGTACATAATGTACCACTCCACTGTACATTACTGTATTATACAATACAGTACAGAGCTGCCTGGCTGGCTGCAGTGCTGGTACCACGGACAGCTCCTCTGCTCTTTTCTCCCCCCCCCCCTCCTCTCATCCTGATCAGAGTTCTTTTTTTATTTCTCTGGGGATTATAGACCAACCCTGTGGAGTAGAAAACCCAATCTCCCCCTCCACACCCTCCACCCTGCTCCACCCCTCCACCTCCCCTCCACCTCCCCCAGCCCCCTGCCACAATCCACCCTGGGCTGGATTAATGACCTCGCTGGAGAGGGCCCTGGCTCTCCAAATCACACACCAGACAACCACTGACTACTCTACCATGCAGACTGCTACTGAATTCTCTGTGTGTGTGTGTGTGTGTGTGTGTGTGTGTGTGTGTGTGTGTGTGTGTGTGTGTGTGTGTGTGTGTGTGTGTGTGTGTGTGTGTGTGTGTGTGTGTGTGTGTGTGTGTGTGTGTGTGTGTGTGTGTGTGTGTGTGTGTGTGTGTGTGTGTGTGTGCGCGCGTGTGTTTATGTATTCGGGATGAATTCCTGTATGTGCTTGTCTAGTCTACTGTATACTGTTTGTCTTCATCTGTCTTACGTGCGCCGCTGGTGAGTCACTGTGATGTTCCTGTCCATTGCATTACATCTTAATACAGGAACAATGGACATATACAAATAGACTGTCCTGGTTACGTGATCAGAGCTATTAAAGGTATTATGCAATCGACTGCAGTCAGTGAGACAGAGAGGTTGCATGCAGGGGGACGTTCTTCTCCATTAATGGTTATTCTAAAATGGCTTCCCGCCGCACACCTGCCGCTTGACGCACAGCAGGTCTGTCCCAGCCACCCACCGCTCCTTTGACAATATTAAACAGGCTGCTTGCTTTACCAAAACCAACATATGGAGGAGGGTGAGTTTTATCCAGCTGGGACGCTCAGCAGTCTGGCTGGCTGGAAGTCTCATATTCACCGTCTCACTCAATGTTTTCTGTCTCCGCCTCTTTCCTTGAAGGGATGGAGATGAGAGAGAGAGAGAGATAACATATCTTAGAGCGATATCTTCTATCTCCTCTCTTTCTTTCTCTCTCGCTCTCTCTCTCTCTCTAGATCTATCTCTCTCTCTCTCTCTCTCTCTCTCTCTCTCTCTCTCTCTCTCTCTCTCTCTCTCTCTCTCTCTCTCTCTTCCTCGTTCCCTCTCCAAACCTGCGATGTTCCTCCTACATCAGTCTAGTTGTGAGCCTGTTGAGTCCTCAGCTCTACACCAGCCTCAGTAGCCACAGATCACAGCCATAGACTCTGTGCTATAGGTCTGTGCTGAATGGAGCTTCATACAAATGCTGGATAAAAAATTTAGCATAGAATATACGAGTAATATGCTGCTTTTCTGTAAGAGAGCGTTTGTTACGGAAATACCTCTATTGTATGTAACCTTTCCATCTGTGTGATTTCAGCTAAGAAAGCTGCAGACGGGTCAGTCATCCCTAACGGCTACTGTGACTTCTGCCTGGGTGGCTCCAAGAAGACTGGGTGTCCCGAGGACCTCATCTCCTGTGCCGACTGTGGACGCTCAGGTACAGACAGACAGACACTCCTATGGACACCAGTTTTAGTTGGTTTTAAATGTGTCATTCTTACACAAATGTTATTATGTTTTAGAGTAATGGAAACAAGCCCAACTTGATGATGATGATGATGATGATGGTGATGATGATGGTGACGTTGATGACGACGACAACGATGATGATGAGGAGTAACATGAAGAGTGTGTGTGTCCCTCTCTGTGTCCCTAGGTCACCCGTCCTGCCTGCAGTTCACAGTCAACATGACGGCAGTAGTGCGGACCTACCGCTGGCAGTGCATTGAGTGCAAATCCTGCAGCTTATGTGGCACCTCCGAGAATGACGTGAGCAGCACACGCACACACACACACACACACACACACACCTTCATACTCCCAAAACATCTATACTGAACAAAAATATAAATGCAACATACAACAATTTCAAAAGATTTTTACAGAGTTACAGTTCATATAAGGAAATCAGTCAATTGAAATAAATTCATTAGGCCCTAATCTATGGATTTCACATGACTGGGAATACAGATACAGTGGGGAAAAAAAGTATTTAGTCAGCCACCAATTGTGCAAGTTCTCCCACTTAAAAAGATGAGAGAGGCCTGTAATTTTCATCATAGGTACACGTCAACTATGACAGACAAAATGAGAATTTTTTTTCCAGAAAATCACATTGTAGGATTTTTAATGAATTTATTTGCAAATTATGGTGGAAAATAAGTATTTGGTCACCTACAAACAAGCAAGATTTCTGGCTCTCACAGACCTGTAACTTCTTCTTTAAGAGGCTCCTCTGTCCTCCACTCGTTACCTGTATTAATGGCACCTGTTTGAACTTGTTATCAGTATAAAAGACACCTGTCCACAACCTCAAACAGTCACACTCCAAACTCCACTATGGCCAAGACCAAAGAGCTGTCAAAGGACACCAGAAACAGAATTGTAGACCTGCACCAGGCTGGGAAGACTGAATCTGCAATAGGTAAGCAGCTTGGTTTGAAGAAATCAACTGTGGGAGCAATTATTAGGAAATGGAAGACATACACTGATAATCTCCCTCGATCTGGGGCTCCTCGCAAGATCTCACCCCGTGGGGTCAAAATGATCACAAGAACGGTGAGCAAAAATCCCAGAACCACACGGGGGGACCTAGTGAATGACCGGCAGAGAGCTGGGACCAAAGTAACAAAGCCTACCATCAGTAACACACTACGCCGCCAGGGACTCAAATCCTGCAGTGGCAGACGTGTCCCCCTGCTTAAGCCAGTACATGTCCAGGCCCGTCTGAAGTTTGCTAGAGTGCATTTGGATGATCCAGAAGAGGATTGGGAGAATGTCATATGGTCAGATGAAACCAAAATATAACTTTTTGGTTAAAAAAACTCAACTCGTCGTGTTTGGAGGACAAAGAATGCTGAGTTGCATCCAAATAACACCATACCTACTGTGAAGCATGGGGGTGGAAACATCATGCTTTGGGGCTGTTTTTCTGCAAAGGGACCAGGATGACTGATCCGTGTAAAGGAAAGAATGAATGGGGCCATGTTTTGTGAGATTTTGAGTGAAAACCTCCTTCCATCAGCAAGGGCATTGAAGATGAAACGTGGCTGGGTCTTTCAGCATGACAATGATCCCAAATACACCGCCTGGGCAACGAAGGAGTGGCTTCGTAAGAAGCATTTCAAGGTCCTGGAGTGGCCTACCCAGTCTCCAGATCTCAACCCCATAGAAAATCTTTGGAGGGAGTTGAAAGTCCGTGTTGCCCAGCGACAGCCCCAAAACATCACTGCTCTAGAGGAGATCTGCATGAAAGAATGGGCCAAAATACCAGCAACAGTGTGTGAAAACCTTGTGAAGAGTTACAGAAAACATTTGACCTGTGTCATTGCCAACAAAGGGTATATAACAAAGTATTGAGAAACTTTTGTTATTGACCAAATACTTATTTTCCACCATAATTTGCAAATAAATTCATTAAAAATCCTACAATGTGATTTTCTGGAGAAAAAAAATCTCATTTTGTCTGTCATAGTTGACGTGTACCTATGATGAAAATTACAGGCCTCTCTCATCTTTTTAAGTGGGAGAACTTGCACAATTGGTGGCTGACTAAATTCTTTTTTTCCCCACTGTATGCATCTGTTAGTCACAGATACCTTTTTTAAAAAGGTAGGGGCGTCGATCAGAAAGACACTATTTGCCTCATGCAGCGCGACACATCTCCTTCGCATAGAGTTGATCAGGGTGTTGATTGTCGGCCTGTGGAATGTTGTCCCACTCCTCTTCAATGGCTGTGCGAAGTTGCTGGATATTGGCGGGAACTGGAACACGCTGTCGTACACGTCGATCCAGAGCATCCCAAACATTCTCAATGGGTGACATGTCAAGTGAGTATGCAGGCCATAGAAGAACTGGGACATTTTCAGCTTCCAGGAATTGTGTACAGATCCTTGCAACATGGGGCCGTGCATTATCATGCTGAAACATGAGGTGATGGCGGCAGGTGAATGGCATGACAATGGGCCTCAGGACCTCATCACGGTATCTCTGTGCATTCAAATTGCCATCGATAAAATGCAATTGTGTTCGTAGCTTATGCCTGCCCAGACCATAACCCCACCGGCACTATGGGGCACTCTGTTCACAACGTTGACATCAGCAAACCACTCACCAACACGATGCCATACACGTGGTCTGCGGTTGTGAGGCTGGTTGGACGTACTGCCAATTTTATGGTAGAGAAATGAAAGAAATGATCTGGTAACAGCTGTGGTGGACATTCCTGCAGTCACCATGCCAATTGCACACTCCCTCAAAACATGAGACATCTGTGGCATTGTGTTGTGTGACAAAACTGCTCATTTCAGAGTGGCCTTTTATTGTCCCCAGCACAAGATGCACCTGTGTAATGATCATGCTGTTTAATCAGGTTCTTGATATGCCACAGATGTCAGATGGATGGATTATCTTGGCAAAGGAGAAATGCTCACTAACAGGGATGTAAACACATTTGTGCACAAAATCTGAGAGAAATAAAATGTTCTGGGATCTTTTATTTCAGCTCATGAAACATGGGACCAACACTTTACATGTTGCGTTTATATTTCTGTTCAGTGTATATCCCACTCTCCATTTACCCCAACACACACTCGCCTGGACTCTCATCCTCCAGTATGATTAACGCCTGATGGCCCAGATTTACTAAGAGTTTGCACCTGTTTTTACAACAGAGAATTCAATATTGGGGACAGATCAATAGGGTAAAGTAAAGGTTAATAACACAATAAGAAATGGGTGCAAACGCTTAGCAAATCTGGGCCTACAGTGAGGGAAAAAAGTATTTGATCCCCTGCTGATTTTGTACATTTGCCCACTGACAAAGAAATGATCAGTCAATCATTTTAATGGTAGGTTTATTTGACCAGTGAGAGACAGAATAACAACAAAAAAATCCAGAAAAACGCATGTCAAAAATGTTATAAATTGATTTGCATTTTAATGAGGGAAATAAGTATTTGACCCCCTCTCAATCAGAAATATTTCTGGCTCCCAGGTGTCTTTTATACAGGTAACGAGCTGAGATTAGGAGCACACTCTTAAAGGGAGTGCTCCTAATCTCAGCTTGTTACCTGTATAAAAGAAGCCTGTCCACAGAAGCAATCAATCAATCAGATTCCAAACTCTCCACCATGGCCAAGACCAAAGAGCTCTCCAAGGATGTCAGGGACAAGATTGTAGACCTACACAAGGCTGGAATGGGCTACAAGACCATCGCCAAGCAGCTTGGTGAGAAGGTGACAACAGCTGGTGCGATTATTCGCAAATGGAAGAAACACAAATAACTGTCAATCTCCCTCGGTCTGGTGCTCCATGCAAGATCTCACCTCGTGGAGTTGCAATGATCATGAGAACGTTGAAGAATCAGCCCAGAACTACACGGGAGGATCTTGTCAATGATCTCAAGGCAGCTCGGACCATAGTCACCAAGAAATCAATTGGTAACACACTACGCAGTGAAGGACTGAAATCCTGCAGCACCCGCAAGGTCCCCCTGCTCAAGAAAGCACATATACAGGGCCGTCTGAAGTTTGCCAATGAACATCTGAATGATTCAGAGGAGAACTGGGTGAAAGTGTTGTGGTCAGATGAGACCAAAATGGAGCTCTTTGGCATCAACTCAACTCGCCGTGTTTGGAGGAGGAGGAATGCTGCCTATGACCCCAAGAATACCATCCCCACCGTCAAACATGGAGGTGGAAACATTATGCTTTGGGGGTGTTTTTCTGCTAAGGGGACAGGACAACTTCACCGCATCAAAGGGACGATGGTCGGGGCCATGTAACGTCAAATCTTGGGTGAGAACCTCCTTCCCTCAGCCAGGGCATTGAAAATGGGTCGTGGATGGGTATTCCAGCATGACAATGACCCAAAACACACAGCCAAGGCAACAAAGAAGTGGCTCAAGAAGGAGCATATTAAGGTCCTGGAGTGGCCTAGCCAGTCTCCAGACCTTAATCCCATAGAAAATCTGTGGAGGGAGCTGAAGGTTTGAGTTGCCAAACGTCAGCCTCGAAACCTTAATGACTTGGAGAAGATCTGCAAAGAGGAGTGGGACAAAATCCCTCCTGAGATGTGTGCAAACCTAGTGGCCAACTACAAGAAACGTCTGACCTCTGTGATTGCCAACAAGGGTTTTGCCACCAAGTACTAAGTCATGTTTTGCAGAGGGGTCAAATACTTATTTCCCTCATTAAAATGCAAATCAATTTATACCATTTTTGACATGCGTTTTTCTGGATTTTTTTTTGTTATTCTGTCTCTCACTGTTCAAATAAACCTACCATTAAAATTATAGACTGATCATGTCTTTGTCAGTGGGCAAACATAAAAAATCAGCAGGGGATCAAATACTTTTTTCCCTCACTGTATGTGTAGTATGTGTAGTATGTGTAGAATGTGTAGTATGTGCAGTATGTGTAGTATGTATAGTATGTGCAGTATGTGTAGTATGTGTAGTATGTGTAGAATTTGCATCTGGTTAAAGAAACATTACAGATACATATCTGCCACTATATTTGATTGATAATGTCAGAACGTTATTTGTGTTTGTGTGTTTCCTTGTTTCAGGATCAGTTACTATTCTGTGATGATTGTGACAGAGGCTACCACATGTACTGCCTGAGCCCCCCTATGGCGGAGCCCCCAGAGGGTAGGTACACTACAGGATATGTGGAGGATATAGGCCTAGTGTAGTCCTACAGAATACTGTATACTGTATAGTATACCTAGGGCGGCATATTGTCGGTAATTGATGACCATGCAATGGCTGGGTTCATAATGTGATTTATACAGTAGGTGCATTATAAGGGGAAAGGCATTGTGCAGAATGATTGTGTCATCAGCAAGTCAAGTTGTCTAAGAGATTACAAATCTATCCCACTACTTGACCACAGTATGTGGTGTTGCACTTGCTACAGTCAGTCAGTATTCAATTTACAGTGTTTAATTATTCTGCTAGGGTTAATCCCTGGGCTTTCCAATAACCAGTGAACTTGTGAACTGTTGATCTTCCAGGGAGCTGGAGTTGCCATCTGTGTCTGCGGCAGCTAAAAGAGAAGGCCTCAGCCTACATCACCCTGACCTAATCTGCCACTGCCACGCTACACCGCCAACCCGCACCCACGTATGCCCCCCCCCCCAAACATAGCAACTGGACCAACTCCAATCTGAGAAGACAACCCCAACGCCCTGCAGTTTTTCCTCCTCTATGAAACGACAACAGACGTCCGTCCACTTCTCCAGTCAACAGGTCTCCCCGCCCCAGCCCCAGCTGTTTTAACGTCAATGGAAGTACCTACTTCTCAGAGTGCACAATGCTCCAACCAGGTCTCCCCCAGTCTGCCCCTGCTGAGGCCCAGCCACCTGCCCCTGGAGTCCCCTCCACCTCTGGCACCTCTGGCCCAGGAGGAACCACCTTCTACCCCAGCAGCATCAAGGGGGAGCATCTGATCATCAATAGCCTAACTGGGCTGCCCCCCGGGGCCTGTTGGCCCTCCACCGTCTGTCTCCGAAGAGACGTTTATCAGTAGCCCACAAGGGCACTCAAGAGGCACGCTCTCCCCTGTGAAGGGTCCTTAGAGGAGCCCTAACGAGTATCAGCTGTCACTGTGGCCTTATACTCCCATCCACTCGGCCGTGGCCCTGGCAACAGAGTACACACAGAGAGGGAGAAGCAGGCTGTAGTGACGACCAGACTCCTCGTTAGGTTTAAAGCAGCTGCAGCCCCGCCCCCTTCCTCCCACATGTAGCCGCCACTCAAAGCCTTTGAAAGTGAAGTACTCTGAGATTGATACCATCGCCTAGAGCTATTGTGGCTTTATGACATTTACAGAGGAGAGGGAGTGGAGAGGTTGTCACTCTGCCATCAGCCACTTAGATCAAATTGTGTGTCCAAAAAAATAATGAATTAGAGTAAAGGTTTTCTTGTTACCTTCATTTCCTTCAAAACAACAACTGAAAAAGCCAACATGAGACTGCTATGACTTTGGCTGAGCTTGGTGTATTTTGTCTGTGTGTGTAGCAAGAATGTAGGTATGTTTTAAGTGTGGACAATGCAGGTTTTAATGTCTGGCCTTGTCAAAAATACAGGGCCCAAATGTTTTTTTTGTTTTGTTTTTTTGTTACATTTTATTTGGTACTTTATTTGCATGGTGTTAACATGATAGTTTTTAAAGATATTTTAAAGATAAAATGTATTTAAGAAAGCACACTTAATTCGCAATAATGTGTTTGTGACCCATTTGGGTAAAGTTGAGTGTGTGTGTGTGTGTCCATCTGTATATGTGTGTGTGTGTGTGTGTGTGAGGGTAAATGTGCCCTCCTAAAACTGTGTGGAAATGAGAGCCAACCGTAGCCAACCAGGTGCTAGGCAGGACCTATGGCAGGGTCGGGGAGTAGGAATGGGAGGGGCTTCTGATGATTCTGATTCCTAGAAACACCACCATGACTTACTGTATTATGTTTTCTGTTGGACCAAACGAATTCAAGCCAGCTTGCGCCATTTCTCTCTTCCGAGCCCTTTTTTTTCTCGAAGGATAACTCATTTTTGTGAAAAGTCATCAAAACTAGTAGAATGAGCTCTTTGCTATCTGCAAGACTGCTTTGCGTGCTAGGACCTTGTATATAATGTGCTTTCAAAGAGTAAGCTAAAAGCAGAGGACTTCTACTAACTGGTACGCCAGCATGTGTGTTTGTGAGCTTGCACTGAGACAAGTCTTTTTTCAACCCAAAGTCCCCTCTCCCAGTGGCCTATCTGACTGGACTATTGTATGACACTGCAACTTTGATTGGTCCAACGATCCCTCCTACTCTTCCTAGAGCTTTAAGTTGGGAGACATTTTGCTGTAAATAGATTGTCACTCTCTCTGTCTATCAAAAAGGCTAATTGCCATTTCATAATTCACCGTCTCTCAGTGCATATCGAAATATGAACTCAAAAATACAATTTCTGTCTATTTTAATGCACTTAAAAGTGGTTGTCATATTTGCCTCCATATTTGGAATGTCTCTACTCTTCAAATGTGTGTGTTTATATTCTACTATGGTACGATCCCCAACACACACCCATGTTGGGGAAAACGTTACTACCTGCGCTACCCAAAATGTATGTACCATCATTTAGGCATGTGTGATACCAGAAATTCTCTCGATTTCATATTTTGATATCTACTTTATTTATTTTTCTTGAATAACTAGGGATGTTTTCACCTCTTCTTTCTCAGTATTGTTCTCTTATTTGTTTTTGTTGATGTTTTTATACTTCAAACATTTTGCACAGTGTGTTTGTTTGTTTTAGCAAGAGTGTGTGTACGCGTGTGTACGTGTGTGTGTCTATGTGTGTGAGAGAGAGGGAGAGACACACAGACAGACTTGAAGGTGCTGTCTGTCAGTGGTTCCATTCCAAATGACACGCTATCCTCTTTATAGAGCACTACTTTTGAACAGTGGCCATAGGGCTCTGGTGAAAAGTAGTGCACCACATAGGGAATAGGGTGCCATTTGGGATGTACACAGTGTCTCTTTAAACTAATAATGAGGTCATAGAAAAACAAACAAACACAGTCAAAAGACGGTTATTATTTTTCAAACTTCCACTCCATGACACAAGCTGCATGCCGATACATCCAAGAATACAGTCAACACTAGTGTACTATGCTAGAATGGGTACTGCTGAAGCCTCAGTCCTCGCTACTGTAGTTGGCCCTGAGTGACAGTAGCCTGATCCCAGATCTGTTTGTGCTGTCGCATGACAATGACCCTTGGAGAACAGATCTGGGATTGGGCCAGAGTGACAGAATGTCATTCTACTGACTTTGGGGCCCCTTGATTGTGATAGGTGCAATGTGTCATGATAGATTGTGTCCTAGCGGTGAATCGTTCAATAATTCAACTCTTCACCTTTTAATGGACAGACTCCTCAAAAGACAATGTGAAAACCTTCACGACATTACTGTTTCATCCTTTTATTTAAGTTTCCCACCAATACCCAATCAGAGTTGTGTTCAGAGCCAGTGCTGAGGTAATAGCCAGGGGATGATTTGGGATTCTGTGTGAGTGAGGTGAACTGATCTGAAAGTGTTTACTGATAATAAGCCTTTCCTTCTGAATTTATTCCTGGCACTTATGAGGATGTGGTGGAGTCAAACTACTTTGATTGTACTATCTGAGAAGATGCAGTTGCAGAAAGAGGGGTGACTCAAGCTCAGATATGACCTTTGACCCCCCCCCCCCTCAGAAACTGAGCTAAGACAGGGGGTCACCCAGTGATCTGTCCTGTTCCGTCTAAAGGATCCTTCACTCCTTCCCCATCTTTAGACTGGGGGTGGGATCAGAAGGGAAAGAAGATTATTGGCCAGTCCTCAAACGAAGCAGGATTCTGGCCCTCTTGTAAATTGTTGTGCTGTGATCTTTCTTATTCCCCAAATAAGAAATTCCTGTGTGAGTGTGTGCACATTTTCCTTTCTTGTAACTGTCTGTTGGAAAAAAATAAACACTGGATAAAATGAATTTGTTAGTATTTACCCTTAGGGAGATCAAATCTTCCTGGACATGTGGGCTGTTTTTTCTTTCTTTACTGTCTCCTACCTACCTGGGAACGCTTTGAAATATTGACTGCAACTGCATAGCTGTCATTGCCGCTGTCATTCATTCATTCATTGTAAATTCATCGGTCTTTCTCGAGGCACCCAATTTCCCCAAATTTTTCTCTCCTGACTCCTTTTTTCATTTACAAACAATCATAAATAAAAGTCGTAACTCCTGAAAACGTCTGCTGTGGTGTATGTCTGTGTGGAGCTTCTGAACACTCACCAATTTAGCAATGTTTGTGTATTTCTGAAGAAAATGTGAGAAGCTGAAAATTAATCCCATTATGTTTTAAGTGTCATAAATATGTTATTTACAATAGATGGTTTGGAGCTTGGATCAATAAACCCACGTGGGCACTTTTCTCCCAAAAATATAATGATCTACCACAGTATGACTGCATTCCTTGAACCTCTTTTGGCTTGAAAGTAAACATGGTCTCTTTGAGCTCCAATGTTTGTATGTGATATATTGGAGAATAGGCATCTATGATACTGTAGTCCTGGAGAGACCTGGCTGAACATGACAAGTGAAGCAAATCCATTCTTCACCTTCCAGAAGCCAGAATCATCACGAGTGCACACTTTTTCTTTGGGGAAATGTGTATTTAAACAAATATATAGATATATTATTGGAATACGATTCTTCCATCCATTCCTTGGCAAAATTCCCACTTTCACCTTATCCCAAGTTCTGTATATCCCTCCAGCCCTCCACCCATGCAACAAACAGACTACTACTAGTCTACTCCCCCCTCTCTTCCTACCCACGTTATTCTGACTCCTTGTCTCCCTCTTCCATCTCCAAGGATGTCTGTGAAGCTTTTGTGGGAGGGTTGTTTGTCTGTGTGTGTGTTTATAGTACTGTATGCGTGTTTTGTGTGTATCTGTATGTGAGGGGGGGGGGTTGGGGTTTGAGACTCCCAGCCAATTACCACATCTACCAGACAGGCTCAGACTGCCTCTGTGCCAGCCAATCAGAGAAGAGCTGCGCATAGCTGGGCCCATGGTGGTTGCCATGGTAACTTGGGGGCTGTTTGCATGATGGATGATGGAACAGTGATGGATTACAGTAATGGGGTGGGGTGCGGGGAGGGAAGGAGTGGGGACTCATACATACATATATTGGAAATGTATGAATACATCTTAAATGAATTGACGTTGGGAAAGAAGAGGGAAATGAAGGGGGTGTGATGGGGTATTGGGTGATGGGGGTTGCCTAAACTGTAGGCTACCTATTTTATTCTGTCTGTCTGGTCTAAGGCTGATAAGGCTTAAGAATAGTCTGGGATGCAGTCTCACGTTTTGTCTCCTCAAGTCACTGGGCCATTAGGACCTTAGACTGTGCTCTGAATGATTTACTCAGTCCAGCTATAGCCCACTTTAGGTCCAGCAGTAGCCTACCAGACAGGTAGATAGATGTGAATTTGTGGAAAGGGCTCAAGATTTGGAACACTCAAGCAACTAAGCACAGTTCAGGTAGTCATTGGCCCAGTACTGTATCACTCACATACTACACACATAACTATTCACACATTTTACTATACAGTATACACAACAATGGCTTGCAACTTACTAGGATAGCAGCACTTCTGAACAAATCATTGGCGTCCAGACAGACGACTATTAAAGTAATAACCTGTCTGATCCATAAGCATTATTTACCCATAATCCATGTGATTAGTGACAACAGGCAATTAAAAAGGAATGGGCCAATCAATTGAGTGACCAGGATCAATGTCAATGTAGGCACGTGGGCCTGTAAGTGAAGAAAAGCTTATTCACATCCAGTGATGCAGTCTTGACAAATCAACGACTGGGTTATTAGAAACAGTTGTCATTATTAAGCTTAATTGCGTTCACTTGTCACTCATGTTTTATAGCTGCAAATGAATTTGTGCCCTGCTCTTTCTTTCCTGGAAAACAAATCCTCGAGACAATAATTCTACACTTTGAGATGTAGCACATTTCAATTCTACAACAATGTCTAGTGGATAAATATATACTGGGTAAAAATTAGTACTGGTACTGCCTGCATTCTGGAATGTTGTACCATGATGACCATGGGACATTTGGCCAGGCCTCCCTTTTACACCCTAAACATCTGATACACACCTGACATCTAGTGGCAGACTTTAAGAGCAGCACCAACCCCAATTACAATATACTCTGTCTGTGTGAATGTGGCAACCAGACACAATATATGACAGCCAGTTACCACTTTGAATGCAACATGGTGTGAATGATTTATATGAAAGATGTTGTGAATGCATGGCCAAAGCAAAGTACTTACTATACATGAGAAATATAAGACTGTACTGTATACTGTAGATCTGAATTAACAAGCTTATGGTCAAATTATTTATTTGATATAAGCGTCCTCATACTGTTGTGGAAAAACCATGCCTGGTTTGATCTTTCTAATCTTATCTGCAGTATTTTCCCCTCATGCCTCTTAGGGTTCCTGGGTGAGCGCATGTGCCAAGAGGGTGAGACCAGACCAGGACTCTAGCCAGGTTGACCCTTGCCTGGGAAACCAACACATGAGACAACTGTTATACAACCAAGACTTAGCCATTGACTTTGACTACACCAACACCACTTCATAAAAGCTCTACAATAAGATTGAGATGTGAAGGAGAAATGTATGTGTCATTTAGAAGTTTGACCTAACAATGTACATTGCTATCTCATTTTTCAGATTTTCATTTTTCTGCTAAATAGTCAATTAATGGTACCCAAACTTTCTGCACTGACTATCTTGCACTGACCCTACACACACTCACTAGACTTTATATACACCCCATCTACACACACACAAAACCCTGACACATTCACAAACACTACATACATACGAACACACACACACATACACATGCATACCAATACAGCACAAACACACATACACGCACACTTTCACACTCATCATATGCTGCTGCTACTCTGTTCTTTATTTTACTCTTAATATTATCTATCCTGATGCCTAGTTACTTTACCCTGCCTTCATGTACATGTCTACCTCAAATACCTCGTACCTTTGCACATTGATCTGGTACTGGTACTTCCTGTATATACAGTGGTGGAAAAAAGTATTTAGTCAGCCACCAATTGTGCAAGTTCTCCCACTTAAAAAGATGAGAGAGGCCTGTCATTTTCATCATATGTACATGTCAACTATGACAGACAAATTGAGGAAAAAAAATCCAGAAAATCACATTGTATGATTTTTTATGAATTTATTTGCAAATTATGGTTGAAAATAAGTATTTGGTCAATAACAAAAGTTTCTCAATACTTTGTTATATACCCTTTGTTGGCAATGACACAGGTCAAACGTTTTCTGTAAGTCTTCACAAGGTTTTCACACACTGTTGCTGGTATTTTGGCCCATTCCTCCATGTAGATCTCCTCTAGAGCAGTGATGTTTTGGGGCTGTCGCTGGGCAACACGGACTTTCAACTCCCTCCAAAGATTTTCTATGGGGTTGAGATCTGGAGACTGGCTAGGCCACTCCAGGACCTTGAAATGCTTCTTACGAAGCCACGCCTTCATTGCCCGGGCGGTGTGTTTGGGATCATTGTCATGCTGAAAGACCCAGCCACGTTTCATCTTCAATGCCCTTGCTGATGGATGGAGGTTTTCACTCAAAATCTCACGATACATGGCCCCATTCATTCTTTCCTTTACACGGATCAGTCGTCCTTTGGTCTTGGCCATAGTGGAGTTTGGAGTGTGACTGTTTGAGGTTGTGGACAGGTGTATTTTATACTGATAACAAGTTCAAACAGGTGCCATTAATACAGGTAACGAGTGGAGGACAGAGGAGCCTCTTAAAGAAGAAGTTACAGGTCTGTGAGAGCCAGAAATCCTGCTTGTTTGTAGGTGACCAAATACTTATTTTCCACCATAATTTGCAAATAAATTCATAAAAAATCCTACAATGTGATTTTCTGGATTTTTTTCTCTCTCAATTTGTCTGTCATAGTTGACGTGTACCTATGATGAAAATTACAGGCCTCTCTCATCTTTTTAAGTGGGTGAACTTGCACAATTGGTGGCTGACTAAATACTTTTTCCCCCCACTGTAGCTCCGTTCTTGTGTATTTTATGTTATTCCTCGTTAGTTACTAAACTCTGCGTTGTTGGGAAACGTTCATAAGCAAGCATTTCACTGTAAAGTCAACACCAGCTGTATTCAGCACATGTCATAAATACAATTTGATTTATTGCTATAGGAATTTATTGGTATTGTTCCTAGGGCAGATTGTTTGAGTTAAGACAGCTGCTTCCTGTATAGCGGAATGATTCACAAGGACATCATACTGATGACCAGCATGAACACACACTGTCCTGTACTGCATACACCTTCCAATCACAAAACAGTATACACAAATCTCAGTGCCCAAATGCTGAGTACTGGGCCCTATTGAAGATCATTATATCAAACCAACTATGTCTCCTGTATCTCACTCTGGAGGGACTTAGACACAGATGACCTGACAGAGCAAGTCAAGTTCACCTCACATCAACCTTCTCCTCACCATCAGTGAAATACAGCGTAAATACAGCATTACAAGAGTTGCAGATAAACACTGAGTACACAGAGCAAAAGCATTACAGCTGGTCTATGTAACGTACACACCACCTGAGAGAACCATGTATATTTGGATCTACCCAGTCCCTGTGACCTTCACGTGTCAAGCAAGCAGAGATAGAGGAAATTACAGTGTAACAAGTGGAAAAGCCGGTTAAAGGGGCAGTGCTGTTTAAAGGGGCAATGCTGGTTAAATGGACTATATAGGTTCAACCATTGGGCTCTGCTTCAGAGGCACAGCTTGGTGCAGGACAGGTGAGTGGACAGACACATCTAGTCGAGACCAGAGAACACGAGGAGAAAGCAATCAACTAGGAAGTAGGAACGTCCCATCCAATGATGCCGGTCCCGGTAGCCCTGTGTGTCCTCCTGGCTGGAACCCTGTCCCTTGTTGAGGGGGATGTGGTGGCCAACTTCGAGGAGGTCCCAGAGTGTGTGGAGTATTTCTACCAGGGGAAGGTACCGGGCTGGGGCGCTGCCACTCCCGGCGCTGCCCGCCTGTGCCAGCGCTTCTACAACAGGTATCACTTTGCCACGCTGTACGACACCAACCACCACATTGCTGTGTATTCAGCCTACCGCTTCCAGCCCAGCAGCGGAGGGGGCAGGGAGAAGCACTGGTTTGTGGAGCCACAGGTGGGTCATGAGAACAGGACAGATGTGTCTGTGGCTAGACACTGACATGCAATAGGACGGTCTCAACAACTCACATCAATAACTATGTTGGTGACCCAAATACAAAAAAGCTCTAGATCATCATGTTTGTTGTGTCCTGTGTTGTACGATATGGAGGCAGATTGTTGCCAAAATAAATGGCTAAAAAGTTTAGAAAAATAAAATTCTATTTTCTGTTTGAATTGATCTGAAGCGTGGGGTTGTAACAGCAGTTTATTTTCCCTCCCAGCTTGTGAACCTTACGTGGGGTGCAGAGATGAAGGATGAGTACTGGCTAGGGAAGGATCACCCTGGGGTTTACCTGGGCGAGAGACAGGCGCTCAACGAGGACTACACCCACTCTGGCTTCGACCGTGGCCATCTCAACCCCAATGGACACCATGCAGGTAGTCTCCTACACAATACAGACTCTGTTTTAAAAAGATTTCATGCAACAGCATTTCAATGCTAATGTTGTTAGGATTGTTTCTTAGTTCACTGTGGACTACTGTGATGATGGTAGACTGTTGAACTTAAAGTTAAGTACAAGGTAAACCCAAGTATGAATGCAACCCAGCAAACACGCAACGTTGCCTCAAAGTTGACTCCAAGTGTGCCTCAACATGCCATTGCTACTTTGTAACACTTAGTAATTAATCTCATGACAAATTGCTTAAACCTACAGTATATCTCTCCTTTTCCTCTCTCCTTAATCTCACACGGTCACTCCCTTCCTTTTCTCCCCAAGTCCCCAGTCGTAATGCCACCTTCACCCTGACCAACGTGGTGCCCCAGAATCCCAAGCTCAACCAGAACGCCTGGGTCCGCCACGAGTCCCAGCTCACAGACCTGTTCAAGGCCCAGTGTGCCCAGGCCTACGTGCTGGTTGGCGCCATCCCCTCCACAGACAACTGGATTGTCAAGAACAACGTCCGACGCGTCAACATCCCAGAGTACATCTGGAACGCCTACTGCTGTGTGGACAACAACGGTAAGCCTGTCCGTAGCGGTGGCGCCACCGCCCTCAACACCGAGCAGAACCGAGTGGACCAGCACTCACTGCTGGAGCTGAATGGTTTCCTGCAGCAGTACTCTAACACACCAATAGGGGAGTTGTTCCACAACAACTGCCAGGCAGTGACCGAGGAGTAGTATCCCACTCATTTCTATTCATGATTTGACAGCAGCAAGGTGAGCTAAAACTTCAGTTCACATATCAGTACCAGTCTTTCAGCCCAGTCATGTGCTTCCTACTGTGAAAATGAAATGATGAACTACAGTGGATAAATAAAGAACTATGTTTGGAGAGATACACATTTTATTAGTCTTTATATGTGCTTTCTGGGAATAAGTGAGAATAATACAGTTGAAGTCAGAAGTTTACATACACTTAGGTTGGAGTCATTAAAACTCGTTTTTCAACCACTCCACAAATTTCTTGTTAACAAACTATAGTTTTGGCAAGTCGGTTAGGACATCTACTTTGTGCATGACACAAGTAATTGTTTACAGACAGATTATTTCAATTATAATTCACTGTATCACAATTCCAGTGGGTCAGAAGTTTACATACACTAAGTTGACTGTGCCTTTAAACAGTTTGGAAAATTCCAGAAAATGATGTCATGGCTTTAGAAGCTTCTGATAGGCTAATTGACATAATTTGAGTCAATTGGAGGTGTACCTGTGGATGTATTTCAAGGCCTACCTTCAAACTCAGTGCCTCTTTGCTTGACATCATGGGAAAATCTAAAGAAATCAGCCAAGACCTCAGAAAAAAAATGGTAGACCTCCACAAGTCTGGTTCATCCTTGGGAGCAATTTCCAAACGCCTGAAGGTACCACGTTCATCTGTACAAACAATAGTCTGCAAGTATAAACACCATGGGACCACGCAGCCGTCATACCGCTCAGGATTGAGACGCGTTCTGTCTCCTAGAGATGAACGTACTTTGGTGAGAAAAGTGCAAATCAATCCCAGAACAACAGCAAAGGACCTTGTGAAGATGCTGGAGGAAACAGGTACAAAAGTATCTATAACCACAGTAAAACGAGTACAATATCGACATAACCTGAAATTCTGCTCAGCAAGGAAGAAGCCACTGCTCCAAAACTGCCATAGAAAAGCCAGACTACGGTTTGCAACTGCACATGGGGACAAAGATCGTACTTTTTGGAGAACTGTCCTCTGGTCTGATGAAACAAAAATAGAACTGTTTGGCCATAATGACCATCGTTATGTTTGGAGGAAAAAGGGAACGCTTGCAAGCCGAAGAACACCATCCCAACCGTGAAGCACGGGGGTGGCAGCATCATGCTGTGGGGGTGCTTTGCTGCAGGAGGGACTGGTGCACTTCACAAAATAGATGGCATCATGAGGAAGGAAAATTATGTGGATATATTGAAGCAACATCTCAAGACATCAGTCAGGAAGTTAAAGCTTGGTCGCAAATGGGTCTTCCAAATGGACAATGACCCCAAGCATACTTCCAAAGTTGTGGCAAAATGGCTTAAGGACAACAAAGTCAAGGTATTGGAGTGGCCATCACAAAGCCCTGACCTCAATCCTATAGAACATTTGTGGGCAGAACTGAAAAAGCGTGCGAGCAAGGAGGCCTACAAACCTGACTCAGTTACATCAGCTCTGTCAGGAGCAATGGGCCAAAATTCACCCAACTTATTGTGGGAAGCTTGTGGAAGGCTACCCAAAACGTTTGACCCAAGTTAAACAATTTAAAGGCAATGCTACCAAATACTAATTGAGTGTATGTAAACGTCTGACCCAATGGGAATGTGATGAAAGAAATAAAAGCTGAAATAAATCACTCTCTACTATTATTCTTACATTTCACATTCTTAAAATAAAGTGGTGATCCTAACTGACCTAAGACAGGGAATTTTTACTAGGATTAAATGTCAGGAATTGTGAAAAACTGAGTTTAAATGTATTTGGCTAAGGTGTATGTAAACTTCCGACTTCAACTGTATAATAATACAAATTATTTAACAAGAGGTACATTTCTTTAGCTTTGTATACAGTATCAAAAACATATACGACTTCAGAATAAGGTGCCTTACTGGGCACATAACTACATTTGGAATGAAATTGACCCTGTAAAACATCCAACTTATGATGAATAAGGCACATGCGAGGACTCTTCTGAAGTGCAATAGAATATACAATTGCATTTATAGAAACAATAGACCCCCAATATCCTCAGCCAGCCCTTTGTGATGACTTCGAAAACCGTTACAATTATTTATTTATTTGCACAACAGACGCAACCATGATTCTTGCAGTAGCATTTCTACACCAGGCCAGCAAAGCCCTAGTCACTACTCCTTTACCTTAACCTGTCACCAAACGGTACCTACCCTTCACCAGCAATCCCTGACCTGTTACCCCCAATATAAGGGGGTGACCTCCTCTATAGGTCAGCCATACTGGGCCATAGGGTGGTTGCTCCACACCGGAAGGTTAGAGAGCTTTTCCTCTGTAGCGGGCTTAATGGGCCAGCCCCAGGCCTTGAAGAAAGGAGCCAGGTTCCTCTCTACCGTAGGGGAGAAGGTCTCAGCATAAAGGTTCATCTTGCCCTGGTTGTCATTGGGCACGTTCTGCATGGTGTGGTAGGCAGCAAATACCTTCTTGAACGCGTCCCAGACAAACTGGTCCTGGAGCTGGTGGGAAGGAGGATGACAAAGAGAAACTGTTTACTCAAACTCAACCCTAGATAAAGTACATTTTTTGTAGATGTTTTACTGTAGCATCTATACTTTCCTATCTATCTACACATGCCTTTTCACAAGCACTAATTGTAGGGTTTGTACACAACATACTCTGCAGCAGGGTGTACTATACAGTATATGTCACTACAATCTCCTGTCACCTGCATGTAGGTCTCCAGTGCCACCCACATGTCCCAGCTGGCCAGATTCCTGCCCTCTTTAGCATACCCCTCGGCACGGCTCTGTCGGTTGGCCAGCACCATGTTGGGGTGGGCCTGATCCTGATTCACCCCCAACACCTCCTCGTGCACGTACACGGACCACAGGTTACACGTGCACTCAGTGGTGTGCGAGGGGAACTCCCAGACTACTCTCTGCTGGTTGTGGCCCAGCTCGTGGATGGCTCCCCACAGGCCCGAGCTGCAGGCTGCCACTGGGTTCATCAGGTCTGGGGATGAGGATGATTGTATCATGATAGGGTAGCCTGCATGCATGAAGCCTGTAGGGGGGGGGGGGGAGAGAGAGAGAGGAAGGAGAGGGTCAGCTCAATGTCTGGATACTGTCAGGGCAGAGGTTGTGCAGCCCACTGCTATACACTCTTTTTTTTTTTTAAGGGTTCCAAAAGGGTTCTGCGGTTGTCCCCATGGGATAATCCTTTTTGGTTCCAGGTAGCTCTGTGGAAAGGGTTCTACATGGAACCAAAAAGGGTTCTACCTGGAACCAAAAGGGTTCTACCTGGAAACAAAAGGGTTCTACCTGGAACCAAAAGGGTTCTACCTGGAACCAAAAGGGGTTCTTAAAAGGGTTCTCATATGGGGACAGCCGAAGAACCCTTTTTGGTTCTAGATATAACCTTTTTTTTCTAAGAGTGTAGGTCACTCTTGCGTACAACACATTTTCTACAGCACAACAACTCGCGCATTTAGAAACTGTAAAGGTACTGTCCTACCTGACTCAAAATACATTTTAGAAATGTTGGGTCAATGTCTTTTCAGATAATCTCTCTTTTTCCTGTTCATATCCAACAATTACACAATCCCTAGTCCCCTACCATAGACAATTCCAGTCATGACTGTTTGTCCATGCTAAGAAATAAGAGGGACAGACACTGACCGGCCACAAAGCGCTCCTTGCAGGGGAACTTGGTGGGGACGGCGGCCAGGTCAGCTATCCCCCTCATGATGTCATCCCAGAGCGCCGCCACCAGGTCAGGCCGATCCAGACCTCGGACCACGTCAGAGTGGACAGTCAGGATGATGTTCTCAAACTCCATCTCTGCACAGGGGGAAGGGGCAGTCCGCTGAACTGCCCAGTCTGCAGGTGTGGTCACCCCTAGAGAGAGGAGAGAGGCAAGGTTTGGAGGAAAATCCTGGATCATTTGACAGAATGTATCATTTTAATGAGGTGTTATGACCAGGATGTGTGTGTCTTCATGATCAATCAATCAATCTCATCTCAGCTTGGTATGCCAATTAGAGGAAACCCATGGGCCTAGCATAGGTGAACAACATACATTAAATGGCCTTCATGATGACAATTACCAGACATTTGGTACAGTATCATTTCCTACCACAATGATGAGTAGCACATTGCAAATCAATTCTCATAACAGCAGGGATTTCAGTTTTAGTAACACAGCTGCAATTACACAGTCTATCTGAGAGCATAGCTGTTCTAAGCTTAGTGTATCTCTGTATTCTACAGATGTTTCATGCAGAACAAAGGCTGTGTCATTTCCTCTTTAATCTCTGGCAGCCGTCATTATCGTACATTCAAAATGGCAACAGCGAGCAGGAAGCAACTTAATTATGTATTAGGAATACATGAATAGCAGATCTGAATACATGAATACAACTCCGGGAAATGAATAAAGCTTCCATTCAATTACAAGAAATTGGGTACAAAAAGAGGTTAAACGATGTGAAATATTATGCCTGGATGAAGTCAAAAGGGTTCCAGACAGACATATTGTAAATGAGTAAATGAGGGGACTGGATGGAGTAACGTAATTTGTTCTCTTTATGGTGTATGTACTTTATGTTATATTTTATTTACTTGGTATTATCCAGGTTAGTCTCATTGAAATAAACTCTCTGTAACACTTTTATAGTGCATTATAACACTTGCTATAAACTGTCATAACAACTCATGAGTTATAACAACTCATAGTTATAACACCCTTATAATACATCACTTGGATGCATTATAAGACCAAAGTGTAAAATGCATCATAGACCCCCACCTCCCCGTCCGACCAGTCTTTTAGTAGGGGGCTGGCACAGCCCCTTGAATGATTACCTCCACCCCCTCCACCTGGGTCTTAGGAGGGGCGATGAGATAGAGGAGTCCGCCCCACAGGTTCCACACCTGCATCATCTTTGAGTCTATGGGGAAGCGCTCATGAACCACTGGTGCTCGCCTCAGCTCGTTCGCATTCCCAATGTTGTCAGTCTGACAGCCTATCTGGACCTGATGGTAACAGGGGCATCAGTCAATCAATCAATCAATTCACAAAGTGCTTTTACATCAACATGTAAAGGGCTTGATCTCAAAACAAATAAAACATGATTTGATTCAATAGATTTTAGAATTATAAGACAAAACAAAAAGCAGTATTGGATACCTTCCAGCCCTGGTTGACGATTTCTGGTGGCATGGCCATGTATGTCCTCATCCCAGGGGAAAGGTACAGACCACTCTTCTCCTCCTAAGACACAATGTTCAGTAGCGGTTATATTCAAACATAACTATATATAATAGTGATTGTATGGTTAGAAACATGTATTCCCACACTAACCAATGAACTTGCACATAAGCAGAGAAGTTATGGCGAAAAATATTTTCTCGCACCCATTTTAGCTAAGCCATTACTCATGGTGTGTTTCATATTGGTTCCCAAGACTAAACCATCTCCATTAGACCCAGTATCCTCAATTTTACAGGTCATGTCCCATAAGAGAGAACGAGAGCCAACTAACCTTCTGTTTTACAGTTGATCATGAGCCTGGCATTGGACAAGGCAGGCATCATGGGCTGGTCCTTGATCAGGTAAGGCAGTAGGGTGTCTGGGTCCTGGCACACCTTGTACACCTCCGCGCCCACACTGAGCAGCAGTTGGTCTTTGGCGCTTATCACCGGACAGCTGTGGCACACCTGGGGAATGCCGCTTCCTGCAGCACGTCAGTGAGCATGGCCACCACCGAGGTGTAAGAGGCACAGTCATGCGCCCGCATGTGCAGGTATTTGGCGCTGTTGCCGCCAAGCTTCTTCAGACCCGCCTCCTCATGCTCCGTCAGCGTCTCGCCCTGGGTCACGTGACCGGCAAAGCGGTGCAGCAGGTGGCGGAAGTGGAAGCCCTCGGAGCAGGAATGACCCGGGACTGGGGCCTTGTAGCAGCCTGCGTCCAGAGTGTTCCCCAACAGGCCTTGAGGCCCATCTTGTTGAGGATGTGGTTGCCTGCGTACCCTGTCATGGCGTTGTGGCGCGGGTTGGTCTGGGCCCAGTACCAGGTGATCAGCAGGACCCCACCCTCGGCCTTAAAGTCCTGGATTTCGTCGGCCTGGGTGTCGCTGTAGGAGGTGCAGACGTAGACGCTGAGCTCCTTCCTGAAGCCGCTCTTATCACAGGGCAGGCCAGACTTGCTCAGCAGGGTGTGGGCGGCGCCGAGCTGAGCAGGACGCCTACCAAGCCGTTACGACCCTCGTCTAACTAGCACACAGCATTGAGCATGAAGGGGGACAGCTGCTCTCGGCCCAAGTATCCCTCATGGGTGACCACGATGACTCGGCCCTGGCCATAGTATGCCCCGGCCAGAAAGACCCTGCCGTCCTGTGTGGTGCCGATGGGGAATGCCGTTTACCAGCACCTCTGAGCAAATAGCCCCGCGCTGGATATCAAACTCAGTCACGCCCACCAGCAGGAACTCCAGGTCATCCTTGAAGTCCTTGCCTATCCTAGGGAAAGAAGAGAGTGAAAGTGTAGATATGATGTGTCAAGAGAACTTAGACACATAAAAACAGCTCAAATAAAAAAAAAAATTCAACATTGATTTAACCAGGTGATTTCTGGAGTTAAATAAACTCTTTCTTTTTTTTACACCTGGTTATAGGAGGAGGTGATATGAGGCAGAAAATACCACCATGTATACATTTCTGTTTTACTACAGTATCTCTATATTAATATGCCACCGCCTCCTTCTCTTCTCTCTATGAAGTGCCCAATACTTACGCCACAGCCAGCCAGCTGGAAGGGATCTGTGGAGGAACAGGGAGGGTACCCAGCTCCCCAAGGTGCTCCGAGAAGTAGATGCCAGCCACGCTGGACACCTTGTTCCCAGGGAAACACAGCAGGGTGTTGTGTTTGAGTTGTCCCTCCGCCCAGCTCCACGCCTGGCCAGCCATCAGCAGCCTGCCCCCCGCCTTCAGGAACCCCACCAGCTCCTTCACCTCTGGGCCCACACAGTACGCATCCATCACATACACTCCCAGGCCCTCGCAGAAGCCCCCCACCTTGGGTTGGAGGCTGGAGCAGCTCAGGTTGTCGGCCACAGCCTTACAGCTCTGGTGGACGCCCACGGTAGTGCTGTCACAGGAGGAGCCTGTCAACCAGGTCAGGGCATTCTCCACCAGGGCAGGAAAGGCAGTGAGGTAGCCCTCGTGGATCAGCACCACCACCCGACCTCGGCCGTAGAATGAGGCAGCCATCAGGACCTGGCCATGGACGTTCATGGCCAGTGGGAAGGCTTGGTCGCCGATCAGAACTAAGTCGCTGGGTACGTTTGGCCCGCTGAGGTCTAGCTCCTTGACCCCCCTCATCAGAACAGTATAGGCCTCCTCACGGGACATGCTGCTTTGGGTCATGGCTTAGTCTGTAGGCTGCTGATCCTGTAGGTGGTGGAGAAAAGAATGATTTTAAATGACAGATATGTATAAAACAGTATAAGTACTGGAGGTTGACAGTCCATGTACATGCATTTAACTCTTTAAAACTATTGCTATGACATAAAAACAAGTTTCTGAATTTTACTTTGGAGTAATCTCTACAACAAAGCATCATAAATAGTTCAGAACAAACAGAGGCATCTGTAAAACATACCTAGATACAAAGGAAAACCAACAGCTGAAGATCAGTGTCAAGCCGAAAATGGAGTTCAGAGCAAGCAGAGCACTAAGCATACCTGGAGCACAGTCTGAATGAAGGGAAGAAAGAGATCATCACAACATTGGCCACTGTGACCTGAGGAGACAGGGCAGGGGAAAGGGAGGCATCTGTCAACAGTGAGTCCGTATGAATACAGTGTGCTCACATGGGTGGAGTCAGTCAGATACCAGAAGAGTTGCCTAATACATCAGACTGAAAAGAAGTAGCCCTAAAAAAGACGCATGAGTCTCTACATCCAGAATGTTGAATACAATGATATTTAAACTGACTTTACCGGTTGTCCGTGCTGTTGGTCCTTTTGACGATAGGAAGTGGAGATAAAATGTCCACAGGAAATTATTATTAACCAGAGTTTTTGGGTCACCGGTCTGGCTCTGTCGGCTTGTATTTCCGGTATGTATTTTTAATCTCCGATTCATTGCACATTATGTAAACAATAGCCGAATGTACGCGAACTTTGGACCGAAGCACGTTTCCTTGCAATCAACTGGATGTGCTTGCATTTTACTGCAAATTCAAAGTCGGCAACGTTCAGTCTGTGGTTCGGTTAGGCCATTATTTACAGATTGTGCAAGTCTTTATATCGGGTGCGAATTGCATCAGTCATTGAAACTACAAACTGAAAATACCATACAGACCAGTGTACTGAAAATCGAGTTAATAACATTTCCCTGTGGATATGTTGTCTCAGATTACCTCCGACGAAATCAGCGGACAACAGGTAAAGTAAGTCAAAATGAAGTTTATTAAACATTCTGACAAATGGGGGACTGTTCGAAATGTTGAGCCTACATGTTAGAGATCAGTGTGTATTCCACTCTCGGATTCTAAAATGGATTTACCAGAAGAGCTATTAGAAAACCCTGCCTGCCAAAAAATCGGGTTGTCTAAACAGACATCTGACTATCCAGGTTAATGCAGTTGGGCAATTCCACTGTAATGGAAATACACAAGACACAAATGAATGCCAACATTTTTTTTTTTTCAAAAGTTCAATTAGTAACTTTCATGAAGAATAAAAAAATATTAATCGAAAACCAGATGTTTTAGGCGTAGTTATAGGGAAACACGTCAATTCTGGTCTTCATTTTGACAGTTTGTTGCAAAAGTGATATTTTTGGTCTTTTAGTAGTAAATCTAGCTCTTTTTGCACCTAGCTGTCAAACTCATCTCACAGACTGGGCTCATACACTAGACGTAACATAGGAAATGTAAATCCGGGACACTCAAATTAGTATATGTTACGTTTGGCATGGTTACATGAGATAAAGGTTACTTATGGCAAAAACGAAAGGAGGGTGGGCCTATAACTCGAACGTCTAGCAACCCAAAGGTTGCGTGTTCGAATCTTATCATGGACAATTTTAGCTAATTAGCAACTAACTAAATAGTAATAAGTACTTTACAACTACTTTGCATTTTAACTAACCCTTTAACCTATCTCCTAGTGCTGAGCGATTAACCAAAATGTCAGTTATTTTTCTGTTTTTAAACAACAAATTGACTGATGTCAGTTAAATTATTTGAATTCTATGTCGTTCGTTTTTTTTTTCTGTGATCCCAATGGACATATTGTGCTGCAGTTTCTCTAGAGATAAATCAGATCATGCCCGAACTGTGTGAAGTAGTAGGGAGTTGTAGTTTCCAACAGGCCAATGTTCTACATAGCGCAGAAAACGTGATAATAAACTACAATGACCACAATCCATTGCGTGGCTACTTGTCTGGTCTGTTTCTTTTACGCCTGCCATGTAAGAGAATAATGCGAGATCAAGGGATACATAGAGACAAGGTATTGGTATTCATCAGTCATAAAAATATGCCTTATTTACTTTGAATAACTACTAAAAATAGTGATATTTGTCAGACAGCATAGGCAGCAGCTGTCTGACAAAAAAGTAGTCAAAAAACTAATATAATATACACAACTGAAATATTGTATTAAAGTAATGTGAGTAACTGATGGTTAATAAGTGATAAGCAGTCATGGGAAGTCACTACCATCATGGGACTTTTTATTAATTGTTTTATTCTGTGTTACAACATTCAACCCACATAATGCATAGTGTCAAAGACTCCAGTCACCAAAGTCATAGACTTTTCTCTCTGCTACCGCATGGCAAGCGGTACCGGAGCGCCAAGTCTAGGACAAAAATGCTCCTTAACAGCTTCTACCCCCAAGCCATAAGACTGCTGAACAATTCATCAAATGGCCACCCCGACTATTTACAATTTTTTTTAAACTGCTGCTACCAGGTGTCTATTATTTATGTATAGTCACTTTACCCCTACCTACATGTACAAATTACCTCGACTAACCTGTACCCCGCACATTGACTCGGTACTGGTATCCCCAGTATATAGCCTCGTTATTTTATTGTGTTACTTTATTATTTGTTACTTTAGTTTATTTGGTAAATATTTTCTTAACTTGAACTGCATTGTTGGTTAAGGGCTTGTAAGTAAGCATTTCGCGGTAAGGTCTACACCTGTTGTATTCTGCGCATGTGACAAATTTAAGTTTGATTTGATTTGAAACAGCTTAACCAGCTCTGCTAGGGCGAGTAAAATGGTCAGAGTGAGGTGTTCTCTCATTTGTGTCTGGAAGTAGCTAGCCAGTTAGCTTGGATGCTTGACTGCGGTTGTGAGGCCAGAACGCTCGGATCAACCCTACTCCTCGGCCAGAGCGTCCAGTGTACGCTCCGAGAGCGAAACGCTCTGAATTTACGAACGGAAAAGCGCAATCTGGCACTCCAGATTTAATTTACAAACGCACCTTTAAGAACACACCCGAAGTCGTAAAATGTCTAGCTAGTAATTTGTTATGCTAACAAGCTAGCAAGAGGTTGCATAGCAACAGCATCAACTTCCGGTAGACAGCCGAAGCGCTAGTACGCTCAACTGAAATGATACCGCTCGTTTACAGTATACTAAAATGAACTAATAGTATGTAGTATATACTAATTAAGTATGTAGTATACAGTATGTTAGTATGGGTATTCGATCAGAAGATACTATGTCAATGTGCTAAAGCAGTTAGCGTCTATGAATGGGGTAAACCTCGGCTAGTCAGATGTCTGTTTTGACAAACCGGTTTTTCGGCAGGCAGGTATTCTTATAGCCCTTCTGAGACTGACTCCACCCATGTGAGCAGTCCTATTGAGGAAAACGAATAGTTAACTTTAGGGTATGATGACAGAGTGACAAAACATGGGAAAAACAAGCCCAGACTAGGGTCGGAACCATAAATGAAATGGATGTTTCTAAACGAAAGTGTTTTTGTGACGGACCAATTAAAGTTGGCAAGTGCCACCTTTAAAGTGTTCTGCCTATTTCTCGGCAATATTCCCTTCTTCCTCGTGTGTGGTTGTGAATTGAAAACGTTGAGTACACTTTTGAATTCACCATGCAAAGCTTGGCTTTGGCTCATGCATGACTTAAGACGAGAAGAATCCTCTTACTCATACCAGTAGCTAGCGTTTAATTTATAAAGCTACAGTAGCTATAACGTTAATCGTTCGACACTTCGCAAAGTTACGTTTAGAATTGCTGCTCAGCTCTTGACTTCAGTCAAATTTGGCATGGTTAATTGACGTTACACCCATTGCAAACCGATATGTTATGGACACCCTTACGTTATTTGTTGTTCTCTACTGTCTCGTCTTTGCAGATGCAGCAGTGCACAGTAGTCAGTGCATCCGGAGTTCGTGTCCCATTAGCAGATGGCCGAGCCGTGATCCTAGGTCGTGGTCCAGAGACTGGAGTTGTTGACAAGAAGTGCTCCCGACACCAGGGTAAGAGGACTAGCTAGCTAACGTTAGATACGTATCAATGGCTATGTTCAGATTATTTATATTTACTCCCCAAATGTGTACTTGTTCACTTTCCTTCATGGATTTAAAAGGAAATGAATGGTATATGGAAACTCCCTCTAGCCCATGCTTACACCGATTCAATGCTTTTAAATATGTGAAGAGTAGTGATTGAGTGTAGGCTTCAGGAGAAAGGAGAGATTATTGGATGCATATTTCTGTCCGCATAATTTTAAATGCGGTGTCTGGTGGGATTACTCCAGCCAGCTATCTAAACTGCACAACTATCTAAAATGTTTCATATTCCTTCTAGTGAAGCTGGTGGCCTGTTATGCAGACAAGGAGGTACTTGTAACACAGGTATGACATTATTACATTGTGCCTGTTGTTGAGGCCAACACTCTCTTTTCTTAATTTTACACTCTGCTTAACCTGTCTGTAACTGCTGTCAAAGTAATAATAGTTTTCCTCTTCAGCTTGGTCCAAACCCCTCTTCCTTGGGCAGTGAGAGTCTTGGTAGAGGCCAATCTGGCCGACTGACCCATGACAGCACCCTCTACCTGGTCAACCAGAGCCACCCCTTCAGAGTGCAGTTCTCTGCTTCCAATGAAACCTCCTCATCCTCTGCCCAGAAGGGGAAGGCTGTAGAAATATTGAAAGCGTCGGATAAGACAAAAGGAGGGACAGGTCCCAAACGCAGCATCAAAGACTTCTTTCCTTCCTCTCCCAAGAAGGTATGAGAACACGTTAATCTTTAACAGAGAAAATGGCATGCATTATGCATTGTAATTTGTCTAGCAATATTTTGAGTAACCAAGAGGACTGAACGTATCACTTAAAATGTTCAAAATACACCCATGTTTTCTCAATGCCAACCTCAATTTACTTGAAGTTTCATTTGACCATACCGTGATTCTGTTTTTGTTTTTCACGCAGTCATCCAAGAGGCCACACCGTTCTGAGGAGGACCCGCAGGAGAAGCGTCTGAAGACTGAGGGCTCAGACAGTGGGGGCGAGGACGAGGCTGAGAAGCTTGCTGAGGAGAAGCTCCGACAGCTCCAGGAGATGTCAGAGAGGGCTTCAGGGGCTAGCAGAGATGGTGTCCAGCAGCAGGCATCAGCCTCAGCATGTTGTCAAAGCCACTGGCAACAGATTGGAAACCTCATGCTCTACACGGCTGCTGGCGTCACTGGAAGCACCAAGGTAAGAGCTAACTAGGTAACTCTGTACAACTCCATATTTGATTTAAGCCAATGAGTCTTTGTGTTATGTTTGAATGAGATGCTGAATAGAATATAACTTTTATTGTCCATCCAAGGATTTATATTCTTTAGGCCTATATTTGAGCACTTTGGTCATATTGTTGCCACCAGCAATACAGTTGTTAAAGTTTGCTTTCAACCAAGCAGTACAAACATAATTACTTTTAGTAATGTCATTTTTTAAAAAGCCGACCCATCTTTCTTCCTGGCCCAGATTGCTGGATTCGACATTGACGGCTGTATCATCACCACCAATTCTGGCAAAGTGTTTCCCACCAGCCCAGATGACTGGAGGTCAGCCAGTATTCTGTTCTGGCTTTGCATACGACCTCCTCTCACTTTGCTCTCTCCTCATCACTCTTCTTCATCTATTGACTTGTGTCATTTCCTTGCCTCTGTTTGTTCTCTTATCTCCTTCACAGGATTCTCTTTCCTGAGATCCAACCCACACTGGCCAGCTTATTAAAGAAAGGCTACAAGGTAGAAGCAAACATAAATGTATTGTCAAGCATGGACACGGCAAAGCTGTTTTATGAGACCTATTTCTTATCCATCCCTTTAATGGTAGTTTGTGCGTAGATTAATAGCTAATGATGTTCCTGTTGTCCCTCCCAGGTTGTGTTCTTCACCAATCAGATGGGTATCTCTAGGGGGAAACTGAAGCCTGAGGATTTCAAGTCTAAAGTGGAGAACATTCTGAAGACATTACAGCTCCCCGTACAGGTTAGTCAATAAACATTTACACACAAAGATAGAGCTTGGAAGCAGATACTGTATTGTATCTGTGTTTTTCAGTGTTTTATTGTTTGTAATTCAGACGTTGACACCTCGAACTGTGTGTGTGTGTGTGTGTGTGTCTCAGGTCTTTGTGGCGTCTGGTCCTGGGATCTACAGGAAGCCAGTGATGGGAATGTGGGAGCACCTTTGTGAGAAGGTGAGACCAGAAGACACGCCTCATATCAGACATTGTGAATAGGGATTACAGGTAGACGATGATTGTATCCTTCTACAAAAGACCACAACACGGGTGTGTCCCAAAAGGTTCACCAAATCAGCTCCCTTTGGCATTTTCTAGTTGTGTTTGTCATCCACTCAGACCACATTACCCTGGTGAGTCATGACAGACCAGTCACTGCTTCAAGATTTACACTACATTTTAGTCATTTAGCAGACGCTCTTATCTAGAGCAATTTACAGTAGTGAGTGCGTACATTTTCATACTTCAACAAGGGCATGGTGTGGGAAATAAATAGAATAGAATGGAATAGAATAGAAATATCAGATTAGAATACGGTAGAAATATTAGCATAGGATAGAAAAGTACTTTAATTTGTCCATATGCTTCCAGCTAGAAATTTATTTTTCCCTGCTCCCAACCCCCCCCAAACAACAAACAAACATGGTACACCATGTTTCTGTGTTTTTCCTCTCTCAGGCAAATGGCGGTGTGGCTGTAGACAAGAGCCAGAGTCTCTATGTGGGAGGTGAGTCAACAACAACACAACACCCCATAGCAACATAACGTCTTCCTCTTACTTAGCCTATTCTTATCCTGACTCTTGTAAGTGATGTGCTGCTTATGGACACGTTTGATGAACGTGTACTCGCCCTCCAGCAGCTGAGAGCCTGAGACCTTTCTCTCTCCTCTGCCACAGATGCAGCGGGACGCCCTGTTAACTGGGCTCCTGGCAAGAAGAAGAAGGACTTCTCCTGCAGTGACCGACTGGTAAGAGGACCTGTACTAACCTCTAGACCAGTCTGTTCAACCGTCCACCAGTCTGTCCTGACCTCTAGTTCCAGCGCATCTTCATACTCACCAAACAGAAAAGTGTCCCAAATAGTGGGTTGAAATAAGGAATTTTAATATGATAAAAATCAGTGGAGACAAATCAGCAGAGAAAAGTGTTCTTTGTCCACTGACTGTATGAAAGGTCATTCTTGCTATGGTGTAGATACACTTTATGACCAGGTGTTGCACAGGCATGCATTGCACATCTTAAAAATGCCTGACTGTCACTGATTCTCTCTCTCTCTATCTATCTATTCTATACTAGTTTGCACTGAACCTTGGGCTGCAGTTCCAAACTCCAGAGGAGTTCTTCCTGGGTTGGAAAAGCGCCCCCTTCAGTCTTCCTCCATTTGACCCTGTGAGTAACCTGGTGGATATCAGTGGTATTCTGTCTGTACAGAATACATATCTGAAGCTTTTTAAGCCTCTGTATGTGTCTCTCTCGCCAGAGGAAATGTGACTCCAACGCCCGTCTGTATGACCCGCCCAGTGCCTCCCTCACCTCCACCAAGCAGGAAGTCATCATTGCCGTTGGTTTCCCTGCTTGTAAGTGTGTGTATATATATTATTTTATTTTTTTCCTCTCTCTTTACTGACGACTATCTCCCTTCTTTTTTATCTAGCCGGGAAATCAACCTTTTTCCACACACACATCGTCCCCAAAGGTTACGTGTACGTGAACAGGGTGAGTGGATTAGTGCGCTGTTGGATCTCTTAACATCCACACACGCGCATATACACACACTGACCTGACCTGTGTTTGTCAGGACACCCTGGGCTCGTGGCAGAGCTGTGTATCGGCCTGTGAGCGGGCTCTGAAGGAGGGCCGCAGCGTTGTGGTGGATAACACCAACCCAGACCCTGAGTCTCGCAAACGGTACTTGTCTCTGTGCTCCTACTAGTGTGTGGAGCACTTTTGGTTGTAATTCATGAACAACCTCAACCACATACAGTGGGGAAAAAAAGTATTTAGTCAGCCACCAATTGTGCAAGTTCTCCCACTTAAAAAGATGAGGCCTGTAATTTTCATCATAGGTACACGTCAACTATGACAGACAAAACGAGGAAAAAAATTCCAGAAAATCACATTGTAGGATTTTTAATAAATTTATTTGCAAATTTATGGTGGAAAATAAGTATTTGGTCACCTACAAACAAGAAAGATTTCTGGCTCTCACAGACCTGTAACTTCTTCTTTAAGAGGCTCCTCTGTCCTCCACTCGTTACCTGTATTAATGGCACCTGTTTGAACTTGTTATCAGTATAAAAGACACCTGTCCACAACCTCAAACAGTCACACTCCAAACTCCACTATGGCCAAGACCAAAGAGCTGTCAAAGGACACCAGAAACAAAATTGTAGACCTGCACCAGGCTGGGAAGACTGAATCTGCAATAGGTAAGCAGCTTGGTTTGAAGAAATCAACTTTGGAGCAATTATTAGGAAATGGAAGACATACAAGACCACTGATAATCTCCCTCGATCTGGGGCTCCACGAAAGATCTCACCCCGTGGGGTCAAAATGATCACAAGAACGGTGAGCAAAAATCCCAGAACCACACAGGGGGACCTAGTGAATGACCTGCAGAGAGCTGGGACCAAAGTAACAAAGCCTACCATCAGTAACACACTACGCCGCCAGGGACTCAAATCCTGCAGTGGCAGACGTGTCCCCCTGCTTAAGCCAGTACATGTCCAGGCCCGTCTGAAGTTTGCTAGAGTGCATTTGGATGATCCAGAAGAGGATTGGGAGAATGTCAGATGAAACCAAAATATAACTTTTTGGTAAAAACTCAACTCGTCGTGTTTGGAGGACAAAGAATGCTGAGTTGCATCCAAAGAACACCATACCTACTGTGAAGCATGGGGGTGGAAACATCATGCTTTGGGGCTGTTTTTCTGCAAAGGGACCAGGACGACTGATCCGTGTAAAGGAAAGAATGAATGGGGCCATGTATCGTGAGATTTTGAGTGAAAACCTCCTTCCATCAGCAAGGGCATTGAAGATGAAACGTGGCTGGGTCTTTCAGCATGACAATGATCCCAAACACACCGCCCGGGCAACGAAGGAGTGGCTTCGTAAGAAGCATTTCAAGGTCCTGGAGTGGCCTAGCCAGTCTCCAGATCTCAACCCCATAGAAAATCTTTGGAGGGAGTTGAAAGTCTGTGTTGCCCAGCGACAGCCCCAAAACATCACTGCTCTAGAGGAGATCTGCATGTAAGAATGGGCCAAAATACCAGCAACAGTGTGTGAAAACCTTGTGAAGACTTACAGAAAACGTTTGACCTGTGTCATTGCCAACAAAGGGTATATAACAAAGTATTGAGTAACTTTTGTTATTGACCAAATACTTATTTTCCACCATAATTTGCAAATAAATTCATTAAAAATCCTACAATGTGATTTTCTGGATTTTTTTCCCTTATTTTGTCTGTCATAGTTGACGTGTACCTATGATGAAAATTACAGGCCTCTCTCATCTTTTTAAGTGGGAGAACTTGCACAATTGGTGGCTGACTAAATACTTTTTTTCCCCACTGTACATGTCAGATTCTGGTAAATCCGCTACATGCATGAACCAAACCAGAGATCTTTGATTGAGTGTGTTTGTAGGGAATACCATGTGACTTCTATACATTGTCCCCCTCCAGGTATGTTGATGTCAGCCAGAGTTTGGGCGTGTCCTGTCGCTGCTTCAACTTCTCTGCCTCCCTGGAGCAGGCCAAACACAACAACAGAGTAGGTCTCCTCTCCCTCTACTGAACTGTATATACCAGACTACACATGATTCATTCTTCAGCAGTTCAGAGTAGAAGGTGATGTGAACTTGGGACCTGATCGTCCACATAGTATAGCCCAACCTGGGACTTAAACTACAACCATCTGGTTCAATGTCCACTTCGTAAACCTTATAAAGTACAGGCCATGTGAGACGCCCAGTTCAATATAGGCTCTGAGGTGCTGGCCTGATGCAGAGTGTTGTTCATTATTGGGCTCTTCCTGTGCTTTACAGTTCCGTGAGATGGCCCCCTCCACCACTAAGCACCTCAAAGTCAATGACATGATCTTCCACGGTTACAAGTAAGTGACATTGGATATTATCAAGGGACTTCACAGCATCACATTCTCAAAGTAGGGATTCACTGGCCTCTACATTGGGTTGAAAGGATCAGAGCACACTAATATAACATGTCTTTATGGCTGCGTTTACACAGCCAGCCCAATTCTGATATTTTGCCCAATAATTGGCAAAAGAGCTGATCTGATTGGTCAAAAGTCTAATTAGTGGAAAAATATCAGAATTGGGTTGCCTGTATAAATGCAGCATATACGTATGTCATGTAAAATAAATGCATGTCTGAAGGCATTTGCCCACTCTGAACAGACTTTTTCTCTCCACACAGGAAGAAGTTTGTGGCGCCCAGTCTCTTGGAAGGCTTTTCAGAAATCCTGCAAGTTCATTTTGTCCCAACCTTTACAGACAGCCAATCAGAGGCCCTCTTCAGGCAGTTCTCTGAAGGCTGATTGGGTGGCTGGCATTCTAACGGTATTCTAACCTAAGATTTGTCAGATTGTTATTGGTGCAGAGTCATTTCAGGAAAATAATCTAGCAGTTGTACGCTGTGGCTGTATGTAGACAAACTATTTTGTTACCTGCTGCTAATCAACAAATAATTGCTATTGCACTACATACATTTGAAGGTACCGATGTTTTAACTAAATGTAACCACATCAGTATTTTTGTTTGATTGGCTTGAGTTTCATATTTTCATATCATGTTTTCTTGTCAGATATACAGTACTTGTTTCCTGAAAGCCTAAAAGGTAAAAAAAAAACGTGAGAGATGTTTAATTAATTTTTTTATTTTAATAAATTGTTATTAATTTGATTTGTTTTATAATAGGTCCTATTCTGTAAAGTAGGGAAACTGAAATGCATTTTTTTCTGCTAGTAAGCCACCGTCCTAATATGGCGCTACTAAAGCAATATTTGAAGCTTTTTGTGAGAATCCTAGTTGAAACTCAGTCGTCCATAGGTAGAAACTCCAGCTCATTCCCCAGGTGCTGTTTTAACCACGGCAGCAAGTGGAAGACACTAACGTGGAAGTCCCTTGCATCAGGAGGGGGCCTGTCACTTATGTCTTGTGGCTCACACACATTCTTCGTGCCCCAGCTCACTACTCCCACCTGCAGGAAAGATAGAATAGAACTGTGGGTGTGGATTCATTCCTATAATGCCTGGTCATTGAATAGAGTCATACAAAAAGTAGACTTAGCTTGGCCTAATGGACCGAAACACCAGATACTGGTACATTGTTCTATATGCTAGTATGAAGTATGCTTATCATGGAGGAGATTTAGTGGAAGGGGAGTTTCTCACTTGAAAATACCGCAGTCTGTTAAGAAGGAACAGAGCGCCTCCAGAGTCACCTGTTAGGAAAAGTTGGATCATATCATGCATGAGAGTAACATAAAAGTTTATCATATATTATTTGTATATGAATGAATGTATGTGTTCCGAGTTGTGTAATGTGTATTCCTACAAAAATACCTTTGCATGTTACTGCATCTATATGATCGGTAGATCCGCCAGAGCACAGAAACCTGTCTGTCACATATTCATTCAGAGTTGCGTTGTGAGGAGTTAGGAGTGTGTTCTCAGCCTGTTTAATACAGTCAGCCCTCTGCAAATAGGAACATCAAACAATGGTGCTACTAATTAACACCGCACCCTTCACAAACATGCACATCAATTAGACATAATTTGCAGGCGTACATGAAAACAAACTCAGTCTTATTCACAAAGTACATTTGTAGAACTATTCACTCCTCATACACAAATAGTGGTAAATGCAGAGCCAACGATAGAGATTATACTGTAGAAGGCCTGTGGATTTGACCTATGACCTTTATGAATGTGTGTTTGGTTGTTGAGTACCACTAACCTTACTCCCTATATGAATGTGTGTTTGCTTGCGTTTCGCATCCTTGACTGAAGCCCCCTTGTTGATGAAGTAAGCCCTGGTCTCCTCCAGGGGCAGCAATGCTTTCTCTGTAGACACACACACACTCCATTAACCAGTTGTTATACACTCACCAGTTTATTATTTATTCGACCTCTCATCAACGAGCTGTTTTCGCCCACAGGACTGCCGCTGACTGGATGTTTTTTGTTTAGTACTGGATCCGGTGCGCCTGGCACTGACGATCATACCACGCTCAAAGTCGCTTTGGTCACTCGTTTTGGCCATTCTAATGTTCAATCGAACAGTAACTGGATGCCTTGATGTCTGTCTGCCTGCTTTATATAGCAGGCCACGTGACTCACTGTCTGAGCGATCAATTTTTGTAAACTGGCCGTGAGTGTATATACTAGAAATAGAACTTGAGTCAAGCCAAGAAATGATCTGATTCATGGGTGGAAGACACCAGTCATGGCCAGCAGTACTGTGATCAGGAACAAGTTCAAGTTGGTTAACTAGTTGAGTTGGGCTTGTCAAGCAAATAAATTATTGCACTCCTTCTGTTTGTTCAGGAGGAGTAGTAGTCATCTTACTGTGGTGTTCACATTTGGAGGTGGGACTCATCTTCAAGGCTCTGTTGGCGGGCTTGGTACACGGCAAGCAGATGGGCCTGTAGAGAACACATACCAGATAAACAACACAGGGAGGTACAGGAGTGCAATAAAGTACTCATGTTAATATTGTAACAATGTCATTGCTGGTGAATGATTTGACCAAGTAGATGGAATCGTGGTGGTTTGGAATGAGAACGATTTATAAGGGAATGATTTCATGAGCTAGTGTTGCTGCTTAACCCACCTCGCCGTCCATGACAGCTTGATTTTTTCAACCTTAACCAGAGCAACGTCGTAGTCATAGAACTCTTTCACATTCTTGTCTCTGAGTCCATCAATGTTGTACTGTGGGTGCGGGATCACAGACAACACCTTTGCTACCTGCTTTCCTTCAAAATCTGGGGGACATTGGCATTACTTAGGGATGAAAGGTAGAATAGACATCACCTTTTTAATAATCGGAATAATCAGTTGTCTGTGTTATCTATAATCCGTGTTATACATTGGTATTTCTAAATGGGCAGACACATTGCCAAATGACCCATGAACATTTTGATGTCAATGCAGAGACCAATGTGTAATTAGGTAGGGTACTGACCATGCTTCACAGTCACTTTCTCTTGGTCCACTTTCCCCTCAAATCTGAACGCAGAAAAGCAGTGAGCTGCGGTCAGGATCCAGCTCTGGGTCACGATGGAGCCCTGGCAGGTCTCAGACTTAGCGCCAGTCTGAACCTGAGAGTAGAGGGATGAATAGAGTAGATTTAATTTACTGTAGATTCATTGGTACTGTATTTAGGTATGTCTTTGCGAGGGCATGGGCATCCGTCTGGACAGTGCCTCTGAGTTCCAGGGAGCCATCATCTCCCCCCACTACGACTCCCTCTTGGTCAAAGTCATCGCCAGCGGGAAGGACCTGCCTGCCGCTGCCGCCAAGATGAACAGGGCGCTGGCGGAGTTCCGTGTCCGTGGGGTCAAGGTAGGGTCATTAATTACAGCACATTGTGTCACATTTATTATGTGTCCACATTAGCCTTTTTAATCTCCTGCCGCGCGACTCAAGTGAAGAGAGTAGTATGAGGTGGATGGGTTCGAATCCTCATTCAATCCAGTCATCAATAATTTTTTTAACTGATCAAATAACCTTTTTTCAAAAGTGCTTGGAAGTGCAGCTTTTGAAAGTGCCCCGTTTTACCCTCACCTAAAACTCTGCATGTGTCATTACTGTATAATGGTCAGATATGTTTTTAGCATGAGATCCTTATTAAGGGAAAAGTGGCATAGTGAAAAGTGCTGAAAGTGGCAACTCTGGAGAAGAGAAGTGGAAAGCAGGAGCTCCATGAAAGGGATGTCATTAAGGCCAGACAGGTCATCAATGCATTTATGATGAATCTGATCCTGATGCTCAGTATGAAAATGTATGCACTCACTAACTGTAAGTCGCTCTGGATAAGAGCGTCTGCTAAATTACTAAAATGTAAATGTAAAGTGTTTATTGTGTACAGTCGTCTATGTTATGTTAAATAAGGCTTACCGTGATGACATTGACATGCCATGGCCTGGTATAGGCGATCTTGGTGAGCCCAAACTCCTCCTGATTCTCTGACACATCTTCCTGTGCCACCCCACACATGATCACACTTTTATCACCTATAAATAAATGCATCATCACTATTACATTTTTGACTTCATTCTGCGTCGTTCAGCCATTCTATTGCTAAATATACTACATTCAAAGACTTTGATACAGAATTTGTACAAAAAAATTATCAAATGCACTTGTTACAGTAAATGTAATGATGACGCTAAGACAACCCACTGATCATGCTGTTGAACACTTCTCCCAGCTGTTTGTAGTCCTTCAGAATGAACAGGTGTTTCTCTTCTCTCTTTTTAGAGGCAATCAGATTCAGCTCGTTCCTATTCATGTTGTCCCCAACACCAAACACATAGACATCTGCATAAAATACACACACACACAATCTGAGTAGATATACAGTGGCGAGAACAAGTATTTGATACACTGCCGATTTTGCAGGTTTTCCTACTTACAAAGCATGTAGAGGTCTGTAATTTTTATCATAGGTACACTTCAACTGTGAGAGACGGAATCTAAAACAAAATTCCAGAAAATCACATTGTATGATTTTTAAGTAATTAATTTGCATTTTATTGCATGACATAAGTATTTGATACATCAGAAAAGCAGGACATAATATTTGGTACAGAAACCTTTGTTTGCAATTACAGAGATCATAAGTTTCCTGTAGGTCTTGACCAGGTTTGCACACACTGCAGCAGGGATTTTGGCCCACTCCTCCATACAGACCTTCTCCAGATCCTTCAGGTTTCGGGGCTGTCGCTGGGCAATACGGACTTTCAGCTCCCTCCAAAGATTTTCTATTGGGTTCAGGTCTGGAGACTGGCTAGGCCACTCCAGGACCTTGAGATGCTTCTTACAGAGCCACTCCTTAGTTGCCCTGGCTGTGTGTTTCGGGTCGTTGTCATGCTGGAAGACCCAGCCACGACCCATCTTCAATGCTCTTACTGAGGGAAGGAGGTTGTTGGCCAAGATCTCGCGATACATGGCCCCATCCATCCTCCCCTCAATACGGTGCAGTCGTCCTGTCCCCTTTGCAGAAAAGCATCCCCAAAGAATGATGTTTCCACCTCCATGTTTCACGGTTGGGATGGTGTTTTTGGGGTTGTACTCATCCTTCTTCTTCCTCCAAACACTGCGAGTGGAGTTTAGACCAAAAAGCTCTATTTTTGTCTCATCAGACCACATGACCATCTCCCATTCCTCCTCTGGATCATCCAGATGGTCATTGGCAAACTTCAGACGGGCCTGGACATGCGCTGGCTTGAGCAGGGGGACCTTGCGTGCGCTGCAGGATTTTAATCCATGACGACGTAGTGTGTTACTAATGGTTTTCTTTGAGACTGTGGTCCCAGCTCTCTTCAGGTCATTGACCAGGTCCTGCCGTGTAGTTCTGGGCTGATCCCTCACCTTCCTCATGATCATTGATGCCCCACAAGGTGAGATCTTGCATGGAGCCCCAGACTGAGGGTGATTGACCGTCATCTTGAACTTCTTCATTTTCTAATAATTGCGCCAACAGTTGTTGCCTTCTCACCAAGCTGCTTGCCTATTGTCCTGTAGCCCATCCCAGCCTTGTGCAGGTCTACAATTTTATCCCTGATGTCCTTACACAGCTATCTGGTCTTGGCCATTGTGGAGAGGTTGGAGTCTGTTTGATTGAGTGTGTGGACAGGTGTCTTTTATACAGGTAACGAGTTCAAACAGGTGCAGTTAATACAGGTAATGAGTGGAGAACAGGAGGGCTTCTTAAAGAAAAACGAACAGGTCTGTGAGAGCCGGAATTCTTACTGGTTGGTAGGTGATCAAATACTTATGTCATGCAATAAAATGCAAATTAATTACTTAAAAATCATACAATGTGATTTTCTGGATTTTTGTTTTAGATTCCGTCTCTCACAGTTGAAGTGTACATATGATAAAAATTACAGACCTCTACATGCTTTGTAAGTAGGAAAACCTGCAAAATCGGCAGTGTATCAAATACTTGTTCTCCCCACTGTATATACAGTCTTGAGTGAAGCCTCATAGAACTGTATGGTTGTCAGTGTGGCTGCCTGTGTAACTGACCTAGCAGTTTGTCTTCAGTGTGGTCAAGAGCCGAGGTGCTGTACCCAAGCAGGGAGCGGATCTTAGCCAGGACAACCAGGGGACTACCCCCTGTGTTGGAGTACCCTACAGGGGCAGAGAGAATACACATGGATGCCTCTCTCCTCTCCCTACACAATGAACATTATATTGAAAAAGTTATTGAGTAGGTTTAACCCTCCTACAATGTACCATCTGTTTCAATGAGGATGACATTCTGCGTCTCACTGAATCGGGTCTCGTTCCTCTCTTTCAGGATGGCCATGCGTTCATACACACGGTGCAGAGCAGCGTACAGGTTGGTGCCAGTCTGGACCCCGTGGCCTGTAGGTGACAGGTATTGTATCAAACCACACCAGGCACTGTACGCTAATCAGTAATGTATGCTAATCAGTAATGTATGCTAATCAGTCATGCACATCTCAACAATTGACAACTGCTAAAGTATATCTTTCGAGGTTAGGTTGCATTTCCTATACAGTGTCATGGCTTCATAAAGCGCAGAAAGGGAGAGGTGCTGACTTACTTTTGTGATCAAACGCTGCCAGCCTCTTTAGGACACTTTGTACGTTGCTGCTGGCTCGCTCATCCTTGCTGGACACAATGTCCACAATATCTTTAGCCTGGCTGGCATAGGAGATCACCTGGAATTTCAGCTCAACCTCGTAGCTGTCAAGCTGAGAGAGAAACATGTTAGTTAGACGTTAGCGTCTTTTAGCGGCATTTCATAGAATAATGTGTTGTTTATTATCCGTGAGAAGTTCATAAATTCTGAGGATTCTCAGGGCTGATTTTGCAGACACAGAAATGAATCTACATTGAAAGTGATTTTCAGTCTAGGACTAGGCTTAATCTGTGTCCTCAATGTTTGTGGGGACATAAATTAAAGTAAGACCTTGCGTATGAGGTCAGCAATGGCGCCCCTGGCCTGCTCAAAGTGGATCTTGGAGATGCTGCCTGAGGTATCCATCAGGATGAACACGTTCATACGACCATCAGCCACCCGCAGGGTCCTACCAAAGGTGCCTCATATAAAGCAGGGACAAGATAGGGGGTGTAATGATTTCAGCTTAGAGTCACACATATGACACACAGAGTATACAGAGATACAGCATACTCACACATGCAAGCACGTACACACTATAATGGATCACCTTTGTTTTTCTTTATGAACTCAGGAGACAGAACATCCATGACTCCAGACAGAGAGCCTCCCATAGCCTCTGCCACTGCACTGGGGGAGTCAAAGGCATACTGGGCTGTTTTGAGAGACATATTAGCATGTGCAGAACATTGACTCTGTAAATAACATTGGATTGAAGATTACAGATAAAAAGGTGACTAAAATTGCATAGAAATTGCATAGAAAGTAATGTATTAGTCTAGTGTAGCCTGGTCCAGTCAAGGCACTGACCCTGGCAGCGTGTCTCTGAGCCACTCCACTCCTTGGACTCCAGACAGACCCTCTCGGCTGAGCCTAGCAGGTCCAGACCCATCTGGCAGCGGTACTGGACCTTCTCCCCTTTCCGGAAGCGGCCCTCGGACCGCAGGGCACCCGGGGGCACACCTGGGTTCTTACAGTCATCAGCTGAAATGAGAAGATATTGTATGAGCCATGACACATGCACTAATCAAGACTAACTTAAAGAATAAGATCCAAAGGCCTTCATTTTACTGCTCCTGTGGTAAAGCATGTAGCAAGCAACGCCAAGGTTGTGGGATCAAGTCCCGCAGGGGTCACATATTGGTATACTAAAATGCATGCCCTCACTGTAATGTAAGTTGCTTTCCATAAAAGTGTCTGCTAAATGGCATACAGTTGAAGTTGGAAGTTTACATACACCTTAGCCAAATACATTTAAACTCAGTTTTTCACAATTCCTGACATTGAATCCTAGTAAAAATTCCCTGTCTTATTTCAGTTAGGATCACCACTTTTTGTTGTCGTTGTTGGCTAATCACCACTGTCCTGAAGCTAACCCCAGTTAGCCTTGAGCTAGCCTCGAGCCAAGCCCATCTCCCGGCTATCTACCTCTCTGTCAACCGGACGGGACCTCCTGGTGTTGACACGGAGCCCCGCCGATCCATCACGACTGGTCTGCCGACGTAATCGTCTGATGTGGTTTCAACAGGCTTCCCGTTGCGACGACCACAAAATCCATCTGCTAGCCCCGTCCGCTAACACACGCAATCAACAGCCGTGCCTCCAGCTCGCCTGTAGCGTAGCAGCCACTGAACTGCTCCCGGACTTACTTATTGCGGTTCACTGGACCTTATGACCACTCAGCTACACAGCTGATGCCTGCTGGACTGTTCCTTTATACGGCACCCCATCCTGTTTAGCCTCAGCTCAAACTTTCGTCGCCATTACCTGCTGTTGTCTTAGCTCTCTCGAATAGCACCTGTGACTGCTTTATGCCTCTCTCCCATGTCAATATACCTTGCCTATTGCTGTTTCAGTTAGTTCTAACTGTACTTTTTCAATGTAGAGCCCAACCTGTCTCAGATAGCTCCTTTGTCCCACTCCCCACACACGCGGAGACCGGCTCAATCGGTGCCTCCAGTGATGCTATCTCTTTCATCTTTACCCAACGCTTAGGTTTACCTCCACTGTACTCATATCCTTCCATATCCTTGTCTGTACATAATGCCCTGAATCTATTCTACAACGCCCGGAAGTGTGCCCCTTTTTTTTCTCTGTACCCAACGCACTAGAAGACCAGTTCTTAAAGCCTTTAGCCCTATCCTTATTCTACTCCTCCTCTGTTCCTCTGGTGATATCATTCCTGCTCCCCAGGCGCTATCATTTGTTGACTTCTGTAACCGCAAAAGCCTTGGTTTCTTGCATGTTAAAATCAGAAGCCTCCTCCCTAAGTTTGAGTTATTCACTGCGTTAGCACACTCCGCCAACCCTGATGTTCTAGCAGTGTCTGAATCCTGGCTTAGGAAGGCCACCAAAGATTCTGAAACGTCCATTCCCAACTACAACATTTTCCATCTAGATAGAACTGCCAAAGGGGGTGGAGTTGCAATCTACTGTAGAGCTCTATCATACTATCCAGGTCTGTGCCCAAACAGTTTGAGCTTCTACTTCTAAAAATCCACCTTTCCAGAAATAGGTCTCTCACTGTTGCCGCTTGCTACAGACCCCCCTCAGCCCCCAGCTGTGCCCTGAAAACCATATGTGAATTGATTGCCCCCCATCTATCCTCAGAGTTCGTATTGCTTGGTGACCTAAACTGGGATATGCTTAACACCCCGGCCGTCCTACAATCTAAACTAGATGCCCTCAATCTCACACAAATTATCAAGGAACCTACCAGGTACAACCCTAAATCCGTTAACATGGGCACCCTCATAGATATCATCCTGACTAATTTACCCTCTAAATACACCTCCGCTGTCTTCAACCAGGATCTCAGTGATCACTGCCTCATTGCCTGCGTCCGTAATGGGTCCGCGGTCAAACGAACATCCCTCATCACTGTCAAACGCTCCCTAAAACACTTCAGCGAACAGGCCTTTCTAATTGACCTGGGCCGGGTATCCTGGATGGATATTGACCTCATTCCGTCAGTAGAGGATGCCTGGTTGTTCTTTAAAAGTCCTTTCCTCCCCATCTTCCTGCCCCATTCAAAAAATTCAGAACTAAGAACAGATATAGCCCCTGGTTCACCCCAGACTTGACTGCCCTTGACCAGTACAAAAACATCCTGTGGTGTACTGCATTAGCATCGAACAGCCCCCACAATATGCAACTTTTCAGGGAAGTCAGGAATCAATATACACAATCAGTTAGGAAAGCAAAGGCTAACTTTTTCAAACAGAAATGTGCATCCTGTAGCACTAACTCCAAAAAGTTTTGGGACACTGTAAAGTCCATGGAGAATAAGAGCACCTCCTCCCAGCTGCCCACTGCACTGAGGCTAGGAAACACTGTCACTACCGATAAATCTACGATAATCGAAAATTTCAACAAGCATTTTGCTACGGCTGGCCATGCTTTCCACCTGGCTACCCCTACCCCGGCCACCAGCTCTGCACCCTCCGCTGCCCCCCCCCGGCCCCTTTCTTTCTAAAATTAGCCGCCGAAATTGTCGCAACCCCTATGACACTCTAGATCCAAACTGTTACAGACCTATATCCATCCTGCCCTGCCTTTCGAAATTATTTGAAAGCCAAGTTAACAAACAGATCACCGACCATTTCGAATCCCACCGTACCTTCTCCGCTATGCAATCTGGTTTCCGAGCTGGTCATGGGTGCACCTCAGCCACACTCAAGGTCCTAAACGATATTATAACCACGATCGATAAAAGACAGTGCTGTGCAGCCGTCTTCATTGACCTGGCCAAGGCTTTTGACTCTGTCAATCACCGCATTCTTATTGGCAGACTAAATAGCCTTGGTTTCTCAAATGACTGCCTTGCCTGGTTCACCAACTACTTCTCAGATAGAGTTCAATGTGTCAAATCGGAGGGCCTGTTGTCTGGACCTCTGGCAGTCTCTATGGGGGTGCCACATGGTTCAATTCTCGGGACGACTCTATTCTCTGTGTATATCAATGATGTCGTTCTTGCTGCTGGTGACTCTCAGATCCACCTCTACGCAGACGACACCATTTTGTATACATCTGGGCCTTCATTGGACACTGTGTTAACAAACCTCCAAACGAGCTCCAACTGCTCTTAAACGCTAGTAAAACTAAATGCATGCTGTTCAATCGAACGCTGCTTGCACCCGCCTGCCCGACTAGAATCACTACTCTCGGCGGGTCTGACAACTACAAATACCTAGGTGTCTGGTTAGACCGTAAACTCTCCTTCCAGACTCACATTAAGCATCTCCAATCCAAAGTTAAATCTAGAATCGGCTTCCTATTTCGCAACAAAGCCTCCTTCACTCATGCTGCTAAACATGCCCTCGTAAAAATGACTATCCTACCGATCCTTGACTTCGGCGATGTCATTTACAAAATAGCTTCCAACACTCTACTCAGCAAATTGGTGCCATCCGTTTTGTCACCAAAGCCCCATATACTACCCACCATTGTGACCTGTACGCTCTCGTTGTCTGGCCCTCACTACATATTCGTCGCCAATCCCACTGGCTCCAGGTCATCTATAAATCACTTCTAGGCAAATCCCCGCCTTATCTTAGCTCATTGGTCACCATAGCAACACCCACCCGTAGTATGCGTTCCAGCAGGTATATCTCACTGGTCATCCCCAAAGCCAACACCTCCTTTGGTCAACATTCCTTCCAGTTCTCTGCTGCAAATGACTGGAACGAACTGCAAAAATCTCTGAAGCTGGAGACACTTATCTCCCTCACTATCTTAAAGAATCAGTTGTCAGAGCAGCTTACCGATCACTGCACCTGTACACAGCCCATCTGTAATTAGCCCACCCAACTACCTCATCCCCATATTGTTATTTACATTGTTATTTATTTTGCTCATTTGCACCCCAGTATCTCTATTTGCACATCATCTTCTGCACATCTATCACTCCAGTGTTAATACTAAATTATAATTGTAATTATTTTGCACTATGGCCTATTTATTGCCTTATCTCCATAACTTACTACATTTGCACACACTATATAGATTTTCTATTGTGTTATTGACTGTACGTTTTGTTTATTCCATATGTAACTCTGTGTTGTTGTTGTTTTTACCGCACTGCTTTGCTTTATCTTGGCCAGGTCGCAGTTGTAAATGAGAACTTGTTCTCAACTGGCTTACCTGGTTAAAAAAGGTGAAATAAAATACAAATATTTCAGCTTTGATTTATTTCCATCACATTCCCAGTGGGTCAGAAGTTTACATACACTCAATTAGTATTTGGTAGCATTGCCTTTAAATTGTTTAACTTTGGTCAAACGTTTCGGGTAGCCTTCCACAAGCTTTCCACAATAAGTTGGGTGAATTTTGGCCCATTCCTCCTGACAGAGCTGGTGTAACTGAGTCAGGTTTGTAGACCTCCTTGCTTGCACACACTTTTTCAGTTCTGCCCACAAATGTTCTATAGGATTGAGGTCAGGGCTTTGTGATGGCCACTCCTAAGCCATTTTGCCACAACTTTGGAAGTATGCATTGGGTCATTGTCCATTTGGAAGAACCATTTGCGACCAAGCTTTAACTTCCTGACTGATGTCTTGAGATGTTGCTTCAATATATCCACATAATTTTCCTTCCCAGTCCCTCCTGCAGCAAAGCACCCCCACAACATGATGCTGCCACCGCCGTGCTTCACGGTTGGGATGGTGTTCTTTGGCTTGCAAGCCCCCCCTTTTTCCTCCAAACATAACGATGGTCATTATGGCCAACAGTTTTATTTTTGTTTCATCAGACCAGAGGACATTTCTCCAAAAAGTACGATCTTTGTCCCCATGTGCAGTTGCAAACCGTAGTCTGGCTTTTTTATGGCGGTTTTGGAGCAGTGGCTTCTTCCTTGCTGAGCGGCCTTTCAGGTTATGTTGATATAGGACTCGTTTTACTGTCTATAGATACTTTTGTACCTGTTTCCTCCAGCATCTTCACAAGGTCCTTTGCTGTTGTTCTGGGATTAATTTGAACTTTTCGCACCCAAGTACGTTCATCTCTAGGAGACAGAACACGTCTCCTTCCTGAGCGGTATGACGGCTGCGTGGTCCCATGGTGTTTATACTTGCGTACTATTGTTTATACAGATGAACATGGTACCTTCAGGCGTTTGGAAATTGCTTCCAAGGATGAACCAGAGTTGTGGAGGTCTACAATTATTTTTTCTGATGTCTTGGCTGATTTCTTTTGATTTTCCCATGATGTCAAGCAAAGAGGCACTGAGTTTGAAGGTAGGCCTTGAAATAAATCCACAGGTACACCTCCAATTGACTCAAATGATGTCAATTAGCCTATCAGAAGCTTCTAAAGCCATGACATCATTTTCTGGAATTTTCCAAGCTGTTTAAAGGCACAGTCAACTTAGTGTATGTACACTTCTGACCCACTGGAATTGTGATACAGTGAATTATAAGTGAAATAATCTGTCTGTAAACAATTGTTGGAAAAATGACTTGTGTCATGCACAAAGTAGATGTCCTAACCGACTTGCCAAAACAATAGTTTGTTAACAAGAAATTTGTGGAGTGGTTGAAAAACAAGTTTTAATGACTCCAACCTAAGTGTATGTAAACTTCCGACTGTTTATTATTATATTATATAGTACTGCAAAAAGCATATGCAGAGACATTGTACAAGCCTTTCTCATTGACCTGCTTTGGGGTTATAATGTATAATAGGAAAAGCGCCATTCATCTCTGTGCCTGTCAATCAATGTGTTTCTAAGATTCAAAAAGCTTCTTATACCAAAGTAAGTAAGCAGGGCTCTATGCACGCCTGTATGCACTTGAACACAATTGGTGCAGCTAACTCTCAACTAATAAATGCCAACTCCTGGACAGTCTGTGGTGCAACGTGGCGTTGGTGGATGGAGCGAGACATGATGTCCCAGATGTGCTCAATTGGATTCAGGTCTGGGGAACGGGCGGTCCATAGCATCAATGCCTTCCTCTTGCAGGAACTGCTGACACACTCCAGCCACATGAGGTCTAGCATTGTCTTGCATTAGGAGGAACCCAGGGCCAACCGCACCAGCATATGGTCTCACAAGGGGTCTGAGGATCTCATCTCGGTACCTAATGGCAGTCAGGCAACCTCTGGCGAGCACATGGAGGGCTGTGCGGCCCCCCAAAGAAATGCCACCCCACACCATGACTGACCCACCGCCAAACCGGTCATGCTGGAGGATGTTGCAGGCAGCAGAACGTTCTCCACGGCGTCTCCAGACTCTGTCACATGTGCTCAGTGTGAACCTGCTTTCATCTGTGAAGAGCACAGGGCGCCAGTGGCGAATTTGCCAATCTTGGTGTTCTCTAGCAAATGCCAAACGTCCTGCACGGTGTTGGGCTGTAAGCACAACCCCCACCTGTGGACGTCGGGCCCTCATACCACCCTCATGGAGTCTGTTTCTGACCGTTTGAGCAGACACATGCACATTTGTGGCCTGCTGGAGGTCATTTTGCAGGGCTCTGGCAGTGCTCCTCCTGCTCCTCCTTGCACAAAGGCGGAGGTAGCAGTCCTGCTGCTGGGTTGTTGCCCTCCTACGGCCTCCTCCACGTCTCCTGATGTACTGGCCTGTCTCCTGGTAGCGCCTCCATGCTCTGGACACTACGCTGACAGACACAGCAAACCTTCTTGCCACAGCTCGCATTGATGTGCCATCCTGGATGAGCTGCACTACCTGAGCCACTTGTGTGGGTTGTAGACTCCGTCTCATGCTACCACTAGAGTGAAAGCACCGCCAGGAAGCATAGGAACTGAGAAGTGGTCTGTGGTCACCACCTGCAAAACCAGTCCTTTATTGGGGGTGTCTTGCTAATTGCCTATAATTTCCACCTGTTGTCTATTCCATTTGCACAACAGCATGTGAAATGTATTGTCAATCAGTGTTGCTTCCTAAGTGGACAGTTTGATTTCACAGAAGTGTGATTGACTTGGAGTTACATTGTGTTGTTTAAGTGTTCCTTTTATTTATTTTTGCAGTGTACTTTGGTGCGAAAAGTGCAAATCAATCCCAGAACAACAGCAAAGGACTTTGTGAAGATGCTGAAGGAAACAGGTACAAAAGTGTCTATATCCACAGTAAAATGAGTCCTATATCGACATAACCTGAAAGGCCGCTCAGCAAGGAAGAAGCCACTGCTCCAAAACCACCATAACAAAGCCAGACTACGGTTTGCAACTGCACATGGGGACAAAGATCGTACCTTTTGGAGAAATGTCCTCTGGTCTGATGAAACAAAAATAGAACTGTTCGGCCATAATGACCATCGTTATGTTTGGAGGAAAAAGGCAGAAGAACACCATCCCAACCGTGAAGCACGGGGGTGGTAGCATCATGCTGTGGGGGTGCTTTGCTGCAGGAGGGACTGGTGCACTTCACAAAATAGATGGCATCATGAGGAAGGAAACGTATGTGGATATATTGAAGCAACATCTCAAGACATCAGTCAGGAAGTTAAAGCTTGGTCGCAAATGGGTCTTCCAAATGGACAATGTCCCCAAGCATACTTCCAAAGTTATGGCAAAATGGCTTAAGGACAACAAAGTCAAGGTATTGGAGTGGCCATCACAAAGCCCTGACCTCAATCCTATAGAAAATGAATAGGCAGAACTGAAAAAGCGTGTGCAAGCAAGGAGGCCTACAAACCTGACTCAGTTACACCAGCTCTGTCAGGAGGAATGGGCCAAAATTCACCCAACTTATTGTGGGAAGCTTGTGGAAGGCTACCCGAAACATTTGACCCACGTTAAACAATTTAAAAGCAATGCTACCAAATACTAATTGAGTGTATGTAAACGTCTGACCCACTGGGAATGTGATGAAAGAAATAAAAGCTGAAATAAATCATTCTCTCTATTATTATTCTGACATTTCACATTCTTAAAATAAAGTGGTGATCCTAACTGACCTAAGACAGGGAATTTTTACTATGATTAAATGTCAGGAATTGTGAAAAACTGAGTTTAAATGTATTTGGCTAAGGTGTATGTAAACATTCAACCTAAACTGTGGAGAAAATCATGCAAAAGCTTACTTTATCTGGCACAGAGCTTCTCACCTTGGTTATCACACACTGGGATGGTGCCTATCCAGTCTCCTAGAGAGGTGCAGTTCCTCTGAGCTGACCCAGACAGGGTGAAGCCATTGTGGCAGGAGAAACTCTGGCTCTCCCCTGGCTTCAACCACTGGTCCCTGGGCCAGAACTCACCATTGTCCAATTGGAGATGGCCTGGACACATTATCTCTGTGAGAGAGAAAGAGAGAGAGAGAGAGGGAGAAACACATTTTGAGAGAGAGTGAGATGGAGAATACAGCAGTAGTTTATCAGATACTAACTCATCACTTGCCTCCTTCCGTATCCACCATAAACACTACCTTTACAGGATGCTCGCGACACTCGTCTGCCATTGGCCAGTCTCATGGTGGACCACTCCCCATCGGCGCTGCACACCCGTTGGCTGATGGGGTACGGGTAGTATCCTGCCTTACAGTGATAGGTCAGCACGCTGCCCTCAGTACCTGCCTGAGAGTAGGACACGTTGCCTCCTCTGATCTGCTCAGCGATGGAACAGTTCTGGGGCTGTTCCTCCTCAAAGTCCTCATAGTCTTCCCCCTGCATCCACACTGAAATACAGGCATACGTACGACTGAAATGCAGACAAATAACTGAAATACAGTCACATTACTGAAATACAGTCACTTTGATATTTTAAGTAGAAATTGTGCACAAATATTGCATTTTAAAAGCCTGTTATATTAAATGAAGTGCCCTTCAATATAGACCACATGGAGAATTAAATAAATCAGATTTGTTATATGAATAAAGACTTGCTAATATGCCAAAATTCTGCATTTTGACATGTCGCTCTGTGAATCATTTACGTCTATCCCTCATTTTAAGGCAAACCCTGTGACATGAACTGAACTCTTGTTTTAATATGGTGAAACCATTTTTTAATATATTCTTTTAAAAGAAACATTGAACATCTAATAGTCAAATCATGTAAAAGCAGGTGAGCTGGTTCTACTCTTTTTGGCCATTTTCTGGTGTTTTGTGACAGAAAACTGAGCGGATCGAGCATAACACGTCAACCCTGTTACCCATAGATAGACAGGCTAGAAATTGTTAAACCATTTTTTTTTTTTTTGTGAAGCTTGCATTCAATTGCAACTCCCTGTTGCACACAACAAGCTTCCTTTCCCCGTCACAACGGGATTCATGGCTGATTTATGATGAAATCATCAACCCTGTTATGGTCAACCCTGTTACTTTATTTGGCACTTAATAGGCACTTACTATTGTCATTTTTTAAATTTAACATCTTCAGATGTTGAACATGCTCTTTCTGACAGAATGTTAAAAATAGGAGAAATCAAAAGGTTTGTTTTGACCAAGTTACACTTCTCAAAAGGCACCTAGTTGGTGGAACGACCCACACACATTACCGAAATACAGACGTACATATGACTGAAATACAGACACATTACTGAAATAGACATGACTGAAATACAGACATATGTCTGACTGAAATGCGACATTTACCTGAGATACAAACACATTACTGAGAGATCATGAATGGTCTTGTTTGTTACAATAACTTCTGACTCGTGTATCTCCCTGACCATCTCTGTACTCACCCTCTTTGACAGAGATTAAGGAGAAGGCCGCACACAACAACAGAGTGACAGCATACATAGCAAGTATCTGTTTATTCCTTTCAGTCTCTGTTGGTGTCTGACTAAAAATATGTCTACATGCTACTAAGTAGTTATCTTATTTGATGAGTGATTATCCATTAACGAACCACAGCAAACACAAAAGCATGGATTGAGTAATGTTTTCTCAGAACTGGGTGATTTCACATTTCATTTAGGATTCAACATTTTTATTCATGTATTGGTATCTTTATTTTAACTGTAATATATTACTTCGAGACTCAAATAGCCTATGATATTTAGAAATTGTTGCATCATCTACTGAGTCAGTAATAAAGGGGGTGACTATGAATGGAAAGCAGAAATGTGGTTGTAAAACAAAAACTTCAATCTGAGAGCAAATCCTTTTAACCCAGTTCCACTACTCCAGGGTCCCAACTTCACTCCAAGTTAGGGCCATGTTGCCAATACACTATATGATTTGTAAATTACTCAGTTTGTGCTTGCCATTGTTTGTGTGTGTGTGTTAGTGTGTGAGAAATGTTTTAGATTAGATTATCCTTACGCGTATTATAGAGAATTTACTCTGAGCGCCCCCACGCCCCACTCCTGCCCCAGAGCTCAGTCCTCTCAGCTGACTCGGCTTTGTGGAACACAGTGAAGCGAGTTCTAGGCGTCTTTTATAACAAATTACTCACACTCAACAAAACAAGAACAGATTGCACATCTACCTACCTCACACACACAGACACACCATGACTTAATAAAGTGATGAAAGAAGAACCGGACTATAAAGACCTGGGGCACTTTCACTGGATTTTAAACCTCAAATTGGTGGACTAAATATTTTGTTCTTGTGGGATTTATATAGATATATATTATTTTTTGGTATTTGTAACAAAATGATGAATCAATCACTCTGGAAAGATACAGGCCTCTTTTATCTGTCACATTGAGATTTCCTGCTGAAACGTTACCTTTTCACCTTTCACATTAAACAAACATGTTGTTGATGTGCTCTTAACAACAACACAAGACTACATTGGAGTGGGTTTTAGGATGTGGATTTTCAATGTTTCCCTGGAAGACTGAAACTGAACTTTAACTGGAGATGACGGACCTCACTGAAGTATCTGTTTACTCAGAATCCTCTGTCATTTACAAGGTGAGGACAGCGACAGCTTGTGTGGGCCTGGAATTCTGGTTCCAATTTTTGATATCGACCTTGTATTTCATGGTGGAAGTTACTTGGCGTTCCATGTTATACCAATTGTCTTTGCTTTTCCCAGAATGTTTTCTGCAACCCCGCGTTTGAGCTTGAGGGTGAGCGTGAGGAGAAAGTGGAACGATTCAGTTCTGCCATGTCCCCAGAGCCAGTAAAGCGCCCAGCAGCAAGCAGTGAGTCTGACAACCTAGTTTCCCTGTTCCATAACATCATATAACACCGGAGTTGGATATACAATAGGATTGGTTGTTTCCAGATGCCAAGACCTATTCAATTTGACCTAGTTGTTGTCTTCCACCATTGGAAAGTGGAAACAAAGATTTTCTGAGGGACAGGAATGTTACAACAACTTAAAGTTTCCTCAACCACCCATGTCTTTCCTCCCTGTGTGTGTGTGTGTGTTGGTTTGCGTGTGTGTGTGCATGCGTACGTGTGTATGTGTCACAGGCCGAGGTGTGTTCAGTGTGTGTGTGATGCGTCTGCGAGGTCCGTGGTGTAGCTGGGGGGCCGTGGTGGTCTCTGTTGCTGCTGTGCTCCTGGTAGCAGCCCTGGGCCTGGCACTGGTGCTCATCTTCACACGTCAGTGACGGGGGGGATAGTGGGATGAGTGGGACCACACAGATACTATAAATCTATGTAATTCTATGGGTGGAACAGTGGGACCTCTGATCCTCAACAGGAAGTGTTCACCGAGCATAGTGTACATACATGGTGTACATACATTTCACTCATCTCTCAAAAAACCCGGGAAGAACCCTAATTTAAATAGACATAGACATAGACACCTATATAATTATGTACACAATGTCCTTATTTAAACAAAAATTGCCAATTCATACACTATAATCCTTCAAACTCAACTCTGGACCTAGAAGCCAGTTCCACTGCGTTTTTTCATTGTTGCCCTCTAATCTGGGAACGATTGTGACCTGGGACATCAGAAGAGTGAAATTAATTATCAGGTAGAACAGAAAACCAAGAGGCTCCGGACCTCGTAGGGTAAGAGTTGAATACCCCTGTACTATATGGTCCCTTGAGCATTGAATAGCATTGCAGTACTTCTGCACATCACAAGATTGTGTCCTCTTACTCGATCTCTCACTGTGTTCTTCACTCCACAGAACTAAAGGGGCAGAGTGTGGATGGGGAAGTGGTGTCGACCAATCCCCTGGACTTGTTGACTGGAGATGGACTGCCTCGTGGTCTACCCACAACCCCCACCAACCACAGTCATAGGGACAGTACAGTGGCCCCACAGCCAGCCAGATACCCTACCCCTGAAACTAGTGGGTATTTGTCTATTACAGTTGTATCCATAGAAATAGAATAAGTAGTTCTATTCCAATGATTGTACCTTACAGATACGTACTTACCGACAGATACTGTACGTACAATACAATAATAATACTGTAATACACTACCCTGTACTTTTCTCACTGTCTGTCTGTCTCAGGATGTGGGGGCGTATTGACAGACTCAGAGGGCAGCTTTAGCTCCCCCAACCACCCTGGGTCGTATCCCCCAGACTCTCTGTGTGTCTGGGTGATCCGAGCGCGGCCCCCATCCCTGGTCCAGATCCATGTGTCCTCTCTGACCATAGAAGGACCGTCCCCCTGCCTCTTTGACTGGCTGGAGGTTCAGGAGGAGACGGAGCAACCTTCTGTTGTCACCAGGTGGGTCAAACGTACTGTATCTGAACCTGTTCCAGGTAGAAGATGCCTCTAAACACAGATCTAGGATCAAATGTCCATTGCTCGTGTTTCTTGGCCCAAGCAGGTCTCTTCTTCTTATTGGTGTCCTTTAGTAGTGGTTTCTTTGCAGCAATTCAACCATGAAGGCCTGATTCACAGAGTCCCCCTGAACAGTTGATATTGAGATGTGTCTTTGACTTGAACTCTGTGAAGCATTTATTTGGGCTACAATTTCTGAGGCTGGTAACTAATTAACTTATCCTCTGCAGCAGAGGTAATTCTGGGTCTTCCATTCCTGTGGCGGTCCTCATGAGAGCCAGTTTCATCATAGCTTTTTATGATTTTTGCGACTGCACTTGAAGAAACGTTCAAAGTTCTTGACATTTTCCGTATTGACTGACCTTCATCTCTTAAAGTAATGATGGACTGTCGTTTCTCTTCGCTTATTTGAGCTGTTCTTGGACTTGGTCTTTTACCAAATAGGGCTATCTTCTGTATCCCCCCCCCCCCCTTGTCACTACACAACTGATTGGCTCAAACGCAATGTACTATTTCATAGTTTTGATGTCTTCACTATTATTCTACAATGTAAAAACAATAGTACAAATAAAGAAAAACACTTGAATGAGAAGGTGTGTCCAAACGTTTGACTGGTAGTGTATACTGAAGGGGATGTAACATATAGTGACTATCGGCACGTTTTACATACTTCTGAACCTAGTGCATGGCAGCCTCTTGAAAAAGCATACTCTTCATGACATACTGTGGCAGCTAGGTGGCATACAAGTTCTGTATAGATAGCAACTGCCTACCTTCTGGCCCTGAAGTTTGGTTTTACGTTTCTGCTGTTCAGGGATTTTAGGTGAAGAATAAAGATACATTATGGTTGCCTTTTGGGGCTGACATTTTAAAAGTTAACGTTTCTCTCCACCCTAGGCTCTGTGGCAATGTGGCACCCCCTACTGTGAACACCAACAGCAGCACTGTGTGGGTGACTTTCCGCTCTGATGGGAGCATTGGAGGCAGCGGCTTCACCGCCCAGTACCATGCCATCACACCTGAACAGAGTGAGTACTGGGCCGGAGGTAGAATGAACAGATACACTGAACTGATCTTTGCTTTAGGAAACATGTACACTACCAGTCAAAAGTTTGGACACACCTACTCATTCAAGGGTTTTTCTTTATTTGTACTATTTTTTACATTGTAGAATAATAGTGAAGACATCAAAACTATGAAATAACACATATGGAATCCTGTAGGAACAAAAAAAAGTGTTAAACAAATAGCTACCCTTTGCCTTGATGACAGCTTTGCACACTCTTGGCATTCTCTCAACCAGCTTCATGAGGTAGTCACCTGGAATGCATTTCAATTAACATGTGTGCCTTCTTAAAAGTTAATTTGTGGAATTTCTTCCCTTCTTAATGTGTTTGAGCCAATCAGTTGTGTTGTGACAAGGTAGGGGGGTATACAGAAGTTAGCCCTTTTTGGTAAAAGACCAAGTCCATATTTTGGCAAGAACAGCTCAAATAAGCAAAGAAAAACGACAGTCCATCATTACTTTAAGACATGAAGGTCAGTCAATACGGAAAATGTCAAAAACTTTGAAAGTTTCTTCAAGTGCAGTAGCAAAAACGATCAAGCGCTATGATGAAACTGGCTTTCATGAGGACCGCCACAGGAATGGAAGACCCAGAGTTACCTCTGCTGCAGAGGATAAGTTCATTAGAGTTACCAGCCTCAGAAATTGCAGCCCAAATAAATGCTTCACATTCAAGTCACAGACACATCTCAACATCAACTGTTCAGAGGTGACTGTATGAATCAGGCCTTTATGGTTGAATTGCTGCAAAGAAACCACCACTAAAGGACACCAATAAGAAGAAGAGACCTGCTTGGCCAAGAAACATGAGCAATGGACATTAGACAGGTGGAAATTTGTCCTTTGGTCTGGAGTCCAAATTGGAGATTTTTGGTTCCAACTGCCGTGTCTTTGTGAGACACGGTGTGGGTGAACGGATGATCTCCGCATGTGTAGTTCCCACCGTAAAGCATGGAGGAGGAGGTGTTATGGTGTGGGGGTGCTTTGCTGGTGACACTGTCTGTGATTTATTTAGAATTCATGGTACACTTAACCAGCATGGTTACCACAGCATTCTGCAGCGATACGCCATCCCATCTGGTTTGGGCATAGTGGGACTTTCATTAGTTTTTCAACAGGACAATGACCCAACACACCTCCAGGCTGTGTAAGGGCTATTTTACCAAGAAGGAGAGTGATGGAGTGCTGCATCAGATGACCTGGCCTCCACAATCCCCCGACTTCAACCCAATTGAGATGGTTTGGGATGAGTCGGACGGCAGAGTGAAGGAAAAGCAGCCAACAAGTGCTCAGCATATGTGGGAACTCCTTCAAGACTGTTGGAAAAGCATTCCAGGTGAAGCTGGTTGAGAGAATGCCAAGCGTGTGCAAAGCTGTCATCAAGGCAAAGGGTGGCTATTTGAAGAATCTCAAATATAAAATATATTTTGATTTATTTAACACTTTTTTGGTTACTACATGATTCCATATGTGTTATTTCATAGTTTTGATGTCTTCACTATTATTATACAATGTAGAAAATAGTAAAAAATAAAGAAAAACCCTTGAATGAGTAGGTGTGTCCAAACTTTTGACTGGTACTGTATGTTCACAGTACATTAACACATAACATCAGCAATGTGTGTGTGTGCGTCTGTTCTCAGAGAGCTGCTCCAGGGAGGAGTTTATGTGTGACCACGGGCGCTGCATCCTGCCTGTGTCAGTGTGTGACGGTCAGCCCAACTGTCATGACCACTCTGATGAGGCCAACTGCAGCCACAAGCACAAAGGTAAGAACAGGGTGTGCGGCACAGTACACACTCAGCATCATAGTGACTTATCCGCATACATACAGCAGCTACAAGCAAAATAATGCCTATATGTAAAATGGTAGACTCGCGCTGTCATCCGTCTAAATCTTGTTCATCAAGTGGACAAAGTTGTGAAGAAGCCTGGTAATCAATTATAGTAAAAGGGCAATCGTTTGCTTATCTATGCAAAACTAATTATCATCGTTTTTTGCTATGTTGTTGAACAGATTGTGGGGGCCAAAAGACTGGACCCTACGGCTACCTGGCGAGTCCAAACCACCCAAAGCCTTACCCTCATCAACAGGTACTGTACCTACCTACACCTGTTCCAGCAAACCATCACCAACATGTATCTCATTGACATACCCAGCCATATACCCAGAATAGATTTAATCAAATCCTACCATGGTAAATTATGTTTAATCTACTCTTATCTCTCCGTCAGTTGTGCACATGGCGGATCTCTGTCGAGGAGGGTCATGTGATCAGGCTGAGTTTCCGTAACTTCAGTCTGGAGACTCAGGACGTGTGTGAGTTGGACTATGTGGAGGTGCATGATAGTGCTGCCACCGGGACCGGTAGAGTACTCGGACGGTAAGACGTATTATGTTAGCTTCACATTGTTGTTTTTTCATACACTACCAATAAAATAGCTCAGAAGGGTTGAAAAAGAAATGCTCAAAGCATGTACATCCAGTCAAATGACATTTTCTAAAATCAAGCATAGGTGTTGTATGACAATATATTACAAATATGTGTACCATAAAACATTCACAACAGTAACAGCACTTCCTTGATAAGACAGTGTACTGTAACCTGTAGTAGCCTAGCCTGTGTTGGGGACTCCTATGGTTGCAAAACAGAACATGGTCACAAACAGATCTGGGACCAGGCTAATTGTACCCTACTGTACCACAGCCTGTAACACAGTCCTACTGTTACTTCACCTACTGTACCACAGCCAGCTCAAGTGTTCCTTCTCTATCCTGTCCCAGGTACTGTGGCACCAGCCTGCCTCCTGAGCTGACCTCCTCTGGGCCTCAGATAACCGTGGTGTTTGTGGCTGACGAGGGTGTGGCAGACAGTGGCTTCAACGCCTCCTACCAGGCCATCTCACTCTCCGAGAGTGAGTCCCGCATCTAGTCTATTATGGCTCTTGTAAACGTAGAAAATAAGCCTATTTATTAAAACATCGAACAGTGGTTTAGTTAAAGGATTTACACTGGAAATATGAGCAGTGGATCACCCATTTCCTTGTTTGTGACAGGAACATGCAGTCCTACTCAGTTTGCCTGCAGCAGTGGGGAGTGCCTGCACCAGGAGTGGCTGTGTGACGGATGGACTGACTGTGCAGATGGGACAGATGAGCACGACTGTGACAACTCGACCTATCCCCCTTTCAGTGAGCCAACAATACAAAACACACATCATATTTGTATGATTCCTACATCAGTAACACAACTGCTAAGCTTTCAAGTAGAATGACTACATTATGACAGTAACCTTTTCTGTATCTTTCTCCATACCTCTTCCCCAGGCTCGTCCTGTGAGCCCATTGAGGTGGAGATGTGTCAGGGCCTGAGCTACAACCTCACCTCCTTCCCCAACATCTGGCTGTCCATCGCTGATCAGAGAGAGGCAGCCATGCTGCTCCGCCAGTACTTGGTGAGACCGCACACCTGGCCTGTCAACACACAACCACACAGAACAATATCAATTTCACATGAACTTGATATTTTCTTTAATGGGTTTTCAGTTAACTTGAACATGATTTGTAACATAATATAGGTGCATAGCAGTGGAGGCTGCTGAGGGGAGGACGACTCATAATAATGGCCGTAATGGAATGATATCAAACACATGGTTTTCATGTGTTTGATACCATTCCATTCACTCTATTCCAGCGATTACACTCCATTATTATGAGCCGTCCTCCCCTCAGCAGCCTCCACTGGTGCATAGTAATATGTTGTTTCAACCACAATAAACCAACTATACACTGAAAAATACCATAAAAGGGATGTGCAGACCCCCCTTAAGTGTTAGATTCTGATGGAGGTAGATACTGTACAGCCGCTCTCTAACTCTCTCCCCTGTGGTTTGTGGTTACTACTAGGTGCTGATGGAGCTGGCGTGTTTCCAGCCCCTGCGCAGGCTGGTGTGTGGGATGTTCATGCCCCACTGCAGCCCTCAGGGTGGGGTGCTGCAGCCTTGCCGGTCAGTGTGCTCCTGGGCAGAGCAGCAGTGTAGTCAGTCCCTGGACATCTTCACCTTCAGCTGGCCCTTCAACTGCCACCTGCTGCCTGACTCCCAAGACCCTGTGGAGTGCTCCAGCCCCTGATGCCTCTGTAGTATAGCACTTGCCCCTTGAATTTTCTACAGTACAACCATAGTAATGAGAGGAAGCCAACAAAGGACTGACTACAAGAACTCTTAAGAATACCATCAAAGCTCCAATCTTTTCAAGGAACCTTGGAGACTTGCAGTCTCTCTTGGGCACTGTACATCATCATCATCTAAGGACCTTTACATGCAATAAAGAATCACAATGTTGCACTCTGCAGACTCAATATGGTGCTAGCCTTGTACAGCATAATACAGATGTATGGAACAAAACTGGTTGGAGTTTACGTGGGAATAGAAAATAAATGTACATATTAACAAAAACAATATGGAATTTGACATACTGTAGCGTGATGTTTTGCAAATGTGTGTGATTGGACCATAACTTTTTTGTATAATGAATTTGACTGAATTAAGTTATCCTTTTCAACAACCAGAGACAATACCTGTATATTATACATCAAATGCAATGTTTTTGCACTATATTTATTTCTGTGTGCATGTCATATAAAATAATGATTGATCCTGTCCAGAATCCTAAGGAAATAACGTTTAAAAAATGATAGAATCATAAAACATTTTTGACACACAGAAACATGGTGCCTTGCTTTCATTAGGTTAGTGAATGAATGAACTGTCGAGATTTGACCTTTCCAGGGAGTACTGCAGGTTATTATGTCAGTATTACAAAATACAGTGACATTACAATCCAAAGTGGCTTTGAGATGGAAGGTGATTGTTCCTTACATGACCCTACCTAATATCTCATATATTCAATATATAACTTCTGACATGTATGCTTATATGGGATACATTGAAAGCAAGATGGCCTCAATTGATACATAAGCCCAACGATCGATTTCACATATGAAACACAATCAACTTATTCCATAATCACACATACACTATGCTTTACAAAAAACAGTAGTGATGGCTGGCATGATTGATTGTCATGGTGGCACGATGAGTTTGAGCGTGTGTTCGAGGGCCACGGCAGTGAGGCCCCACACGCGGTGCTTCCCGTTGCAGATCACGGGCAGGGTGTATCCATAGCGCTCACCGGTGCGGAAGTTGGTGTATCCCCGATTCTGGGGACTGCATACGTGGGAGAGCGACAGGGTGAAGATCTCTTCTACCTGAGAGAGAAAGGAGAATGTCATTTTAACTCCATGTTAGATGGTATTCGTGTTAGTTCAGCCCAAAGGCAAACAGAGTGATTGTAACATTTGAAAACAGAGTTCTTGTAACTGTACCTCGGCAGGATTTGGCTTGAACGACAGCGCCTCCAGGGGGCCAAGGTTGGCCAGTACAGGGGCTATCATCATTCCAGACTGAGAGAAAATGTGCCATGATTAGGAAATGCGGCAGATCAACAATTTACATAATGAAGACATACTCATATTAAGAAATGTTTCACTGAAATTATACTACCCCATCTCAACTGCTCTAGAGCAGAGGGGAGCTACTAACTGTGTGTCAGTGCGTCACACAGAGAGGGATGGGGATCATGAAGGATTATGGGTAGTATGGGTAGGGTTAAGGTCCTCACCATATCCCTGAGTGGTTTCAGCACGCCCCACACTTGGTTTGTTGCCACAGTGACACCCAGTTCCTCACAAGCTTCTCGCAGGGCGGTGTCCACAACGTCCTTGTCCGAGGGGTCACGCTTGCCCCCTGCAAAACTGGACATTCACACAGCACTGTCAATTTCCAGCCTTATATTCGACTTCATACAATCATTTACATGACAATGTTTTGTCAAAACACACAAATAAAGTTGTAATTTTCAGAGTTGTTAAGTTCTGTCATATGACATCATTTGTCAAACATTAAATATCCCCAAAGCAGTGGGAATGGTGCAGGAGTCTGTGGTTACCTGACGTCGCCCTTGTGTCTGCCCTTCAGTGCTGTGGATCTGAGGGTGAAGAGGAAGGCGGGCTCTCCCTCCACGGAGCAAAGAGAGACCAGCACGGACGCCCACTTCCCCTGGGCCTCACTGGCCCCCCTCTTCCCCCGGACGTCCTTCTCATACAGAGCCACATTAGGCCCCAGGCTCTGCCGGCAGCGTGCCTCGTTCACCAGTGAAAGGCACTCCCTCAGGGCAACCTCAGGGCAGGAGGCAGCAGCCTGGTGCAGGCCGCGGCTCTGGAGTGAAAGGCTTCGCTGGGGATCCACAGTCCACAGTTTGGGTGTGGACATAAGCAGTCTGTGAAAAGGGTCCTTGTGAATCTTGCCACTTTGAACAGGTCTGTAACTATTACGTTTAACACTAAATGTGACGTTCACCTTCACCTCAGCAGATAAACATTGGCTACCATTGTCAGTTTGCCTCCTTTGTAGAAGGCACTTGAGGTCGCTAGAACAGTCGGGGGCTTTAGAATTGTCCAAATGTTCCAATAAAGTGGTTTTCCAAGGGTCACATGCTACAAGCACCGGCAGTCGTGGTGTACGTTTCAAAGAGGCAAAGCTAGAGTCCTGAGACAATTGAGGGCGGTTGGGAGGGGTGGCTTTTTGTAAGAGGTGTTGAGGTGCGGTGTTTAGGAGACAACTCTCACAACCGGAGGTGCCTCTGCTAACAAGGTGTGAAGAAATGGCTGAAGAGAGGGATACTGCCTCCTCACCATCCCCCTGACAGAGACTTCTCCATGCTTTGGGTCCAGTCCACCTTTGACAGGTGTGCTCAGGTAGGGCAGGCACGCGGGGGTCTCTGACAGACAGCAGCAGGGGTCTCTGGGTCCTGACAGGGCATGTCAAGGCCAGAATCTGTGGACTCCTGAACATTCTAGAAAACAGAGATGAGACAAAATAATAATTTCCATTACTCCACTAAACAAGGCTCAATGGTTATGTTAATAAAAAATGTAAGCCTATTTTGACATGAGTACAGTACAAAGAAATAGGTTGTCCTCACTCTTCCCTGCAGCAGTGGTTCTCAAACCTCCCGCAGTTCCATTAATTTCCAGAGCTAGAACACCTGATTCAACTTGCCAATTAATCAAGCCCTTAATGAACTTAAGTGACTCTGGTGTGCTAACGTTGCTTCAGGGCTACAACACAATTGTGACACGTCTAGGGCTCCCCAAGGTGAGGTTTGAGAACAGCGATTCAAGACTACTGCAGAAAAGTGTAACATAGGTCATTTTCCTGATTGCACATTCTGTAGTTAACATTGTGCAACAACGCTGCAAATTGCTGTCTGCAAGCTAGCTAACGTTAGCTGCTAGCCCAATGCAAACTCAATCTGGCTAGCTAGTTTTACAACCAACACTATTCAACGTTAAGTTAGCTAGTTAAGTTTCTTACAAGTCAGCTACTTTCAAAATTGTTTAAAGTTAACTATCAAAGTTGTCAAACAAATCCGATTCGGGTCATTGGTGGCTAGCTGGCTATAGCTAACGTTGCAGTTGTTGTAGCTAGTTATGTTCCCAAGCTGTCAAAAACATATTTCTAGCCGGTTAGCAAATGCTACCAAGTTTAGCATGCAACTAGTACGAAGAAATACAACGTTAATCACATCTCACAAGGATTCCAATCGTATTCGAGGTCCGGTAAGAAACGGAGATTAATGAAACCACCGGTGCGGCTACCAACAACCTCACTCAACAACTAAATTAAATATTATATAGCGGTAGTCGACTCACCTTGAACATCGATAGCTAGCTACTGCGCCAGGACCAAATATGTCGCTGAAAAAGCTTCTTGTCAATCACTTGCCCTCACAAGGTGAAAGGATGTCAACCATTTAGAGACGCCATAATACAAATAATAGGCCTGTCAAACCATTAAATATATACATTTGTGTGAAGTTACAATTTACAAAAGAGAATAGTTAGGAGTTTACTAATTCCTTATTTGAAGCAGGGCAATTCCACTGTGACATAATTTCTATGAGACTCAGCTTTTTCACTTAAAGTGTATGCCAAACAAAAACCTTTTGATTTTTAAAAATGTAACGAACTCTAAGCACAATGACTGCGTGAACAATTTATACTGAATATTTTACAGAACAACATTTACTGGAAGAACTGGGCAGATGCAAAGTTTGGTAACATAACTTGTTTTTTAAATTATTCTATGTGAACACGTTTTCCAAAAATTCTTAACCCATTTGTTCCCACATTTTCCCCCAGACTTGCCACTATGCAAATCTTATGCCATAATCCTAACACGTAATCCATATAGTTTTTTTTATGTGTGTGTGTAGATATACACTACCAGTCAAAAGTAGTGTATATACACACCTACTCATTCAAGGGTTTTTCTTTATTTTTTACATTGTGGAAGAATAGTGAAGACATCAAAACTATGAAATAACACATATGGAATCATGTAGTAACCAAAAAAGTGTTAAACAAATCGAAATATATTTTATATTTGAGATTATTAAAATAGCCACCCTTTGCCCTGATGACAGCTTTGCACACTATTGGCATTCTCTCAACCAGCTTCATGAGGTAGTCACCTGGAATGCATTTCAATTAACAGGTGTGCCTTCTTAAAAGTTAATTTGTGGAATTTCTTCCCTTCTTATTGTGTTTGAGCCAATCAGTTGTGTAGTGACAAGGTAGGGGTGGGGGGCAGAAGATAGCCCTATTTGGTAAAAGACCAAGTCCATATTATGGCAAGAACAGCTCAAATAAGCGAAGAGAAACGACAGTCCATCATTACTTTAAGACATGAAGGTCAGTCAATACGGAAAATGTCAAGAACTTTGAACGTTTCTTGAAGTCCAGTCGCAAAAACCATCAAACGCTATGATGAAACTGGCTCTCATGAGGACCGCCACAGGAATGGAAGACCCAGAGTTACCTCTGCTGCAGAGGATAAGTTCATTAGAGTTACCAGCCTCATTAGGAATTGCACCCCAAATAAATGCTTCACAGAGTTCAAGTCACAGACACATCTCAACATCAACTGTTCAGAGGGGACTGTGTGAATCAGGTCTTCATGGTCGAATTGCTGCAACGAAACCACTACTAAAGGACACCAATAAGAGGAGACCTGTTTGGGCCAAGAAACACGAGCAATGGGCATTAGACTGGTGGAAATTTGTCCTTTGGTCTGGAGTCCAGATTTGAGATTTTTGGTTCCAACCGCCGTGTCTGTGAAACGCGTGTGGGTGAACGGATGATCTCCGCATGTGTAGTTAGTTCCCACCGTAAAGCATGAAGGAGGAGGTATTATGGTGTGGGGGTGCTTTGCTGGTGACACAGTATGTGATTTATTTAGAATTAAAGGCACACTTAACCAGCATGGCTACCACAGCATTCTGCAGCGATACGCCATCCCATCTGGTTTGGGCTTAGTGGGACTATCATTCGTTTTTCAACAGGACAATGACCCAACACACGTCTAGGCTGTGTAAGGGCTATTTTACCAAGAAGGAGAGTGATGGAGTGCTGCATCAGATGACTTGGACTCCACAATCCCCCGACCTCAACCCAATTGAGATGGTTTGGGATGAGTTGGACGGCACACTTTTTTGGTTACTACATGATTCCATGTGTTATTTCATAGTTTTGATGTCTTCACAATTTTTCTACAATGTAGAAAATAGTAAAAATAAAGAAAAACCCTTGAATAAGTAGGTTTGTCCAAACTTTTGACTGGTACTGTATGAAAAAAATTGTATGTGGACACCCCTTCAAATTAGTGGAGACTATTTCAGCCACACCCGTTGCTGACAGTTTTATACAATTGAGCACAAAGCCATGCAGTCTCCATAGACAAACATGGCAGTAGAATGGCTTTACTGAAGAGCTCAGTGACTTTCAACGTGGCACAGTCATAGGATGCCACCTTTCCAACACCCAGTCATTCCCCAGTGATTTTACCCACGCACCTCTACTGCCAGGCGCACCAGTTTGAGTGTGCCAAGAACTGCAATGCTGCAGGGTTTTTACACTCAACAGTTTCCTGTGTGTATCAAGAATGGTCCACCACCCAAAGGACATCCAGCCAACTTGACACAACTGTGGGAAGCATTAGAGTGTATATGGACCAGCATCCCTGTGGAATGCATTCGACACCTTGTAGAGTCCATGCCCCGACAAATTTAGGCTTTTCTGAGGGCAAAAGGGGGTGCAAGTCAATATTAGGAAGTTGTTCCTAATGTTTTTTATACTCTGTGTGTATATGGATGCCTATGTGTATATACAGTGCTGTGAAAAAGTATTTTCCCCGTTTCTAATTGTATCTACTTTTGCATATTTTTGATACTGAATGTTATCAGATCTTCAACCAAAAACCTGGACAATTCTATCCGGTCTTGCTTGCCTTCCATATACAATTCGAAACCGCACTATGGATTTTATCCCAATAGCCAGGTGAGGGACAACTAAACAATTTCAGCCGTGGCAATATATTCATTTTGACAATAGATATTCTGCCTGTTAAAGGAACTGGGATATTAGTCCATCTACTGAGGTCGGATGGAATTGTCCTGAACGTTCTGTTAAAGTTTCTGTCAATGGTTTTATCTAAGGAATATACAGTTGAAGTCGGAAGTTTACATACACCTTAGCCAAATACATTTAAACTAAGTTTTTCACAATTCCTGATATTTAATCCTAGTAAAAATTCCTTGTCTTAGGTCAGTTAGGATCACCACTTTATTTTAAGAATGTGAAATGTCAGAATAATAGTAGAGAGAATGATTTATTTCAGCTTTTATTTCTTTCATCACATTCTCAGTGGGTCAGAAGTTTACATACACTCAATTAGTATTTGGTAGCATAGCCTTTAAATTGTTTAACTTGGGTCAAACGTTTTGGGTAGCCTTCCACAAGCTTCCCACAATAAGTTGGGTGAATTTTGGCCCATTCCTCCTGACAGAGCTGGTGTAACTGAGTCAGGTTTGTAGGCCTCCTTGCACGCACACGCTTTTTCAGTTCTGCCCACATATTTTGTGAAGTGCACCAGTCCCTCCTGCAGCAAAGCACCCCCACAGCATGATGCTGCCACCCCCGTGCTTCACGGTTGGGATGGTGTTCTTCGGCTTGCAAGCACCCCCCTTTTCCTCCAAACATAACGATGGTCATTATGGCCAAACAGTTCTATTTTTGTTTCATCAGACCAGAGGACATTTCTCCAAAAAGTACAATCTTTGTCCCCATGTGCAGTTGCAAACCGTAGTCTGGCTTTTTTATGGCGGTTTTGGAGCAGTGGCTTCTTCCTTGCCGAGTGGCCTTTCAGGTTATGTCGATATAGGACTCGTTTTACTGTGGATATAGATGCTTTTGTACCTGTTTCCTCCAGCATCTTCACAAGGTCCTTTGCTGTTGTTCTGGGATTGATTTGCACTTTTCGCACCAAAGTGCGTTCATCTCTAGGAGACAGAACACGTCTCCTTCCTGAGCGGTATGACGGCTGCGTGGTCCCATGGTGTTTATACTTGCGTACTATTGTTTGTACAGATGAACGTGGTACCTTCAGGCATTTTGAAATTGCTCCCAAGGATGAACCAGACTTGTGGAGGTCTACAATTCTTTTTCTCAGGTCTTGGCTGATTTCTTTTGATTTTCCCATGATGTCAAGCAAAGAGGCATTGAGTTTGAAGGTAGGCCTTGAAATACATCCACAGGTACACCTCCAATTGACTCAAATTATTTCAATTAGCATATCAGAAGCTTCTAAAGCCATGACATCATTTTCTGGAATTTTCCAAGCTGTTTAAAGGCACAGTCAACTTAGTGTATGGAAACTTCTGACCCACTGGAATTGTGATACAGTGAATTATAAGTGAAAAAATCTGTCTGTAAACAATTGTTGGCAAAATTACCTGTGTCATGCACAAAGTAGATGTCCTAACCGACTTTCAAAACTATAGTTTGTTAACAAGAAATTTGTGGAGTGGTTGAAAAACAAGTTTTAATGACTCCAAAAAGTGTATGTAAACTTCCGACTTCAACTGTACCAAATATTTAAAAAGAGAAATGATTGGGATTCCATAAGTGGAGATGGAGTCCTCCATCGGGGTCTTAGTAGTGCAGATTTTGTTAATTTATTTTATAGCTTGAGATGGAGCGGAATTTGTCTATGATCTTCAAAGGTTTTGGGAGGGATTGAGATACATTGTCTAGATAAAGTAAGATATCGTCGGCGTATAATGAGATGACGTGATCCATAGAATTGAGAAATATTGGTGTAATTTCTTTCAATTGTCGAATTGCCTGTGCCAGGGGCTCCATAGACAATAAAAATAGCAGAGGTGAGATGGGATCACCTTGCCTGCTACTTCTGGTTATTCTGAATGGAACAGAACAGGTACTGCCTGTTATTACTATGTCTGAGGGATTGGCAAAGAGTATTTTAATCATATGAATGAAATTGGAGCCAAGTCTCATATGTTTCAAAAACGACCAAAGATATGACCATTCTAGTCTATCAAAAGTGTTTTCTGCGTCAAGAAATAGAACTGCCCAAGGAGCTTTGATTTCTAATGAAGCATGTAAGATACTGTATGTAATAGATGACAGAGTTTATATGAGGATAATACACTGCTCAAAAAAATAAAGGGAACACTAAAATAACACATTCTAGATCTGAATGAATGAAATAATCTTATTAAATCCTTTTTTCTTTACATAGTTGAATGTGCTGACAACAAAATCACACAAAAATGATCAATGGAAATCAAATGTATCAACCCATGGAGGTCTGGATTTGGAGTCACACTCAA